TTGCTTTACACACGTGTTGTCTGTGTTACTACGTTAAGTGAGGTTCAGCTAACGTAACAGACGGGACCACTCACGGCCATTTTGGATAGCTCCAGTAGAGCACTATTTTTGGCCCATTTGTTAGAACGGCGGAGATAGGTGTGACTACGTCCGTTAATTTTTACAGTCTATGGTCTCTCCAGAGAATACAATTTAAGCTAGCTATGTTTACCCGGGCTTGGTTTCTTCTTTGATAATTTTCTCGCTTTAGTTCCTGCTTCTCTTCCTCACTATTGTGTTGTTCGAGCTGTTTTGCTGTGTCTGCAGTTACAGCAAGAAGAGTTATAGCCAATTCTGCTAACATGCTACTGTGTTTAGCAGTCTTTGTGAAAAAGGTGTTGATAATAAATGTGTTGTTGACAAAACTCTTTGTCTATTCAGATTTTATGATCCCAGCTGAATTCGTCTGCATATCTGGCAACCTGAGTCAGGGAGAGAGGGAGAGGCTGCAGTACCACTTTTACATACTACTCCTGTATGGGCTACTATGACATGTCATACTTCATTTTAAAGATAATTAAGAGAAAACAGCTTTAGTTCAGTCCAAGCATGTGTTCATTTTGTTGGTAATATTCAAAAAGTAAAGTTAAAAAAAGTAATTGTTTGATCAAAATACCTGTATAATGTAAACAAATCAAATTATATTTAGATCATCAAAAGATGCAAAAAAAAACTTTCTCCAAAGAAGGTGATGGAGAACTTTGTATAACAGTAAAGCCTTAAAACACTGGAGAGTAAGTGAATAATCATTATTTATACAGCACCTTTCACAAAGCGCTTTACATTTGTTGTGAGCATTCGTCTCTCACTTCACACAGTGTTGGGAACTGTGTCTTCATACAGGAGGCCCATACTTATTGTACATGTTTTTGCAGTGCAAAAAGGTTGGAAACACTGGTTTAAATCCAGAAACCTCAGTGAATATTTTGAAGATTTTTTCTACAGTTGAGAAAATCAAAGTTCTAAAGATGCCCCTGGGGAACATCTCCTGCATATAGATGACTAGTTACACATTGTCAACACACTTTAATCTAATTCTGCAGTCATTATAGAAATATCCGAGTCATAAAACTATTTTTAACCGCATGTTTAAGTCTTTGTAAGGTTCAAAAACAATTAATCACAAATTTTCAATAATCAATTTAGTTGTGATTAATCAATGAACTTTTTAAAGCTCTACCACATTAATTCAGAAACCTTAGGCTTGTTACAATTTGCCTTATTATTTTGGAAGACATAGAAATATTGATATAGGAATTAATTACACGCCAAGTGAGATATATCAAGTCTTAATTTGTTATAATGTTGATGAGAAAATTTTGGAAACGGACTTTAACCATAATCACTTTTACAGTCCTTTTGCATGTAAGAAGTCTCTGTCATATATTGGTTTCACAAACCCCCTCACGCACGTTTACCAGAAGTACAATCATTGTGGTGGGCTTTATGAATCAGCGGAACAGCCGGGAGCCCGCATTACTCAGAGCTGAGCCAGCACCGAACACATGCTGGAGGATTGTGACGAAGCAAAGATATGTCTGTATGAAAACGTACTGATGTAGAGTGTTGTCTGCAGCATGTAATAACTCAAAAATGTTGATGAGTAAAAACCAAAACTCCTGCCAAAGAGAAACATGATAATGAGCTTTGACATGTGATATGTGCCAACACTGTGCGAGAAGTGAAAGAAAAAGAAACGGTTAAATCTACATGAAAAAATGCATTTACACTTGGGAAGAGAAACCATGTCAAAGTCAATTTTCTCATTTCTGCTCAGGTTTTTCTCTGATCAGTGCAATACTATGGGTTAATTATCATCTTGGTAAATAGAGTAAGCTTGTCGAACAGTAACCAAAGTATCAAAACTAGATTTTAACTTGAGTTACGTATCAATTAGGCCTTCTATGATGGACAAAACTGCATATTTGGGTCTCAATATCATCTGTACATTTTCTTAAACCCATATTTCTTTGTAAAAGCAATTGATATTTAGATGTAGATTCTTTCTTAGAGCATAATCTCTAATAAAATAGACAAATCTTTAAAAAAAAAAGGGCTGTACTAGGATTATTTTCTCCTGTATTGCTCTTTCATCAGTGTTATACAGCAATTTCAATATTATCATTTATCATTTTCTGGAAAAAATATATGTGAGATTTATTGAGCAATTCTTGATTAATTTTAAACTATATCAGAAGTATTGTCCAAAAAGATAATTTATAAATAATAGGCATGGCATCGAGTATTATTCTAATATTGAAATTGAGTTTGAAATGTACAACGATGACGACACTAAAATACAGTTTGTAATTTATTGTGTCATAATAACACATCTTTAAGCTATCAATACATAATTAAAATAAACGAATGTATTGTAATTACATGAATTGCGCTCTAAAAGTAAACATGTCTTATCTATTTAACTGCAAAATTTATATTTCAGACGGGTTTTTTTAGAAGTTAGATTTTCAAGACCATAGGCATGGTTTTATTAAATATATTTGTATTTTTGAGTCATGCAATCAATTATCTCCAGTTTAAAATCATGAAACACTGCCTTGCTAAAAATATAAAAGCCCTAAGCCAAGCGTGTCTTTTTGTAAATGTAGAAACTGAAAAGCAGTGTAAGTTGGAAACTGACCGCGAGAAGAGAATAGCTCTAAAAATGGTAACTTTGTACAAATGAGACGAGATGCCAGAAGAATACTCGCCAAAACTCAATCTGACTTTTTAAACACATGACAAGATTTAAAAAAGAATTATGTGTAAAAGAAAACCACTGTTGGAGCCTAAATAGAAGTTTGGTTGTTTTGATTATATTATTAGATTGAAATACATTATTTTTGTGATTAGATTAGAATTATGATTATTTGGCAATTGATTTAATTTGGTGTATTTTGCATCCAATTTTGTTAATTATTTTGTTAGTCATTATTGCTAAAGTTAATCATGGGTTAATTTTGATTTAATACATATTTTTGTATTTTTTCTCAGTCCTGGCCCCAGCTAGTTAAGGCGCAGGTGTGCCAGGGGAAAGCGTGGAGTGTGGAGTGGAGCCACACAGTCTTTTGACCTTTTCCTTTTTGTCCAGTGTGTGTTTTTGTGCGTGAATACTTTTTAATTGCATCTCACTGTTCCATGGATTTATTCACTCACTTTATACACTATGGATTATGGTTTGAGAGCGTCAACTACACGGTTCACTGTTTGGACCCTACAACCACTATTAGTAGTAAGTAAGTAAGTAAGTAAGTTTTTATTTATATACCGCCTTTTCACTGCAGATCTGAGTCTCAAAGCGGTTTACAATTGTTAATTTTGGGCATTTGTCTCTCACTCCACACAGAGATGGGAGGGGCCAGTACAGGAGGCGCATGCCAGAACTATTGGACATATTTTTAGTGGTAGGGGAAACCGGAGTACCCGGAGGAAAAACCTACGCAGACACGGGGAGAACATGCAAACTCCACTCAGAAAGGCCCTGGTCCGACCGGGATTCGAACCCAGGACCTTCTTGCTGAGAGGCGAGAGTGCTATCCACTCAGCCACCGTGCCGCCCAATTGTGATGGAACTGTGTTTTGAAATATTACAGGTCAAACTAGGATTAGATTACAGCTCAAAAGTCCATTTACGTCTGAAATTCCATTGCAAAGTGAAACATGACAAACTCATTACATGCAAAGTGGCACGTATCAAGCCTTGGTTATAATATTGCTAATTGGCTGACAGCTTAAAAAAACCTCAAATAAGACATGTCAGAAAAGTATGATAATTTGTAATGAGTCGACATCATATATTGGTTTCACATTTGAACTGAAATAAATGAACTTAAATAAACAATATTCTAATCTTGTACAAGCAGGGTCAAAACTATTGGTTGTGTCTGTTTATAAATCCCATACCATCTAATCAATCATCTCTACCATTAAAATGAATATTGCAACACAAACATGTAGCAAACTATGTATATGGCTTAGAAGGCGAACATGTATAATCTTTCACATTTCATAAGCCTTCAAACAAATCCAAACAAATGGTGGCTTTTCCAAGAAGCGCAGCTCAAAAGCCGAAAGAGACAATGAGAGGATTGATGATTGTGCTTGGGACGCTGCAGTCGGGCGCTGCTCTGTGAGGACTCATAAATGTGGAGACACTTTCAGCAATAACATCTGCTTTGAGTTTAGCACGGAGAATATAACTCAAACCGTTGATCCGCTTTTTGCAAGGATGACAGAAAAGTCTGGTCCCACTAATCATCATTTTGGATCAGTTATTGGACTCATTTTCTACTATATTTTTTAATGGAAATACATGCAAAAAAAAAAGCCATTTGAATTGCTTTGCTATTAAACTGAACATACGTTATACTAACAATTGTAAAGCACTTTGTTTGACCTTGGTCAGTAATTACTCTACACAGATACAGATGATTTACTTACTACTTCCTTGAGAAAAAATATATATATATAAAAATAATATAAATATATATGTATGTATTTATTTTAATGTTGCAATTGAAAATTAATGTGATAATAATTAATTAAGTAATTAAGTAAATAATTAATATTTGATAATAACTTTCAAATATTTAGGGGATACAATTAAGTATTTGATAATTGAGACATTTAACTAATAAAAACTTAATTTAAATTCTCATCGAATAACAACACTAATCTGTGCATAAAATAAAAGAAAACACAAAAAGTACCTTTAATTCATTACCTTACACTATCATATTATGCAAGTAAGGGCAAATATGTTATCAATACTTTTTAAAGCAGGTATTCAGTATGCTGTAAAATAAGACATTTTCAAGTATTCGCCCCAACACCAAATAGAGTTAAAAAGCAATACGGAATGGCTTGATATAAAACGTACAGTACATGAAGGGCAACGTAAGTTTCTTACAGGGTCATGGTAAATAAGTCAAAGTTTGTGCAGGATGGCTGCTGGTGTTTACCTTGAAGTTGTGCGTTAGAATAGCATGTCCGTGTAGTCTTGTAGGACTGCAGCCCCTTCTCCTCTGCACCGCTGACCTGTTTGGGACTGGGGCAGAGTGTGCGCGCTGGGCTGCTCACGGGGCTCCGACACACCGGGGTCCCGCTGGAGGATCTCCGAGCGCCGAACATGGAGAGAGGCAGACCGCTGAAGTCTGAGAACGTGGGGGTCTGACAGTGGCTCACCATCCCGCCCGCTGATGAGGAGCTCCTCTGGATGAAATCAAAAGTGCCTCTGATGGACGAGTCACATTACCTGTGGAGAGAAAGTCCAGCAGGCTAGAGAAAAGCAACACGTGTTATTGTTGAAGCGTGTGTGCGGCGCCACTCACTGGTCTCTCCGCTGAGACTCTTCCTCACAGATGACTTGTGGAGGTGAGGGCTGATTGGTGAGACCCAGCATCCTCCAGGCTTCAGCATCCATGTGTCTGTGGTCCCAGAGTGACGCAACCAATGGGACTGGTTCAGTGCAGCAGGACGTGTACAGTAAGTTCTCTCTGGACCACCACACGTGCAGCCTCCTGTGATGTCACATACACAACAGTCTGTGTGATATGAACATGGATGTGTTTATAAATATAAGGGAAGGACTCACCGCCACTTTTGTCTATTGCGTGAGAGGAGCTGGTTTATGATGCCATACGGGCAGGTGCAGCGGAAATAGTTGCTACAAACATATACTTCAACCTAGATTCGTCTTTACAACGAAAAGTGAAGCTAACTAAGCTAACTTTACTAAGCTAAGCGTGTGCGCGTGCTGATGGCTGAGCAGAACTACTGACCTGAGTGAGCAAACCAACAGCGCCCCCTGGTGTCTGTAAACAGATGGAAATGGAAGTGTTGGTGAGAAGTTAACTCTAAAATTGAACTATATATACAATTGTAGTTTGTATATAGTATGTTTTGTGATATACACGTTTAACTATGAAAATATTTATCTCAAATTAATTGAAAGAAGGGGGAAAAAAAATCAATGTTGTGCACTCACAATCACCATAAACTTACTTTTACTGCTACTACTAGTAGTTACTTTTATTGTAACTCAGTATTACACATTTTTGTTTTTTATGGGTCACATTGCGAGTTACTTCAAAAAGGAATACCAGTAACTAGTTACAAAAGTGATGAGTATTTGAACTTAAAGCAAAGATTAAAGTAACTGAAACTTTATTTCATAGTTACTTCCAACACTGATACCTTTCCTAGACCCGCATACAGAGGTTTACAGTGATTTATAAAACACATCAATTTAAATTCATACAGATATAAGATATGGACATGACAGATAATGATACACATATTTTGTTATTTATATATATAGTTGAAGCACTCAGATACCCTGCCTGCGGCTTGTCTAATACAGTTAAAACGAGAATAGTCAAATGTGCAGATCATGTGCAGATGTTATGAACGCCACGCGCTCGGACGGTCCGTGAACGCACCACTCCCCAAACTTATGCAGTGGGCGTGGGCCGTAGTGGGACAGGCTGAGCGGACGTGTTCAGTGACACACGAGCACAGGACGACACACGTCAGATCATGTTCCTCCAGAAAATAACGGTCTATTTATCGACGATATTTATGTTTGGCTACATGCTCTGCCTCAGTTTCACCTTGAGGATTATTCATTTCTTCTCACCTAACATCTTCAAGAAACTCACTCTGGTAATGGGGGAGAAGTCTACTATGACACAAAACCCCAATTTCACATTTGAGGACTGGGGCCCGACTTTCATGTCGCCTTCCTTCATCAAAGTGGCTTCTCATCACATGTGGATGTCAATGGGACAAGAGGCTTTTGTGGGGGGAGCAGCACCAGACTCACCTGTGGTTACCATGGAGGGCCAGGAGTCCAGCATCTTCAAATTCATGAAAGGTTTGTGATTGCAAATGCAGCCTCTGTGCGAGAGCGGGCTTCTCATGTTAAATAATGAGCTCTTTGCTGTGCAGACAACAGACCGCTGGTGCTGAGCTTTGGCAGCTGCACCTGACCCCCCTTTATATACAAACTGGATGAGTTTAAAGAACTCGTCCAGGATTTCAGAGAGGTGGCAGACTTCCTGGTGGTCTACATTGCAGAAGCACACTCATCAGGTGAGTGGCAGAAGCATACTTTAAATATAAATATATGGATGGATTATTAATTTCCTTACAAAACAAAGATGGATGTGCATCATAAATGTGCATTGAAATGTATGTGTTCCAGATGGTTGGGCCTTTACCAACAACTATGATATAAACCAGCATCAAAGCCTCGAAGACCGGCTGTCTGCTGCACGTATCCTGGTTCAGAAGGACCCCCGGTGTCCAGTGGTGGTGGATAAAATGTCCAACTCCACGAGTATAAAGTATGGAGCACTGCCTGAGCGCTTGTATGTGCTGCAGGCTGGGAAAGTTATGTACAAGGTAACTTTGACTCAACTCTGAGTAGTCACTTGTGATCATCTGCAGTAAAACTTCAACTTTCCCACACTGGATTCTTTATTCTCTAAACGCTATAGTAATCAGGCTTTATCATCAGTCTAGTCGCCCTGGGCATCTCATGACATTGCGTGAGGAGAAAACACTGTCGCTCTTGGCAAATTGCCAGAGTTGTTAGGGTTATGCCAGAAATGTGTCTCATTTAAAAGACCAACTCCTAAACTTGTTTTTCATTTCACCTGCTGCCTTTGTCATGTCCAACAACATTTAATACATTGTATTACATAACATCACAGTAAATCTTGTCTGTCTTCACAGGGAAAAATGGGTCCGTGGGGCTACAATCCATTGGAAGTACGTGTCTTTCTGGAAAAAATGAAGTAAGCACGTTCGAATCAAGTCAGATGCATCTGTTATCCTGTATTACAAGATACTTTAGTTGTGACGCTTTATCATATTCAACATATTATCCAATATTACATTTTAAGACTTTTGTTTGACTATACTTGTAGCTAGTTTGAACACTTTTGCAGGACATCTCCAATCATGGTGTGACTGGGCTGGTGTCTGAGTGACCGCTGCAGAGCAAAGCTGTGGCCTCTGCAGCGCGATGATACAACACTGAGCCCAGTCCCTGAGAGTGGAGGTGTCCCACAATGAACAGAACGTCTTTGTGTTGAAAGTCCAGGATGTAATCAAACATGAGTGCTTACAATGCACCCATCTAATACTGCTGGAAGCTGCTTTTCTATGAAAGTTACATCTTAAACCTTTGGGAGATGTAATTGGAACTACTTTTTGTACACAAAGCATGTTTTTTCCTTTGACATTAGATGGGATCATTTTAGAAGCACTGTTTATCTGGAAGACCAATATTTGTATCATTGAATATTATTGTATACAAAATAAAATACCTTTTTATAAATAAGTGGTTGACCATTTAATTTTTTGGAAATAAAAAGCTTTATTCCCAAATGAGGGAAAGCAGTTTGTCATGAACCTTTTGTCTTTACCTATGGTCACAGATGTGTAGTATACTGTATATAACTCAACGTATCCGTAGTTTTCACATAACACAGCAGAGGGCTGAATGCCTATAGTTGCAGACCTTCCTTGTTGACCTAAACAGGTTTGTTTGCTGTCGTGTCTGGAAAGTTATTCATGTTAAAGGTACCGTCTGAGTTGTGCAAGTCCATCTGCTCAAACATGCATATGAGTCATGGAAGTAGGTTAATAACTAACCGCCTTATCGCTGGATATTGATTGCTGTCACAATAGAGGCCCCTATGACATGAGAAATTTAACACAATTTCAGTCTGATGTCTTAGTGTATTATACAACTGGTCCCAAAATTATAATCTAAGTATCTATTGCTTGTTTTTAAGCAGCTGCCATGCTGTAATCTATCAATCTTAGTAAATGAAGGGATTTCACTGCAAGAATCATGAAGCCTTTGTTCCTGCTCAGCTAGACTAAAGCAGCAGGTTGGTTCATGTAACCAAGAGAACCAACAGAGGGCACTGTTAAAATGCAAACTTGGTGTTTACCTATTTTTGGAACATGCACGTGTCATCTGTCATAACTACTTGCGCAAAAAGACACCACACTGGTTTTAAGTTATTGTAAAATTATATTAACAAGCAATCTTTCCTCAATTTGAAATAAAAAAAATCTCAGCAAATAAAGGCAACATATGTGTGTATAATGGATAATGTTCACAGGAAATTTGAAACAAATCATTGTCACATTTACAAGACTGCTGCTAACTTTATATGATGCCTACTAGAATCGGTTTAAAAAGCTTTGACCCACTGAGTAACTGGGGAAATATGTAGTCAAAGATTGTATCAAAATATAAAAAAATGTTGCGGGAACAGGGCCTAGGGAGCGGTCAATGCAGGAAGAACAGATGAACAACCGATATGCATAATGGGAGTTTAAAAAAGGGCAGCTCATTCATAGCCATTACAACATAATTAACCAGAGTGGATAAAACAAGGCTACGACAATGAGGAGCACAGCGTTAGAAGCACAGGCAAGTAAAGATATACGCCACATCTTAAAGCAGGTGTCCACACAGAGCAGCACTAGGTAGTATGTTGTACACAGATTCTCAGCTTTCATGCACTCGTGGCGTATGCCGAAATTCCCTTGATACATTTCAAAAGCAGTCTGGATGGTCAGACTAAAATCACTTTGATCCATCGGAGTATTTTAAGGAGCCATCTGAGCACTGACATACCGTCTTCACAACAGTTTGCGAATCCTCTAAAAACCTCTCGAAATAGAAAGGTGGAGCACGAATTAGAAATGTTTGCCGAGGAGAAAAAAAAAAAACACATTATGACAGTTCTATGTTGACTGACAAACGAAAAGACGTTCCAAGCTCACAATGCATAAGCACAATCTCCAGTGTTTTCAATGACAAAAAGGCAGGAGACGTTTCCTGCACATCTTGAAATACAAAGCAATAAAAACAGAAAAATAAAAAAAAAAAGTACAAGAGGTAAACTTTAAACATTTTCCACTCGACTCACAAAGAGCAGTAGTGGTTAGGTGAACAGGGACTGAGGGGAGGAAAAACGTGTCATATATGCATTTCAGTAGCTGGTTTTGTCGTCACTGGGGTTGTGGTTGATGGAGAAATTGTCCTTCATTTTGAGCCGGGAGCAGTGGTGATCAGCCGTTTTTTGGCTTTGCCCCATATCAGCGTTCTGGTTTTAGCGTAGATTCCCAAAAAAAGGCACCTATCTGTCCCCAATTTGGTGCTGATGTGTTTGGCTGTGTCCTCGCACGAGTATCAACACTCAGGAATGATGGCAAACGTCAGGTGAGCGGCGGCGTCACACACTCATCGTCATGGTGGGAGAATACTGAGAAGAGAAGATACTCAATGTTAGTCTTTAAGCACACACACACACGTCCTCAAGTATGACACACACGCAGGTAATGAGACTAGAATGATCGGATGCATTAGGTGGAAAACAAAGGACCCATGACAAATCCACCAATGACCCGGAGTTAGTTTTTTTCAACACATTTTGACCCAGGAATACGGAATAACAATTATTTGTATTGCCATTGTAGGTATCAAGAAGTCACAAACAAGGAATTTGCTTTGGTAAATCGTGTAGAAAAATACTGAAATGGTACAAATGAAAGAAAAAAAACATGCATTAAAAGCACACCCAACAGACATATCCAGAGGTGTAAAATCATAAGCTGAGAGTGAATGTTATTTTTACACGCCAGCCCAAGTCGATCAGTGTGGTTGTTGGTCAAAATCCCTGTGTTTTTGCACAATGATGCAGGAATGGGTTAGGAGCAGAAATTTTCACAATGATTAAGATTTATTATTTATTACAAATCATCATTTACTGTGATGCCTGTGACCTATACAAGGCTCATAGGTAAACCTCCACCTGCCTGATACTGTCCGATGACACCAACAAAGTATTATAGCCTGAGGGTGGGGTCAGGAATAGACATGCGCCCAGTTGCTTGTACTCCCCAATGTAATTAGGCTGTCAGTAAATGGGTGTGCTAAAATGTGCGATTGTTTTATTTATTATTCTCAGAAGGTCAACAAAATCTTCAGATTAGAAGAAACACTTACATTCTCACTTTGGAAGGAGTGAAGAAAGTTTCCACTGAGCTCCCCATCATCCCTTGGCGTCCCAGGAGGATTGCTAATGCCACTTAAATTGTTTGGAGAATTCTTAAATAAAAAATTAAAAAAATTAAATTGTAAGCCATTGAACACACCATCATATCTCAGTATTGTTTTAAAGATTACCTTGCTCAGTGAGTCCATGTCACCAGACCCTGTGGAGGAAAACAACTTTAACTATAGAACAAAAACTTACATTTTGACTAAAATAAAATTCAAATGCAACTTGTTGTTACCCATTGATCCATTCATGTGATGCGGTTCCATCCCAGCCATGGCTCCCAGAGGCCCATCAGAGCCAGGGCCCATAGGGAACTGGAAGGAAAACGCATTGGTGCAAAATTAGACTTGTGATGTACACAAATAACATGGTAGAAGTTGATGCGAGCAACACTTACATTATTTCGGTTTCCAGGTCCAGTGTTGATCATTGTATATAAATTGTCGCCAGAGTTATTAGAGTCTGTTGAAAAAATTGTTGCACAAGTCACGTTTGGCTTATAACCGATAGTGAATCAGTTGAGCACTCACACACCTGCTGGGCTTGGCATGATGGGAGTTCCCGGAGGTCCACCCCCACCAGATGCCCCCTGCAGAAAAATATTTATTTTTAGCAAAAACTGCCATTGAAATTCATATGGAAATGCATCCACACTAAACGGAATTCTTCATCAAGCTGTCAAGATGTTCTCACCCCATAAGCGCCAGGAGAAGGTGATGAGTAAGGCATCTGAAAGCAGAAACGAACATTAAAGATGCAGAAAAGAGAAACATAAGCTCTTTCTATACCTCAAACTGTCATCGTTCATCATCTGCACGTCCTAACTCTATTAAAGCACTCTGTACAGGCCTTGACACATAATATTACAATTATAGCTGCAGGTCAAGCGAGGAGCCTTCTACCTCACAACTCTCAGAAGGGACTGAAATCTGAACCAGAACGTGCAGTGTGTGCATCAATACTCACAGAATTGGCATTATTTGGATTGGGCCATGGCCGACCAGTCCCTGGACCCCTGAATTAAAAACATAATCAATAAAAATGCATTTTAGATTAAGGCCCATAGTGATGTGGAAGGCTTACATGTTCACGCCGGGCATTCCAGGGCCCATGTTGTTATGAGGAGGTCTCATTCCACCCCCAAAGTTCTTGGACAAGAAACAAAATATATTCAAGAATTTTTACTCAACAATGTATCCTTAACAGTGACATAGTAACTACCTGTGGTCCAGGTCCCATTGGCCCCATGCCTCGAGGACCACTCATTCTCTGCATTGGACCAAGATTAGGATGTCCTGCAATGGAAACCATTTCAGTCACAGAAAGCTAATTTTAAAAAGGATAAGTGTTGCTCGCATAGTATAATTATATGATATTAAAAAATGAATACGCAGAACACTACCTTGTGGTCGAGTGGGGTCCATATTGGGCAGCATGGGATGACCTGGTCCACCACCCGGAGGCTGGAAAAATCAAATGTTAAAACAAAGTAATCATCAAAGACCCACAGTGAAGGTCTAGAATAAGGACATTGTAATACACTCATTACCTGATTACCAAGGCGAATGGGCGGGCCTCTAGGACCCCCAGCAAATCTTGGGGACATGAAAGACTAAAAAGGACAAAACAAATTTGTTTATGAGAATGAATATCAGTTTCAATACATAATGTTTTTGTTTTAATGTTTGGGTGGATGTTTGGCATCAAGCATTAAGCTCAGACATGCCAGAGCATGATGCATCAGCAGAGAATAGAATTCATACAGACAGACAGACAGAAGCAAGAGGCAGCATTACCTGACTGTGGGGTCCCATCATACTGTTAGGGGGAGGAGGCTGAGGGTGAGGAGAGCCCTGGGGACCAGGTGGACCCTGCAGCATTGTACAAATGAAGCAGCAGTCGGAGATTGAGGAGGGAGAGGGGAGTGAGACAGGGAGACAGCAGAGATGTGACAGAAGAGGGCCAGAGAGAGAGGCTGGGTTACTTTTGGGCAGAGGACAGTCGGTGTGCCAAGAACCAAAGCAATAAAATGTACAAAAATAAAGAGCTCATTTTATGCAAAGAAAGCAAGCAAATGACTTGAATGTGAAGAGAGATTTGGAGGTGGAGGATGTATGTTCTTTAGCCTGTCAGTCAAGACATTAAGAAGCTTGCTGCATGCAGCATGTTATCAAAGCTAATTTTCTCTGAATTAACAGCATCAATTAAACTCTGAGCAATTAGCTTCATAAGAACACTAAATACTGGCACTGAGCCGCCTATGTTACTTTTAGAGGCTTATCCATTGCTTAGAGCAATGTGTATTAATACAAATGCACTAAAGTCTCACCAATACTTGTAGTGACCAGTATAGATAAAGGATTGAGGAAGGCAAGATTAGAAACAGAACATTAGGCCTCACAACGCCTCTTTGAACCAAATCCAAACTGGAGCCTGCCAACTGTTTATCCTCAGGAGATATTGATTTACAGTAGGTGCTGCACCTTTCGATTTCTCCATTAGGGAAATGGGCAGACCACGCCTGGCTGTTTACATTGTTATTGGAGCTCAGGCTCATCAACAAATGTATACCAATGTATATATAATGTTTACCATTATTTACAAAGCAAAGTCATATGCTTTGTAAACCGAATCATTTGAATAGCTTGATAGCTAGAAAAATGTTCTGTACTAAATCATTACCCAGGATTATTGACCATGGTGAACTCACCTGGAAAAAGCCTGGTGGCATGGGTCCTCCTGGCATGCCCTCTCCTGGAGGCATCCCTCCCATGACAGGACTTGGAGCTGCTGCTGCACTCTGAGAAAATAAGAAATCAGTGTCACTCAGACTGCAGTGAGGAGTCTCGGCCTATAATAGAAGGTGTGTGCACACCTGTGGCGGTGAGCGTGCCTGGTCTGGGAGCCAGTGCATCAGATAATCTGGATTCACTGAGTCCATGTCTCTAAAGTGCTTCTGCACAGCAGGGGCTTCGGGGCCAATTTCCTGCTCAAACCGCAGCCTTAATTCACTAATGTGCCATTTGCTTCAGTCACAGAGTTGTTCTCGATACTGTAGCGAGCAAACATAAGCTAATGTTTTTAGAAAACCATCTTTCAGACAATAACTGCAGATTAGAAAAATAAGTACAGCATAATATTAGTTCAACAGAAAGAAATAAGGCCTGGGTAGTACGATTAGGGTTAGGATTGGAGAAGACCACCATCTACAAGTTAAAAAATAAGATTGAGAGATACATTTTATAATATCTCTTCATCTATTATAATATACTATTCTATTCAGGCTGATAAGATTAAAACCTGGGTTACATGGGCTTGAATACAGCCACACTGTGCATTCAGCATTCCACTTGAACACATACTTTAATCTAATTAGAGATTGTATTTTCACTCTTGCTAATGTACTGTGATTATGATGTTAATGCCTTGTGTGATCGTCGATCTTTGAGTTGCCTTTAGAATGATTTGTACCATACCCATAAACTTGACTTGCCAAGCTCAGCCTACGGGTTCAAACAATGATACAACTGTATGTAAAATGCATAACACTATTTGTCTTTTGCACGACACAGCAGCAGGGCAAAGTCTTAACAGTCACCAATATGGCCCAAAACAAAAAACATCTGATGATCAGTTTAGTTTATTTACGTCCAATTTATAAACCGTACAAATTATTTTTGCATAACTGATTCAATTATGCAGGAATGCCTCAATAAAAATTAGATGAACCCCCATCACCTCTTTTGCATCACAACAATAATCCCCCTTTAAATACAAAAGTGGTCAACGATCACATTGATATTGACTGCACTTTGCCTAATGATATATGAAGGGCCTCTGTGAAATGCCTCAGCAGAGAGAGAAGTGAGGCCAGAGGGAGCGGACGGACAAACAGCGCATAAAACAAGACAAATCAAACATACTTTAGCCCATAGAGAAAGTATAAACAGAAAATAAATCATAGATTGTGAGTGTGACACTTCTCTTTAAAACCTATGTATTGTAATGTAATGTATTTTCTTTTGAATGGAATCTGACAGTAGCCACCACTAGTTATAATCCTATCACAGGGGTCTCCAAACTATGACCCAGGGGCCGAGATGGTATTTAAAAAAAAAAAAAAGAGTTCAACGCAAGACAATGGCACAAGAGCTATGAGGTTAAAAATGGAATCAGAGGTAAAGTTTAGTGAAACATGGATTTCCCCCGTCTATCCATTACATGTTCGTAAAAATGGGAAAGAATTGCAGCCATAATGTGATGAAGAAACTAACTTGTTTAACCAGAAGTGAACTGCCCAGACAAGTCATTCAGACGCAAGGTAAAAGAAAGCAGTCTAGATCCTTCTTTAATTATTTCTATACCCTTCTTTTACTATATTATGAATATAATTATGCTTGTCATGCATGCATTTTAACAAATAGTTTGTAATCAGACGTCATTTAACATCAAACATTTTGGAAAAAACAAACGTTTAACCAAGGTTAGTGTAAGAGTCAAGCAGGCTGAACAGAATTGTGCATGGGGGCTACACTGGCATGCCAAGTGAGATCCTTATCACTGTAAGCTCCCACAGCTGGACTCGCTGGAGTCTGGACTACAGACTGATGAACCATGGCTGTCCATTTACTGTGTACAGGAAGGGAGCAGATGTCCCTGCCGTGCCCCAGGCACAGCGTCTTGTCGAGGCCCTTTCTTCACTTTCCCCAGGGGACTTGCTTTACGACAGACACAGCTACCACGACTTAATCCCAACACCCACCATGATTCAGCATGTAAGCGTGCTGGACGTAGTACACTCAACAAAAAACAAATGTTCACCGCTTCTGATCGGGACAGGGTGACAACAGACCACAGCAAAGGTAGATGTGGGAAGAGTACTAATCAAACTAACTACCGTATTTTCTATTATTAAGAGTATTGAGATGGGGGGGGGGGTTAAAGATTTACACATACAAAATATGGCATAGATTAAACTACAGTGAAGACCACAGCCAACAACCATGACCTGAGCAGTCTCCCTTGTTCCAATGAAACCAGTACTCAAAGAGACTGGTCCTCATTTTCTCTTGTAAATGTTTAACCATAAATCCACATCATAAACCCACAGTAGACGCGACTGGATGCTGCACTCTCCTCTTCCCTGATCTTTTGGTTGTAGATGCTGGCATATGCCACAGTGCCACTCCCCTTTCCTTTTCCAATATGCCCTTCAGCGACATGACAGCCATCAATCAGGCCAGACGCCATGGCGACGGGCCCCTGGGGAGCGTTCGTCAGAGGCAGTGAATACACTGGGGCTTTACGACCGCTGCTGCTCACCTCCCCCACACCTAAACAAAGGCGAGGGTCCAGACTCTACTGTCCACACAGCCACAAGGAGAGCCAGAACAGTGAAAGGTGAGTCAGCAGCACAAACTATCCACTCTCCACGACATGAACCTCTCCCACTCTCCTTGTTCACTTAGAACCTTCTGTGCACTAGAAAAAAAACAATCTTCAGCATAATTAAACCACTAAACCCAATTCAAATGTTTTTTTTATACATCTATAGATAAATAAAGAGGAAGTTCATTATATGAAAGACAAAGAGCGCCCTGTACAGTGTGCATATGAGGGAATGCACAAATGAAAGTGTGGAGACTAAAAGGGCACAGCCGCGCTGCAGCCACTCTCCTGGTTCCCAGGTCACCTGCTAGATCAGCAGGCCTGTTGCCTTGACAACACTATCTACCAAGAGCAGGACCAACGTCTCTGTTAACCTCTTCCTGTCGACACTGCTCCTCCACAATTACAGATAAAGTTCACAGTTATTACTGCTAAACATAGGATTCCAGTTTCATCAGATAAAACAGAAGCAACTATCTACATATGTTAAACAGATTAATCTAAAACAAGGGGAAAACCAACACTCATTCACCACCATTTGACCCTTCACAGTATGTTAAAACACTTCAGATACAAAAAGCCCACAAAAGCTTGTTTAGAAAGGGGACAGGGCATCAGCCGCTCAGTCTACAGAGGTTGAGCAGGAGCCCACTCTGACTCAGGAGAACATGCTGAACTCAGCATCATTTCCCAGAAGCCCATAAAGCTCATTGTTGGCTACATAACTTGTCCCACATCAGTGTAAGGCAACTGATCATATTCCAAAAGATAACACTGAAGTTAATGCATAATTGACCAAACTTAATCTATATATTCAAGAAGACGTACGTTCCAGGTTTCAGTCTTCTCAAGTTCCCATGTTCCATAACTTTTGTTACTCTTCATAGTATTAATAAAATGTGTGATATGAACAAGACTGAGTTTACATCAGAATCTACCCTTTCTGTATAGGCACTACTCACGTAATCATGGAAGGCTTTCGCTTCGCTGGAGTGGTCACATGTCTCCCTCCTCTCCGGTGCGGCACAGTACAGGTCCCAGAATACACTGTGGACAAGACAGGTCATGAAGCAGAGCATTCACATCCACACAAACAAACCCCAGTTCTGTTTACAGAGAAGACACAAGACTTACCACCACCAGGAATGTAGAAATCCAGGAGGTTCACCAAGAGTTATGTTTTTCTCCCACCGGATCTATAAAAACAAAATCATTGACACAACTTATTTGTATGGCCTAATTTGCAATACAATACCATTTGCTCTAATCAAAATATGCCAACAAACTAAATCAATTACCTCAGATAGAAATGTCTGTGCAGACTTCTGTGCCCCTATGTGTAGTAAATACTCATAGACATAGAGTGCCAACCTGTGCAGAAGTCATTCACATGTTAATAAAGAGGGAAAAACAAACACGTAAGAGCTTGCGACTAGTCGGGTAGAGGCCCAGTGAACAATGGCTACCAGGAGCTTGTGCCAACAAAAATAATGGGTAGTATGTACCTACGCAAGGCTGGGTTAAGAAATACATTATTTAACCATACGTGATGTCGTGACACGCATGTTTATGATGGTAAACTAAAATGCACGTTTTCCATGTTAGAGCCATGGGGTTAGAGCCAGTCTCCTGCCACTGATGGGGCTGCAGCCTTTTCAGGGCGCTCCAGAAAACAATGTACTGTGGCAGCGATGTTATTGTTTTCTTTTTTATAGTGCGCTCCTCAAAATAACCAAGTATTTCATTACACTCGACATATGAAATCGAACAAACATATGCAAACACGACGAGCGTTTTTAAAAAGGTTATAAAAGCAATAGGCAGCCGTAACGCAACACGGGAGGAATGGCGAGCAGACAAGGCGGTTCATTCAATTCCCGTCTTGGAGGAAATCGCCTGTGTCCAGCAAACAACGGAGAACCAGGAACCACTCAGCCCGCAGAAAAGGCACAAAAACAAGCTTACTTTTCTCGCGCCTGGCCGTCCGAAGGTACCGGGCTGCCTTTGCCTTTGGGGAACATTGTTTAGTGTGGGAGGTCTTTCTGTTTTTCGCTATTTCATCTGTCAGACCATCGCGGCCGCGCTCCACAACCGCACTCCCCGTCTTCAACTGCGACACAACCGACCGTGCTGCCTGAAGGGGCGGGGCCACGCTAACGGACGTCTACTCTAGCCAATCAGTAGGCTCGGAACAGTTTAAGGTCTGCCATTCTTTCACTTATATTGGCGAATAATCCACATTTAGTTCTTGTTGGAATCAAACGGGTTCTCAAAATGACACGCTAATGTGATTACATGATATAGGCACAGGCATGTCGCAATTAGTGTTACATTTAAAGGGGCGCTATGTAACTTTTCTTTTCCACCTGATAATGGCCTTAAAGCAACAGTGCAAACTTTCCAAAGGCAAAGCATCATCAATGAAGAGCACAAATTAAAAGATTGTTAAAACTAGTCACGTAGAAAGATGGGTTTAGGATACGCAATTCCATCCAACTCATTCCTTGCTCTCAAAACGGCCTTTTAATATAACTAGTTTTATCTACATGTGCCTCTGTGTTATCTGTGCTTTCAGACAGCAACATGAAAAAGAGAGGACCACCCTCACTCAGCCAATCGGCTCTCAGCCCAATACTGACAGACAGGGCTCTATCTTCTATAAGGTAACAGCTTTGAAGACAAGATGAAGATTGGATTTGTGCTCTGGTTTGTTCACATTTTACTTTCACATTGACTTTTCTGTTAAGAAAAATTAAACATACTATGTCGTTTATGTAATTGGAACATTGACTACATACTATGTAGAGATAACAAACAAAGATGTTTGGTTTGTAGAGATGCAAGCTCATGTGCCATTGAACATTCTAAAGTACATGACTGTATCTATTTTTTTGAAAAATGTCATACTAGGACTAAAAACAAAAATTCCACCTTAAATCCTGACCATGACTGTGGCCCCTCTGGGCGGCCGCGGGGGGTGAGGCTTGAACACTTGTGAGATTGTTAGTGTGTGAGCTTGTTCCAATGACAACATGCATAAATCCAGCGTCCACTCTGCAGACTCGCCTTCTTCTCTCTGCTTTTATACGTTGTAGCGAACATTTTGGACTTTTCCGGATCTCTGTTTTAACTTCGTGCGAGCAGATTTTGGGGTAAGCGCACTATGTTATGTCCATGTTTACTGTTGACCTTAGCCAATGACAAACATAGTGTGTTTTTTAGTCCATCATGCAGTTGTTTAAATTCGTGGATGGTGTTGACATTCCATTGGTGTGGTCCATGTAAAGGTCACTTCACCTGTCAGCAGTAACGGGAAAAACAGGTGACCTGTCAAAAGAGGGGGTCCCATGAGTTGCATATGTGCCCATGCAGGGAAGAAGTTATGGCCAAATAAATATCTACTCTTACTTCGCCTCCTGGTCTTTACATATGCCTAAATGAAATTAATTGCAATTCTTTACTTGATATTGTACATACTTCAGAGAGTGCACAGACTATTAATATAAAATGCTGCAGGCTTGAACTAATTTTTGCAGCTTTGTTGGGAAATTCAACTGTAAAGAGATTATTGAAATCGTATTAAGACCAACACTTTGCACAATACACACACAAGAGAAATTCTGCAGCTTTTTTCCCAAATGTTGCTGAATGTCTCCAAATTTCAGGATAAATAAAGGTCATGCGAAGTTGCAGTATTTCTTTAAGTCATCAAAACTTATTGTCAACATCTTCTTAATGGAGTAGATACAAACAATGAATGCTCTCATTGTAAAATGTTATGAAAAAGTGTGTGTTTTATGTTCCAGCTCATCATGATGTCACATGAAAAGGAGGCTGAGAGGCGTGTCAGTGATGTGAGTGGCACAGAAGGGTACAGAAACCCCACTGAAGTCAAGATGAGTCAGATCGTTTTGCCCTGTCATGCAAACCACCGTGGGGAGCTGAGCGTGGGACAGCTGCTCAAGTGGATGGACTCCACTGCCTGTCTGTCAGGTGGGCATTCACCCACTATTGCATATTACAGGCTGATCTTTCATAATGTGAAGTCTGTCATTTTACAATTATGCACCAACTAGTGATGATTTAAAACTGCAGCAAACTGGAATTTGTTCTCATTCCACCATGGTGTGTTCTTACTAACTTATCTAACCTTTCTCCAGCTGAAAGACATGCAGGTTGTTCCTGTATCACAGCCTCAGTGGATGACATCCATTTTGAACACATCATAGGGTACAGTATGCTCTGTAAACATGGAAATATGGTCAAATTTTGTTTTGTATGTCATCTTTTGCTTACGTTCAGTCAAGACACCAGACTGGCTGTAGTGCTCAGCATAGTGTTATTACTTTAATCAAAGCAAGTGTTGACAGTGTCTATCTCCCACAGTGTTGGAAAAGTTGTCAATATTATTGCAAAAGTGAACAGAGCCTTCACATCTAGTATGGAAGTGAGTATGGTCCTGCCCTTTTTCCTATAAACTATAACCTGGATTCAGATGAATGTAGTATGTCTGTATTGTCTCTTGTAAAGGTTGGTATATTGGTCACTTGTGAAGACCTTTACACAGACAGACAGTGGAAGGTGTGCCATGCCTTTGCCACCTTTGTTGCCCGACGAACAGAGACTGGAAAGGTAAACCGAGGCTTTATGTACAGTGAACAGTAGCTGGGGCTTTTGTGTGAAGCATGGTGTTGTGCACAGGTCCAGCTCAAACAGGTGATGCCTCTCACACAAACAGAACAAATGGAGTATAGCCTGGCAGCGGAGCGGCGAAGGATGAGGCTCATACATGCTGAGATCATGACAGACCTCCTGAGCAGCAGCACTTCTCAGCTGGGTACAACAGGACTCTGCACATGGAGCTCTTATTGTAGCTCATCAAACCCAACTGGGTTAAGCTCCTTGTCTTTGTTCCTATCACCAGGAGAGTGCCGAGAGTATGAAGATGCTGTTCCAGCAGAGAGGACCCGAGTGGAGAGTGTGGAGCTGGTGCTTCCTCCTCATGCAAACCACCAGGTCAGCACCTTCGGAGGCCAGATCATGGCCTGGATGGAGAACGTGGCCACCATTTCAGCATGGTAATAAACATGACATAAACACTAACATAGTAATACTAGTGTATTGTGTGCTGTCCACTGATATCAAGAAGACTGATGTGTACTGAGCTACACATCAGTACTAAAGCAAATTATTATTTGTGTTTGTTTATTTGTGATAGGGGCATATATAATAAAAATCAATTACCATGTACTAATCTGATGCAGGCATCACAGTCTTGTAGCTCAAATAAATCATCAGAATTAGAGGATCTGTCTCATACTATGATGGTCCTTATTGTTACTTAATGTGGGGATTCTATTGCTCAAATATTAGACCAGATTGTTTTGAACGTCTAATACTGTATTTGTAATTATCTCAGCCGCTTGTGTAACGCTCACCCAACTCTCCGGGCCATTGATATGTTTCATTTCCGGGGCCCGTCACATATCGGTGATCGTTTGGTGCTCAAAGCCATTGTAAACAATGCCTTTAAGCACAGGTGAGTGCATCATTTTAATTGTGTTGACTTTATGACCTTCCGCACTGTTTAGTTTGCACATGTTTTTGTTATTGCAGCATGGAGGTGGGAGTGTGTGCAGAGGCCTACCAGGGAGGGGAGCCTTTGCGTCACATAAACAGTGCCTTTATGACTTTCGAAGTGTTGGACAGTGATCGAAAACCACAAACTCTCCCACGGATACGACCAGAGCCTGTGGTGAGTTCTTTTTAAACTTTGTCTGTAGATTTAACGTATATTATTGAATTATGAGTAGTCTTCTTTGTCTGCTTGTATAGGACGGATTAAGGCGCTACAAGGAAGCCATAGCTAGAAAGAAGATACGTCTTGATAGGTGACTTCTGATTAAATTAAACATAATGCACATATCAATGCTAAATACAATAAGCTGAACATGAATTGTACAGGAAATATATCATCTCCTGTAAGCATAATGAAGTTCCTCTTTCGGTTCCCTGGGACCCAAGTAATCAGGTATATCACATTTTGTTTGAAAGTTAAAGCTGGGGTACCTAAATTTGAACCACAAAAAATGGAATGTTGTGTTGAAATCCATGTCACTAGTTCCTCGCTCTCAAAACAATTTAGATCTATCACAAGTTTTCACATGCCCGTACAGTATATTGGTCTCTGTCACATTTGTAGATTCGCTTTTTCAGACAGAAAAGTGAAAAAATATAGAACCACCCTCACTCAGCCAATCAGCTCTCAGCCCAAAGCGTCAAATAGTGACTCACAGGGCCCTTTCTGTTGGGATAAACAACATGGATTATTGCGGATTACAAATTTAGGTACCCCGTCTTGAATGTAGTAGTAATATGAGTTTAGTACTATATGTAATAATGTTTTATAGATGTACCTGAGCTATAATAACGTTTCAGCGCTAAAGCTAATGGATGCTAGAAACAGTTGGATTTTAACCTCGGAGAAAAACAAGGTCAGTAACATGCGTTTTCTGTTATTATTGTTATAGTGGGGAAATTACAAAAGTGCTTGGATTTATATGTATTTACTACTCTTACAGGTCAGGCTTTACACACAGGAGGAAAATCAGCGGCTGCTCTTCAAAGTGGAGATGCATGTGTGCGTCCCGGCAGCACAGACCTTCTACCTGTTGTCCGATCTGACCAGGAGGACACAGTGGGACCAACACTATGAGTATGTCGGCTCGTCACGCACCATAATCACGTAGTTAGGAATTCAGGATCAATGTCAAATTTTAGCCTGGACCCCAACCCAATGACCCCTGAACGGCTATAACATTGATCCATCCATCCATCCATTTTCTTCTCCTTAATCCATGTCTGGGTCGGGGGGGTTCCAGTCAGAGCTGCACCCAGTACACTTTGCACTAGCCCCTCACTGATCCTCCTGCAGGTGGTGAGTCCACAGGAGCTGAGATCTTTCAGTGGGGGCTTCAGGCAAAGTGGGATAAAGTCCAAGGACACAACGACAGCAGTCATCAGTGGGAGTCGTGAAGTAGTTTTTACGGTGGGCTTGAACCCACGATCTTCAGGCCCAAAGGCTGATGCTCTACCAACTGAGCCAGTGTCGCCCCAACATTGATCTAAAGAGAAAAAAACTGAATGATACCAAGTCATTTATAGTCCAACATTAATCCTGGACTCTAAATTACTTGGTATCATGTATTTTTCTTTTTGCTTTTTACAGTTTTTTAGATCAGCTTTTTCAGACAGAAAAGTGGAAAAAAAAAATCAGGGCTACACTCACTCAGCAAATGAGCTCACAAGACTCTTTGTTATAAGTATGCAAAAGATATGTTTTCTGATAAGATAAAGACAGTATGTGGTCCGAGAATGTTACTTTTACAAGATTCTTTCTGTTGGAACAAAAGAAAATGTATTTTTTTAGCGGGAAAACAGTATAGAAGTGAGTATAGTCTTGACGTTTTCCTGGCTGAACATAGACACTTTATTTTACCCCAAAAACATGCTCCACATATCAAGCTTGCTGTCATCAATTAGAATTTGATTCCCTCTGGTCCAGGGTACACTGCGCTGAGACTTTAGAAGACTTCTTTTGAAAGTTTTGTGTGTGTTTTGACCAGTTTTTTATTTTTTTCCCTGTGGCAATGAGCAGACTCAGAATTAAACAACATACAGTAGGTACACAAAAGCTGTACCACTGTTGTCCCAGGTCAACTTTGAATTGAATTATTTATTTCAAACCTGCACAACTCCTCTTTATAAACTTTTGCAGACATATATATACATGTATATTTTAATTCATGTATTTCATTTATGTGTTCATAGATAGATAGATAGATAGATAGATACTAGATAGATAGATAGATAGATAGATAGATAGATACTAGATAGATAGATAGATAGATAGATAGATAGATACTTTATTGATCCCCCGCAGGAGAAATTCATTATTTCCAACATGTAAGATATATAAACAATTATTCACAGGAAAATGTAAAAAAACAAAAAAAAACAATTCAAATTATAAAAATGATCTGTACATGGTTTGAAAATGTATTGGATAAAGAAAACATCTCATATTAATCCAATCCCCTCCCTGCATGGTTTGAAAAGGGGTTAGATACACATAGACAATTTGAGATATTGAGGTATTGTGTTTCATGTGAGCAGAGAGTGTGAGGTGATCATGCAGGCGGATGAAGACGACACCATATACCGAGTGACCACACCCTCGGTCAGCAAGCGGGACAAACGCATGGAGTTCATCCTGCTGGCATCTCGGAGGAAGCCTTGCGACGCCAGGTGCTCAATGTTATTTGTGCGCGTAAAATGTAGACGCAGACCCCATGTATCGGCTTTGTATTTCATTCATTATTACCAAAAATGGATAAATAACAACACATTTTCTTATTGTGCTTAGAGACCCTTATCTGATTGCACTGCGCTCTGTCACTTTACCCACTCACCCACCCGCTGAGCTCTGCACCCGGGGAGAGGTGCTCTGTGCTGGCTTCACTATCCTGGAGGAGTGCAGTTTTGTGTCCAAGGTTGGCCAAACCCACACTTTTGCGTTTCATATGGCTATAGTGTACTTAAAACAATAACATCATAAATAATACATTTTGTTTGTCCTACCAGAGAGAGTAGGTGTGACAGACACAACATGCCTTCATCTTATCAGAAAACTTATCAATAACAACAATAATTTGCAGAGGCACTATTTGATGCATTGGGCTGGGATAGAACCACTATAGTCCCAGTTTTTGAGAGCAAGGAAGTAGTTGAGTTTTTTTACAGATGTTTTGGTTGTTGTGTGGTTTGAATGCATCTATACACTCATGATAACGTTTAGGCATGACTTTTTTTAGCTGGGGTACCAAATTTATTTACCACAACATGCTGTCTTATTAGAAAACATGTTATCTTTAGATAATTGTAAGAATAAACTTTGTGCTTTGGGCTGTGAGCAGATTGGCTGAAAGAGGGGGGTTCTCATTTTCACCATTCTGTCTGAAAAACCTGAAGCCAAAAATACATTCATATGCAAACTAGTGGTAGAACTGTTCAAGAGCAAGGAGCTATTTATATTCTAGCAGATAGTTCAATTTTCTGTGGTTACAAACCTCAGCTTCTCGACCAGTACTTTGCCACCTCAGTCTACCGAACAGTTGATGTTTAAACAACAATTAGAGCAAATGCAGTAATTGAAGTGTGGCATTGATTGCACTGTGTTACAGGTCACATACTACAATCAGGCCACCCCAGGAGTCCTACCCTACATCTCCACTGACATCGCTGGATTGTCTTCTAGCTTTTACAGTTCGTTTTCGGCTTGTAGTCTCTATCTGGAAGCCAACAAACACAGCCAGACAGTATGAAGCCTTCACTGACTCTTGTACAACTCATATGATTTCTCTGGAATGGATTTGACTGTTTATGTAATCATATAGAGTTTAATACTCTAGGATCAAGCCTGGATAGAAATGTAGTACTTCGCTCTCAGTTTGAAGTTACTTATAGATTTGAATGGGGACATATCGTGTGGAATGTGTTTTGGTTTTTTTTAAATACTGAATATTTGCATTTTGATTTATTCCAGTGGTTCTCAACTGGTTCTCAACAAATAAGGCCAAATAAGAACTGAGTTTAGTATATAAATTATGTAAAATACTGTGCATCTACACAAATTATTGTTTTATAAGCATTGAGTATTACTATTTATACTAGTTAGTAAATTAAAACTATGAACAAAATAAATAAATAAAAACTATGAATAATAATAATCAAGGAAATAGACACAAAACAATAATATTTAACTAAATTTGGTTTTGATCTCATTTTCTAAATATAGTAATGAAAACGTTTATTGTACATTTCTGAATATATATATTTTTAATGTTACTTTCAAAATCAACCTTTTTTTTCGCAGATCCCTTTTGTGCCCACTTCTCTTGGGACTTTCTATTACAAAGTTGTTACAATGACCAATTCTAGTCACATTCTGATTCAATTCTAATTATAAAAGGCATGATATGTCCTCTTCAAAATCATTGCTTTCTACCTCTCAGTGTGGTTAGAATTATGACTTAATGTATGTCACTGCAGATCTACTTTGTAACAAGCACTTACATGTTTTCAATGAATAAAGTCGATGGCCAGTGGGTTACCTTCACTTGAGCTGCTGTGTCAGTATGAAACCCTCCCCTCAGCATTCTTGCATTCCATAATTGTTTTATGAGAAAAGAAAATGCAGCTGGAGAGTGTATATTTGTTTTTTTGGATTGTGATATTGTGTTGTAACAGATGCAGACCCTTGGAGCGATGTGGCGCCTGTGACTCATAATGGAAATGCCTTTGAGCGTATCTGCCAGAAAGAATGTAACGTCAGCCTCATAACGCCCATGTGTGTCATTATTCTATTTTCAGAATGGGCCACTTACATGCGACATATGTGTCTTTTTACCTAAACATTTCACTGACCATATGGATCTACATGGATGGATCTGTTTTAAACATTCTGTCTTTCAAGATTAACACAATCGGTGAATCCTTCATTCACTTCTCTGATTCTCCTAGTTGTGAGAATGATTGAATTAAATTGAAATAGTAAATGTTTGTTTTTTATTTCTTATCTAAAATTTATTTCTAAATAGTTAAAAAAAAAACACAGCAGGTTATAATCACAACGTCTCAACAGTGCAGCAGATTCGAATCCCCATTTTTTGATCAAAATCTTTTAATATATATATATATAAAATTTAAATGAAAGGATAATTTACTACAGCGGTTTGGTCTTCAGGTTAGATAAGAAGGAATGTGACTGGAAATGGAAAACTAAAGCCGTTGACGATTTCTTTCATAAATGTGAATGAAATTCGATTATTGTTTTAGGACCCACTTCGTCACATGCGTCACATGCCTTTTCTCTTCGTCATCATGACAAACACGTGTGGTTCTCTGGTTCTGCACTTATCTCCTTATCTGTGTGATCCAGGTTTACCGTCATAAATGTACTCTGAATTCCAAATATAAATTGCACTGTGAAATATGTTAATCATTTTTTAGGTCTAGGTATTATAGTTAAAATAATAATAATAATAAAAAAAACAGCACAAGACCATTTTCTGCAAACCAATCAACGTGAGCGATGATTCAGGGGTGACGTTAACGCCACCCGGAAGTAACCGCACTCACGTTGGATTTGTTTTGATCGAGTAGAAGAGCTTTAATCGCCTTTTTCCTGGAAAAAGCCCGCGATGGAAGAGCAATATAACAAACAGTTAAAGATAGCAACACACAAGAAAATACTTAAATTCAACAATTTGCGAGGTAAGGCAATTGTCACCGCCTCTTTTCCTTATACTTTAAATGACCAGATCATTTCTAAAAGTATTTTGTATCGTTTTTATAACATGTTTATTGACCGTATTTGAAGGGCGTACAGTGAAGCCTGGTGAGTTCTGGGACGTGGTTGTGATCACAGCTGTGGACGAGAGACAGAGAGACGCTTACGAGCTGCAGATCCAGGAGAAAACAGAGAGAAAGGAGCTTCCTCTTGGGATTGACTACAAGGTTATATCTGATCCACCTGGCTGTAAAATCGGTGAGTGGTGCAGTATTCGGAATTATGACTTACTTACTAATATTGTATTGCCCTGTAACGCTACTGGCTAAAATAGATAACATAAATGTGTATATCGTCTCCTCTTGTAGGTAATGGAGGTTCAACTCTGTGCACACTTCAACACCTCTGTGACGTCTATGGGACAGCCCTGAGCAAATTAAAAGTTCTACTGATTCACGCAGGTTTGGTTGTTTTATTAGTCACTGCACTATGACTGAAAAGAAACCTGCACTACTATTGACACTTCTTTCTAATTGCCACTTTTTGTACATAATATGTCCTGCATTAACATGTTGCACATTTCTTACTTTTTGCACACTTCCTGAGTGTTCCTATCCTTGCCAATGTGACATGTAAATTTCTCCTGTGTGAGATTAATAACGTACATCTTATCTTATCTTATCTTATAATAAGATAAGATAAGCCTTATATCAGACTTATATAAGACATAAAGGCTTATATAATAAGCCTTTATGTCGTCATTCCTCACATATGGAGGAAAACTTGGATTCCTAACTTTCAATCTCTCATGCTCTCAATACATTTAGGCTCTATTGTTCTATTACTAGTTTTCACATTCATGTATATTTGACCTCTGTCACATCTTTAGATCAGCTTTGTTTTCTAGTAAGACAAAAGTCAGCATGTTGTGGTCTGGTCTGATGTGTTCACAACATTTCACTTTTACAAGACTTTCTGTTGGGACAAACTTGTATTATTAATGAAAAACGATATTGAAATACTCCAGCTTTAATATCCATAATTGTTTTTTATGTCTTTGTTTTTTCATTTGTTTTAAAAATTGATGCTTGTATTAGAACATGTTTGTGCCAGAGGTTTCTGATATTGGCGTGGATGGATTTTAAAACATCTCCAGGTCTGTTGTTAACTCTGTAACATGGTTAAAAGCTCAAAAAAGTTGATTTTCATAATATGTCGCCTTTAAATCATTCAGTATAACAAATAACGGCCTGACTGTAGATGAAAACTGATATATTTACAGATAAATGGTCTTTAGTTCAAACTTATTTGTCAAATGGCTGATTACTGTATCACTATTGTGTATGTTTAAGTAGTTTGATGTGGACCAGACAATAACAATATTGTATCGGTAACTGTACCTATATTTTCTGTCTGATTGCTGTTTTCCAAATAAGTGTAATTTGCAACATGTATAATAAAAACAAGCAAAAAAAAAAATCAATCAGCATAGATCCTAAAACAGGAAACGTATATGATGTAGTAGTGCTTGACATAATATCATTTTCTCTTGTTTAGGCGGCCTGAGTCAGCGTCTGCCTTGTGCCAGTGCATTGGGGAAGATCTTCACTGCTGTTCCGCTGGGTAATCCCTTGTATCAGATGTTGGAGCTCAAACTGGCCATGTACGTGGACTTCCCTCTGCACATGAAGCCAGGCGTCCTTGTGACCTGCGCCGACGACATCGAGCTGTACAGTATCACCGAAGATCAGCCCATCAGCTTTGACAAACCCGGATTCACAGCTTTGGGCCACCCCTCTCCTCTGTCTATCGGCACCACGCATGGAGTTTTTGTTTTGGCCTCTAACAAAACTCCTCCGCACACCGACATGCAGACTGTTTCCTGCTTCCGCTTTCTACACAAGCCCAGCGTGGATAAAATGCGAGACACTGGAGCCATTTGCCATAGCACCTCGATCGGAGAGTTCGTGTACACGGACAGCACGTATTACGTCGATTTCAACACCGCACACTCGCTGCTGAGTCTGCTCAAAGAGTTGGGGCCGCTGGAATGCGAGATTGACGCATACGGAGATTTTCTTCAAGCTCTCGGCCCAGGAGCTTCCATCGACTACACCAGCAACACTGCCAACGTCACCAAAGAAGAGGGAAATTTGGTTGAAATTCGTAGAAAGATCTTCCACCTTCTAAGAGGAACAACTTTGAACGTAATTCTCCTGAACAACTCAAAGTTTTACCACATCGGAACGACATCGGAATTCATTTTTCATCTCACTCAAGACACATCGCTGAGAAATGAGCTAGGCCTTCTTTCGTCTGCCTTTAGCCTTTACAACAGTGATAAGGACATAGAGTCATGCTGTCTGATGCACAGCGTGGTTGATCCGAGCGTCTCTGTCGGGACCAGTTCGGTTGTAGAGTTTTGCCGGCTTGAAATGGGAGTTTGTATTGGAAAAGGATCCATCTTAAGTAGCTGCTGGGTTGGCCCTGGCCTCTCTGTTCCTGATTCAGTCTTCATGCATTCACTCAGCATCAACCATAAGAATAAAATCGCATTTGTGACTGTTGCGTTTGGGATAAATGACAATCTTAAGCGCTCTGTGGAAAATCTCGCCCTTATCCAAGATCTGCATCTTTATGGTTCGAGTCTCACGGCCTGCCTGTCACTCTGGGGGATGGGCAGAGAAGACTTATCTTTTTCCGGCGATTTGTCCTGTTGTAGTTTGTGGAACGCTTGTCTGTTTCCAGTTTGTTTGGATCCGAAAACATCTTTCACAAAGTCTCTTGAGATGCTTCAGGCAGCACTCAGTGACAACGCTCTGGCTTTGCCCAAAGACGTGCAGCTGGTGTCTATGCAGCAGGCTTTACAGAGCAAGAATCTGAAGGAGATGTTACACTTCAGGACAGCACTTTCAGAGGAAATCTCTCAGAAATATTCCATGCAATAGTCATTTCATTGTATTCATTTACTCATGTTTGTGTATTGGATTGCAGCTATCAATGTTTTCAGTAATCAAGTAATCTATCAAATATTGTCTGATTACTTTAAGATCCAAACAATCAAACTTAATTAAATCAAAATTGCAATTTTAGTGTCTGCAACAGAAGCATCATCTTATATTTCCATGTTGCATCATTTATATAACCTGTCAACATGTGCTGCACAACTTTCATTTGACTATGAATTTTGCAAAAAATATTTTACTTTTTAATTTCTGCTTGGAAAAAATGGTAATTCTCTTGGTTAGAACTGTAGATTGTAAGATAGAACTCTATAAACATTTTCTGAAATGTGTGGCAGTTCTACACTTTTAAACTCTCAACACAACACACATATTGGTTACAAAATCGGGTCTTAATTCATCATAAAACCTAATGAATGTTTTTACTTTCTGTACCTTTGTTCTTACCTCTGTATTTTTAAGTGCCTTTTATAAATGCATTTGAGACAACAGTATGATTCATAAGAAAAGACAATTTTATGTGTGAAATAAAAAACATTTTATGAAAGATAAATCACGTTGAGAGCGGTTTGGCACCGCCGTTATTATTATAGATCCATGGGCACCGCATGGAAACCGCTCTGTGTGAAACATCGAAGCATTACAGTTCCTACAGTTTTACTTAACCTTCAGTCATTATGAAAAAATAACTAATTCATTGAGGAAAAGTTATTTACAACCACAGTTGCTAGAATCTTCTGGCCTGTGACACATCTCTAAAACACTGATTTTAGCAAAAACTGTACCAACTGTTTATGTGTAACAACTTATTTGCTGCTTTCATTTAAACAATAGTGCTAGTTTTTTGTTTGTGAATTTTGTCACATATATAAATATATATTGCTAAAGTCCTAACAAACCCAAAGAGACTCATTCAGCTCTTTTATTGGATAATTGGTTTGAAAATCTTGTCTTTGTATTTCTCATATTTTATCTTTAAACTTTTGTTCAAAAAAGTGAGCTTTGTAATCTTGCCCCAGCATGCCCTGTGTAATTGCTGCTCACATTTGAAGCCATATCAGTTGTCATTGTAGTAAGGCATTCCATTCAAAGGGTTTTATTTTTAGCTCCTCACCATGATCCCCTTTATCTGCTCTGGGGCAATTGTGGGGCAGTTATTCAAACGGCAGAGCACGCATACGGAGCGCCCACTGTTTCAATGGGAAATTATAAATCCAGACCCTCTCAGACGTGCACAGGTAAAGCTTTGACGGATACATTATATATGCCGTAAGTATGTATTATGTGAAGTGTTCGTAATATACCTGTTCTCGCTTGGATCATTGTAATTTGTTCTATTACAAAGGTTACAATTAGTTAAAAATGCAGCTGCAAAGTTTCTGACAAGTTTAAGGAGGTATGAGTTTATTACTTCTGTTCTGGCTGCCTGTCACTGGTTACACATTAGGTTTTGCATTGATTTGTAAGTCATATCTATAACCTTTAAATTACTATACGGACTGGAGCTATCATTTGTCTTCTCGAGCACCAAGGTCGGGTGAAGACTCTGCTGGTCGTGCCCAGGACCCGTACATCCACACATGGTGATTGGGCAGTTTCAGCCTTGTGGAATACATTGTGTCAGGCAGACACAATCAGTATCAGTAGCTCAGTTGGTAGAGCATTGGCCTTTGAGTCATGGGTTCGAGCCCGACTTTCACCATCGACTCCCACTGATGTCTGCTGTTGTTGTGTCCTTGGCAAGACCCTTAACCTCTGGGAACACCTGATGCCACAGTGGGGCGGCTGCGACTGTAAAGTGCCAAACTGCCGTTGTGTCCTTAGGCAAGACACTTCACCCCCATTGCCTAGAATGAGTGTGTGTGTGAATGGTTGGTGGTGGTCGGAGGGGCCGATGGCACATACTGGTGGCCTCGCTTCTGTCAGTGTGCCCCAGGGCAGCTGTGGCTACAGTAGTAGTTTATCACCACCGTGTATGGAGTGAAAGAATAATGACATGTGAGGCGTCTTTGAGTGTCCAAAAATGCATTAATATTATACAATCCTTCTTTTTCCCGCCCCTTCTTTCAGAAATCAAACAGTGTTATTGGATTAACCTTTCTCCAAGCTTCCCACACAAGCAATGATACACTAAAATCCAACACAATAAATATATTAAAAATCCTCCTTAAACATAATCCCCATCTCTATGTGTGAATCATTTCTGTATACTTTGCTTTTTGAAATATTAGCGCTGTTCTGTGCACTAGGTTTTTGAATATGAAAATGTTTAATATTTAGATTTTTCTTTGAAATGTTTGCAGTTTATATACAGTAGTAGTTCTGCAAGACAAATAATAAATAACTCATTGTTAAAGACTTGTTTTTACACTATGGCATTTGATAGAGCAGTTTTTGGTTTTGCTGCACTTTGCTGCCTTTGTTGTGTGAAGCACTTAATAACAGTTGTTTAGAAAGATACTATACAGATAAAGTTTATTGTTATTTGTATCTATAGATGAGTGGAAGAAGAAGGTGTGTGAATCTTACACTGTCATCATCGAGAGACTGGAGGATGATTTCCAGCTTCATGAGACACAGATCGCGGACCTCAACCTTGCCTTTAGGTGAATGCTTTTTTTCTTTTGAATTCTATCTTGCCTTTAGGTATAATATCATTTTGTCTCCCAGCTCCGATGAGGCATTTCAGAAGGTGAACTTGAACTACAGAACAGACAAGGGGCTGTCGCTGCTCCATCTCTGCTGTGTCTGTGGAGGTATGTGTGACCACAGTCTATTAATATCTGCCAAACAACATGTGTCAGTGAGAGGATCAGACCCTGGGACTCTTTGACTGTTCAAAGAAAACATTGTTGTGTATTTACCCCCAGGTAGAAACCTCTGTTATTTTCAGTCTTCGTTGGTGGTTATGTGAAGTCTTTATTGTCAAATAAATCTGTTTTAAATTTTCACACTATAAAGATGGCAGAAACTCCCCAAATGACCCTGATCAGAAAATTACATCCACGTTCTCATGGAGAACTTTTTATCCCACTCATTGTTGGTGGTTGTGTGTCTATTGTTTAATAATGATAATAGCATAAAACTATAAAGAATGTGCCATCAGAGGAGATAAAAACCTCATCCACAACTACCACCCAGACAGCTTTTGGGAACGGGAACATAGAGACTTATAATCAATAGTTTCTGTTGTCATTATAATTTGATAATAATAAACACATATGGCTTAAGAAATGTCCTGATTCTCTAAATTGTGATTAAATTAATAAATGCAGTCATATTTCTGCCCACAGGAAATAAAGGACATCTTAGGACCTTGCTCCTCAAAGGCCTGCGTCCCACACGACTGTCTAAAAACGGCTTCACCGCTCTTCATTTAGCGGCTTACAAGGTTGTTACAAGTGTCTATTATTTACGTTCAACACATCCATCAGGTCTTTCTGGTGTGCTACCACATGGTGGAGTACAAGTACACACAAATCCATCAGCAGTAGAGCCTCACTGAGCTGTGGTTGATGCACATGTGTTGGTTTGACACCTGTTACAGTCAGCTGTCGCTCTGCAGGACAACGCTGAGGTGGTGACCGCGCTGCTTCATGGGGGGGCAGATGTGCAGCAGGTGGGCTACGGGGCTCTGACTGCTCTGCACGTGGCCACATTAGCTGGGCACCATGAGGTAGGATCAGGATTATAATCTACTACTTGAAAGTTTATACCCCCTAGCAGATATTTCATTGCTTTTGCCATAGATCCTTAATGATAACACTGGTTTTCATGGTGGTAGCCAATAAATGCCTAATAAGCATGGTTTATTTCTATTTTCAAATCATGGTATCATTGAGCTGATATGTGGAGAGGTGCAGTTAATGCAACGCCCAGGAATTTACAGAAACTGGAAACTTTTTGCCAAGCTGCTTTGTTGCTTTATTTTCAGAAAGGATAAAGAGCCTCATTCACAACAGACTCGTAGCTGTCAGAGATGTTACTCTGAACTAGGGAGACTTCTGATCCGGGTTATGTGGGTTGTTTCTATTTGACATTATAATTTGAAAATAGAAAACACATTTATTTAGTGTTAAATATCTTCACCTAACCTCTAACAATGATTGGCAAAAAAGAGTTAGACTTTTACGAAATCTATAGCCCAACCATTTTAGCGTTTTTCATCTACTTTGTTCTAATTGTTGTGTGTAAAGGCGGCGGATATCCTCCTACAACATGGAGCATTTGTGAATGTCCAAGATGCTGTGTTTTTCACCCCACTTCACATCGCTGCATACAGTGGCCATGAGCAGGTAACATCTCTGAGCTTTCTTCTTTAAACCTGGCTGTTTGTGGTCATATGAATACATGTGTTCATGTTTCAGGTGTCAAGACTGTTGTTAAAGTTCAGCGCGGATGTGAACGCCGCTGGAGAAGTCGGGGACCGGCCTCTGCATCTGGCTGCAGCAAGGGGCTACCTCAGCATCTGCAAACTTCTTATGTCTGAGAAAAGCAAGGCGAATGGTGCTGTTATTTAAACACATTCAAAATATTGTCTTTGGCTCATTCTCAGTTGTTTGTACTCCTCAGTAAACGCGCAGGACAATGAGGATCACGTCCCTCTTCACTTCTGTGCCAGATTCGGTCATGACCAAATCCTGCAGTATCTTCTGCAGGCCGACTCTGACGTGCAGCCCCATTCTGTCAACATTTATGGGGACACGCCATTACACTTGTAAATGTTTTTATTGGTAGTTCCCAAGACGTTTAGTCACTGAAATGCTCTTCTGACTAAGCCGCGTAACATGCTATTGTGCTTCAGGGCTTGTTATAATGGAAAGTTTACAGCTGTGAAGGAGCTCGTCCAATTTTCGGGAACAGACAGCATTCCTAAAGAAAACATTTTCAGCGAGACGGCACTTCACAGGTAACTTTTAATCTTTTATAATCTTTTATTGTACATAGCGCAATATGTATATGCACCATTTCTCAACAGTGCTTGCACATATGGAAAAGACCTGGAGATGGTCAAGTTTCTTTTGGATCAAAATGCGATGAGCATCAACCACCAAGGCCGAGACGGACACACTGGTATTATTTATTTATTTATTTTGGACACACTGGTATTGACAAATGAAGCCAATAATTCCCTTTGGCTGGCGTGTCCACAATTTGGTACAGAAATCAGACGAAGATATCCAAGTTTAACATCTGCATTTAATTATCTTTACAATCAGATACAGAATATTCAACAAAAAGGTGCTCCTAAACTAATATGTCCCTCTCCTGGCCCTCGGCTGATTTTCTCTCGTCTCTTCCCAAGCCAGAGCATTATGTTCAGGGAGCAGGGGGCGTGTCGTATCAGGGAGGTCCTGTGCCCAGGGTCCGATGACGTCACAGGTCTGAAACTGGTCTCTGGTCTGAGACTGGTCTGGTCTCTGCTTAAGCAAACAATGCCCCCACCCGTGCGGCGCCTGTGTAAACGCAGCTGCTGCGGGAGGGGGCTGCGGGGGATCCATAGGTCAAATTTGCCACACATGTGTTTATTCTGGGAGTCAATAATTGTCTGGCTTTTGTAAGCTGGTCCTCCTTTATGATTCTCGTACTTCTTGTGTCCTTGGGGTTTTTCCTGAGTGCACAGAGGTCTTTTTTTGGCTATGATGTTCAAATGGTCAAATATTGTCACATCTGAATAGTGTAGATTTAAAATATACAACAGTTCCCCTCTGTTGACCTATATTAAACCAATTTAGGTCACAATCTTTCAATATCCCTTCTGGGTGACGGGACTGGGGAGATTCCATCATCCTAGTTCTGGCTCGATATCTGTGAAGAGTTAATACAGGAAGACAAACAACACACAACCACATTGAAACATTCCTTCACTAAACTCTTTGATGACCACTGCTGTCATTCTGATTCTTCTTCAACCTCGTCTGTAATGTATGCACTAAAACTATTCACTATAGTTTAAACTATTCTAATCTATTTACCAATATGTTTGCATCTTTGCTTTTATTGAGCCATATTCTTAAACATATGTTTTTATCTAATAAATCTATCTATACTGTGGTTTGCTGTCATTATCAGTGGCTCTGTGCCATTTTGTGGGGCTTTGCTCATTTTTCCAAACACATTTTGTTGAACCAGGAAGTGCTGTCACTTCCTTCTCTCAGACCGTTTGGGATAAATGTACATCGTTAATCAAATTGGTATTATCCGTACAGGAGCTAATCTATTTTAGCAGGTTTCTCTGGGGTTAGTCCCTATACAACGGTATTTTGATTCTCTAATCTGTTGCTGACAAATCGACAACTCTTAAAATTCTCAAAACTACCTAAAGATCTACTTTTGTGCTATACCCAAATACATTAAAATGCTTTCAAATGTTTTTGAATCTGTGTTGGTTCTAATCGATCTCATTAATCTATCTCATTAGCTTTTTGCATTGTCAACATTCACCTATGTTTGAAACAAGTGAATTTGACAGTATCTAATAAAACTGTGCATAAACTGTAATGAACTTTATCTACCTTTGAAGTAAATACTTTTGGACATAATATGAAGGAAATGGTCTTTTTACCGTTTGATATTAGCCCTGTCTAAAAATAATCTCTATTTTTGAAAGCATCTATCTATTTTACACTCTATTGTGACTCCAAATCTTGGTTGTAGTTTGAGCCAAAGCATATTCCCAACTTTTGAGTTCTGATTGTAACAATAGCATTGGCAATAGACGATTTTTTATTGGCCGGTTCTTGTTCTGCAAATCACTATTCTATGTATTGTATTTCAGACAATTCCAAAAACAACACAGTCGTTCTCCAATATTAAAGACATACATCTAAATCAAGTTGCCTGAAAGGGATTTTAACTATTTTAAAACGTTCTCTACGATTATAAGGCTATGAAATTAATTATTTAATAAACAAAAGCACATTCATGGCTTCTGTCCGCTGCTTATAACTGTTTAAAGAGTTGTCCCAAACTTAATATGTGTAAATACATCAGCTGTTTGTAATAAACAATAACATTTGACCTGTTCTCCAATGGAGCAGCTCAGAGGCTGCGTCAAGAGCAGTGTTATATTTGAGCTATTTTTAGATTTAAAATTGTGTTAAAGCCTGTCGTTCTATGTCTGCATTTTAATACTACTCTCTATAAACACATCTGCACTAATTCCTACAGATGTGGAAAACAGAAACATCTAAAATCTGACTCCATTTGATTCCTTTTTTACTTTAGTTATTAGAACAATTTGACCTTATTGATACTTATTTCCACAATAGAACTATTTTGATTATTCACTAGTCTAACTATTATTACTATTGTTTATTCTGACACTTCAACCTATAGCTCCTCGAATCCAATGACATTATAGCTCCAGACTATTTCATTCTATTCTATTATTATCTTATTATTATATGATCTATTATCTTAAAGAGTAGATCTGTTTGATGTTATAAGCGCTATTATTTCTCCTTTTAAATTTGCACAACACTAAATTTAGAATGACCCCCTATGGGACAAATATAGAATTTTATTTCATTTTGGCAACTCCGAAAATTACTTAATAATTTTCCCATTTTGCTTTTTTAGGCTGCCCTTTCTATTATTTATTTGTTCTTGTAAATATATGTTTTACACTTCTTTCTAATGATTTAGAAGGTTAAGGACCATGACCACCTATGACAATACAATACTCCCCTCTGTTGGTCGTGGTCCAAAGTATAAAACATGCATCTGTGTGTGTGTGTAGATTACTGTTCCAATCCTGTTGTTCCTCCCGGATCGTCCTCAATTCATATTGTGGGCTTTGGTGCCAAAGTAGAGGCTCATTTCCTTAATTCATACTACTGTCATCCCTGAAGCAGGTGCAGTTTATCCTTCATCTGAAAAACAAACATTAGAACACAAGAAACGCCCACTTTCCTCTCTTCGCATGGTGCGGCCTGTCAATCAATCCAATTGGGCAAAACATAACTGCATTGACAGACGGTGTGTGGCATCAGGGCAGAGGCTGTAGCCAAATACAGACTTAACAATATGTATGTTTCTAATTTTACACTCCCCTAAATGTGAGTTACAAACCAAAGTTGTCCTCCTCCCAATGACCGCTCACTGCGGTTGGACCGAATCACTGTCCGGACAAACAGCAGAGGGAGGGGCTCCCAGTACCTTCAGCGAGGTATTTCATCTCAGAGTACTTTCCGCAGAGTACTTTTCTCAGAGTACTCATCCCAGAGTACTCTCACTTTTACACCTGTTCAATAAAGCTTGTCATCTTTGAATCTCTAGTACTTACACCGTATGCTGTTGACAAAAAATAATTATTCCATGATCACATTAAAACATTACAGAAAACTTTTGTTATTCCATGATTCCGTTCAGCACTCCTCGTTCACTCCACAACACACTCACAACACACTCACAACACCCCACGTTAGTATTGGTCCAGTTTGTTAAGGTCAACGTAGTGTATTTGACATGACGCACAAACATATAACATACACAAACATATAACATACACAAACATATAACATACACAAACATATAACATACACAAGAGGCCTGTAATTTTAACTTTGTTATATTTTTCCATGTCCAATTACAATTGTCTCATGAGCTATTTTATAGTTGCAACTTTCAGAGCCTGCAGAACATGCAAAGCTTTGAGAGATTTTTCCTAAAAGGATCCATTTCAAACTTTAGTGTTTAAACCACGTGGTCTTTACTCGGGCTTGTCACAAACTGTGTCCCCTATATTTTTAATGAGCTCTTGTTACTTAACAAAAAAACTCATGCACGTGCAATAAATGTTTTTCCCTTTTTTTTTTTTAAGCCAGTTCGGATTCCTTAAAAATGTAAATTAGTTTCAAACTTTAATACTTCACCTTTGTTTCACGTTCATGTGGAGAAAAGACCATTGTGTTATGTGTGTGTACTTGCGCCAATCATGTCTCAGATAAACTGCCAACAGTTATATCAAAGACATAATTGTCCTAATTGTTTCTAATTTAGCTATTTGGAAGAGAAACATGTCATAAAAGATTTCAAAAAATGTCCCTACATCTTTGTTTTCAACCAATGAACAGTGTTGCGTCTATGTGTTATCAGAAATGATCCAAAATCACCTTCAGCCAAAATTCAGAAATGCTTTAAATCATTTTTCAAACTTTAATTGTCTGAACAAACCATTTTGTACTAAATGCAGCGTCCATTAAGAGCTGCAGTTCTCTTTCTAGCACCAGTTTCAACTGTGCATGTGACTGTTTTTAAATGATTAACGAACCACGGTTCAAAGGTTGAAAACACTGCTTTAAATATCCGTATTACCAAGATCATGCAGTCAAAATCAATAATTCTAAACTTCTCCGCGTCTATAACTTTAAATAATACTAGTTTCAATAATAGAGCTCCTCTACTTTAAATATACTGCTGTTCTAATCTCCTTGTGTCTCATGCTAAAGCAAGAGTCTAATTAATTTTAACGATTGTCCTGTAATCTTTCATGCAGCTAAATGTGGTGTTATGAACGAATGACCTAAATGTGTAAATATGACTTAATATGTCTCTGTGCGTTTGTTGTCTGTCTGTATATTTACCTTCTGTGTGTCTCATTTAGGCCAGCCACGTCTCAAATGTCCGTTAATGTCTTTCTTTTACTCATGGCGTCTTTCAATGTCTTTTGTCTCAAAGTGTCCAATGTCTTTGTCTCCATGTCTTTTTTCTTCTTCTTTCAACAATCACTTTCTTTCTTCTTCCGATAACTCTTTCTCATAATGTCTTTCTTCTTCTTTCAACAATCACTTTCTTTCTTCTTCCGATAACTCTTTCTCATAATGTCTTTCTTCTTCTTTCATATCTGACGCACCCAAATGTGTCGTGTCCTTCTTCTTCTTGTTTGGTTTTCCGGCGGTTGGCGGCCTATTCTTCGCATTACCGCCACCTTCTGTTTCGTGGATGGGACAACACTCAGTTTGTGAAAAAGTCTGCGGTCTTTTCTTTGCCTCCTCACAGGCAGGAGAAGTCTTCTTCGAGAGTTCCTGTTAGCTGCTGCAGCCGATGCTGCCCCCTGCGACCCGCAGGGAGAGGGGGAGACGCTGATGATGATGATGATGATGCTCGGTTGTGGTTTGTGGCAGGGACGATTTTTGGCCAAATGAAACAGACAGAAGTTTTCTCGGAAAAAACAGACAAACAAGAAACACAAACAAGTGTGTTAATTACCATACCAAACCAATGATTAATTACAATTCAAAATAAACCTATGGAATAATTAATATTAACATTTTAAACATTAGATTCTGAAAACCGAATTCTGCATTCAACTGCTATCCTAAGCCCTATTTTTCCAAAAGTATAATGCTCTCTAAGATCATTCTAACTTTTATATCACCAAAATGTAGGGAAAAAAACTTGTCTAGACGCCTTGGAGATAAAAAATAAAAAATAAAATAATGCCTCTTTATAATCTAACTCAAAGTTCTGTGATCCTATGACTCCATGTCAGTAACAATATCGTGTGTATAAATGTAATTTTCTACAAATCAAAAAATGTCTTTGGTAATAGTTCTGTCTTCACGAGAGAGAGAGAGAGAGAGAGAGAGAGAGAGAGAGAGAGAGAGAGGACAGAACGAGGGAGGGGAGGGGCCTCCCGAACAAAGGAAGCATGGAGTCTGAAATACTTTCCTCGTTTTTCTCGTGACAAGGTTTTAAATCAGTGGTAAAAGTTTCTCTCACGTCAAACGACACTTTACATTTTATCCTTAAATACGTCAGTAATGGAAAACATTACTATTTGCTTACATGATTAATGTATCGAGAGTTCCAGCAGAATCTTTTTTTTTTTTTCCTGATTCTCTGTAACTATCGAAACATTACATCAAGAGAAAAACTTTGATGTAATTACATACAAGAGAAAAACTCCCAGACTGATCTTTTGTCATTTCTTCACATGAAACTCGTATACTACAGCCAAGAGGCTCTCTTTTTCCTCATTAATCAGATCATTATTATCAGAATCCACATTTTAAATACTTGGCTTTTCTTCTGTTTAAATTAATTGTGCCCTTTTCCCCACCCCCGGGGGATATGGAGTTTTTATTATCCTATAACTTCTGACCCTAACTATCCCTATTTCTCTAATTCTATTCCTATTTTTTCACTAATTCCCTTGTGCCTCTCTGCACGAAGGTGTGCCTCTTTTGCACTTATAAACCCTGTGGCTCTTTTCCTGTATATTCTTTTTTAGAGAGAGACCAACATCCCTCAAGGTTCAAAAACGTCTAAACCTGACTATTGTTCTATCGCGTCCGATAGAACGCCCGTCACGGCGGTCTGGCCACGCTGCAGTCATGCTGGGCCGAGATCTCTCTGTCTTCTATTTAAAACAATGTGCAGACTTTAGAAATGGTATCTGCTTACCTGTGTTTTGCAGTAGAGAGAGCCCCAAGACCCAACAGACCCAGTCTATCTATCTGAGCTCATCTTGCGTCTTCTTTCTGTATCAAATCACGTCTCGGGTCACCAAATGAAGCCAATAATTCCCTTTGGCTGGCGTGTCCACAATTTGGTACAGAAATCAGACGAAGATATCCAAGTTTAACATCTGCATTTAATTATCTTTACAATCAGATACAGAATATTCAACAAAAAGGTGCTCCTAAACTAATATGTCCCTCTCCTGGCCCTCGGCTGATTTTCTCTCGTCTCTTCCCAAGCCAGAGCATTATGTTCAGGGAGCAGGGGGCGTGTCGTATCAGGGAGGTCCTGTGCCCAGGGTCCGATGACGTCACAGGTCTGAAACTGGTCTCTGGTCTGAGACTGGTCTGGTCTCTGCTTAAGCAAACAATGCCCCCACCCGTGCGGCGCCTGTGTAAACGCAGCTGCTGCGGGAGGGGGCTGCGGGGGATCCATAGGTCAAATTTGCCACACATGTGTTTATTCTGGGAGTCAATAATTGTCTGGCTTTTGTAAGCTGGTCCTCCTTTATGATTCTCGTACTTCTTGTGTCCTTGGGGTTTTTCCTGAGTGCACAGAGGTCTTTTTTTGGCTATGATGTTCAAATGGTCAAATATTGTCACATCTGAATAGTGTAGATTTAAAATATACAACACAAACTATAGGTTGCGTTCATGGGACATCACAACATTCCAAAAAGACCATAGATTAACAGAACACCTTGGTATTTTGTTGCGCTGTAAGCTAACCCTTGCCTTATTACCAACACTAATTCAACTCCATTAATTCAATATTAAGTACACTGAGAAAACTGGTTCGTAGTTTTGAGAAAATGACATAAATATAAAGTATTTAGTATCATAAGTATACCTCAACCCAGTTTGAAATATCACAATTTTAGGCCCATAGTTTGTGATAGGGGGAAGTTGAGTGAAGGTCCACATTCCACACAACAGTGATCAAAAACATATGTATGATGTTAGCCAGTAGAAACGACTTGGAGACATCAAAACAATATGCAATCTTTGTGAATCTAATGTATAAAAATAATCCGGGAAAACATTTATATTATTTTACATGTTAAAACAAAAAAACTGCTTATTTCCCATAGAATGTATCGCCACCTGCTGTACAACTTAAATAGAATTCTAGAATAATTCTGTATTTATTGGATTGATAGAATTGTGACTTTTCAGATGATTCTTGTGTCTGTTCAGCTCTCCACAGTGCCTGCTTTCACGGTCACATTCGCTTGGTGCAGTTCCTCTTAGATAGCGGGGCCGACATGAACCTTGTGGCCTGTGACCCCAGTCGATCCAGTGGAGAGAAGGATGAACAGACCTGCCTGATGTGGGCTTATGAAAAAGGTCAGTGTTTTGTTTGTTACAATGTCTTTTCATTATCTATTTGTAAATACATGTTCTAATATTAGGTCATGATGCTATCGTGACTCTGCTAAAACACTACAAACGACCTGATGATTCCCCGTGCAATGAGTACTCTCAGCCAGGAGGGGGTGAGAATGATTGAGTTTGGACAATTAGAATATCTCAAAAGTTCATTTATTTCTGTAATACAACTTATAATGTGAAGAACTATATAATACAAATTACATGCAAAGTATTGCATAAGGTTTTGTAAAAATAATTCTATAACAATTTCTTACAGCTCAGTTTCAAAATATTATTTGTAAGTAATGTTTTTTTATATAGAGCATTTTACAGACCAAGGTCACCCAAAGCGCTTGGTGACCTTGGTCACTCTGAACTCAATGTTCAGAGTCAGATATTGTTCCAATCATTCCACACACGGTGATGACAGAAGCGAGTCCAGAACACACTGGACCATCAGCTCCAACACCATCCATTCACTCTCTCATTTACATTCAGACCTATTGTGCATGTTTTTAGTGGTAGGGGAAACCGGAGCACCCGGAGGAAACCTACGCAGACACACTCCTCTCAGAAAGGCCCTGTTCCAACCCAGGACCTTCTTGCTGAGTGGCGAGAGTGCTATCCGCTCAGCCACCGTGCCGCCCCTATTTGGGGTTTTTACAGGCTGTGAGCAATAATTATCAACAAATAAAAACTTGATGTCTGCCTTATTTTAGTTCCACATTGTAAGTTGGATCAGAGATAATTACAGGTTACAAAATAAATGGACCTTTGAACAATATTCTAACTTCCTGAGTTTCAAACGCACAGTACATATGCATTTGTAATGGGCTGTCCCTTTTTCTAGATGGATCTTATGTTTCTGTGCCTTCTCCTCTGGGAAAGATCAAAAGCATGACTAAAGGTATTGGAATGAACTTTTTCAAACAGTGAATGCACAAAGTAGATGTTTAAATCTAACTATCCATATATTTACTCTATATTTATGAATGTTTGGCCACTGGCACAAACATAGAGCAGCTTTCGCATACACAAAAGTGAGTGAAAAGGAATGACCTCAGCACAAGCCAATCAGCTCCCAGCCCAAAGAGTCACACATGCTGGAGATAACGTTCAGCTTTTTGTCACAAAGCTTTGCATTTACTTTCACTTTCAGCGGGAAGAAAAATTTTTGTCCTCCAAATTAGTAAACAGTAGGTGTAGGATGATCTGAATGGTTAGCGCTTAGGACTAATAAATATGTGGGCACTACTTCTCCCTCGCCAGCTCCTCTTGTTCACGTTCATATTATGGCTCTTTTGTAGTTGAATTGTACTTTGTTCTTTTTACAAATCCTGCCTCTTTTGCCCTTTCTTTATAGAGAAAGCCGAGGTTCTTCTGCTCAGGGCTACGCTACCATCTCATTTCCAGCTACAACTTTCTGACCTGGAATTTAATGAAATAATTGGATCAGGTAAATTATAGCTCTTCATCTTACCAGCCTCCCTCAGCGCTAGACATGAGTAATTATTAAATGATTGTATTAATTCTAGGTTCCTTTGGAAGGGTTTATAAAGGCAAATGCAGAAACAAAGTTGTTGCAATCAAACGGTAATTCTTCATCTACTTTGCTTGTTTAAAATGCGTATAATATCTTTAAGTTGATTTATTTCGCGCTGTGCAGGTATCGAGCCAACACATACTGCTCTAAGTCAGATGTGGACATGTTCTGCAGAGAGGTGTCCATTCTGTGCCGCCTCAACCACCCCTGCATCATCCACTTTGTGGGCGCCTGTCTAGACGACCCCAGTCAGTTTGCTATTGTCACTCAGTACATCTCTGGAGGCTCCCTCTTCTCCCTGCTGCATGAACAGAAGAGGTGAACACAGAGCTTTGGTTTAAGAGTTGTTTGTGAGTGTGTTCAATTTCTTTATTTCTGGTAATGGAGGTAAGTTGTGTTAATCAAATTGGCCATTTGATTTCCAGAGGCAAAGCATGTCCAGACAGTTTTCAAACAGCCTTAATGAGTTATTTAGTGTCAGACAAGTGTGCTGGCTCAGAGCAGCGTTCTTTGAGCTCTCATTATGCCGCGTGGAGTCTCCTCTCCAATCACTGGCCCTGGACCTGCCATTGAGCCAGATGGAGTGTTGGACTAAGTCAGCTCAGGTGTGCTCTTTATAGACTGCCCTATTGATCTGTGCTAAGTGCTGTGTGTGATTGGCAGAGGCATTGATCTTTCTCTAAGTGGCTGCAGTTTTACTGATCTGTGCGGAACAGGCTCATAGACCTGCAGTCCAAGCTCATCATCGCGATCGATGTGGCCAAAGGCATGGAATATCTCCACAACCTGACCCAGCCCATCATCCACCGGGACCTCAACAGGTGGGCGTGTGCACGGACTGGACCCAGACACCATGATGACCACTGTGTCTGTCTGCTTTCAGCCACAACATCCTGCTCTATGAGGATGGCCATGCGGTGGTGGCGGACTTTGGAGGTAATTAAGGAAAAACTATATTTGTCCAATTTTTTTTTAAAGCTGGAGTACTAGTTTTTTTGTTTCATAAATACATTTTGTGAACCAATCAGACTGCATCATGTAAACCTTATATCCTTACATACTGAGAGCTGATTGGTTGAGTGAAGGTCGTACTCTGTTTTCAATGAAAATTCATACATTTTCTATTTACTATGAAATCCTTTTCCATATTGTGTTTCCCAACCAGGGGAGTCTCGATCTTCAATAAAAACACATTCAGTTAATTAGAAAATTCAAGAAAATGATTTGGTTTGAAACCCCTATTTCAAATATTACCAATACCAAGTCCAATACCAATCCCAATAAAAAAATGTGTTTTGACTTTCCAGGTAAAAAGCAAATGGTGAAGAACTTCACCAATCAAAAAATCCAAGGCACTCGTGGTCAGTAGTTTAGAAAAGTTTAAAAAGCCTTTATTTTCTCATGGCTGTGGATTAAAATACGCACCAACGCGTTTCAGCCTAGCTTGGCCTTCTTCAGGGTGCAAAATCCCAATACTTTGGTTTCAATATCTGTCGATATCCATTATGAACAAAGATACAGTTTGTATCTGAAGGGATTGCAGATTTTTGCTCCCCTCAAATTATCATTACAAACTTATTACAAATTGGTTCAATTGTGTTTTAAATTTGCTTTTGATCCTGTGAATAACAACAGAATAACATATGACATTCTGGGCTAACATCAGCTTTTTTAACAGAAAAATAAAGGTCTAGTCAAAATACTGACTGATATCTTCACACGGATGTCCAACATGGACAAAGCTATCGATGGCAGTATTCTATTGGTGTATCCCTCTATGTAGTTCTGTGTGGCACGTGTAAAGACTCTTATGTTAAACACAGACACAAAGCAAACACTTTTTGGTAGACGGTGTTTTAAAAAACTGTTTATTTTGCAGAATCTAGGTTCCTTCAGTCTGTGGATGAGGACAACATGACAAAGCAGCCAGGGGTCAGTGTGATTTCATCTTCCCAGTTCAAACTTCTGTACAGACAGTGTGTTGTGTTGTCTTGTGTTGTGTGTGAGCTGTGTGTGTTGTATGTTGTCTCTTCACACCTGCCATCAATTACCCAGTGGCTGAAAAGAAGCCACGATGCAGATTTGGAGCTGAATCATCTGTACGCAGAGTGCTTGGGCAGCAGTTTTGTACTAAGTCTCTCTGGGGAGCGGGCTGTTGTGAGAAACCACTTGCCCTTGCTGGGACACAGTGTTTAAGCTCTAATTGGGCGTCACTGCATGTGTGTGTGTGTGTGTGATTTATTGTGGCATAACATTTTAAATCAATACATCTCCTCATCTGTATCACAGGATCATAAATGTGTTTGTTTGGGCAGAATCTGCGCTGGATGGCTCCGGAGGTCTTCACACAGTGCACCCGTTACTCGGTGAAAGCAGACATGTTCAGCTATGCACTGTGTCTGTGGGAGCTGCTCACCGGAGAAGTCCCATTCGCACATTTGAAACCTGGTAACTTACTTGTGGGACAGAACCCCTGCTAAATATCTAGTTTCACATCAAGGTGAAGAAATTATTTTAACCTGGTAACATTCACTCCTTGAAAAAAACAATGTAATGTGCTTTTTTTTTTTTTTTTTTTTTAAAGATGTAGGACACTAATAACACAAATATTACTTCTTTTAAAGTTTTTTTTTCTTTATTTTTACCCCTATTTGAAAACAAAAAATTATAGGCCTTTACCAAATGGTTGAGATTGTTGGTAAAAGTGCCTACAACCAAGTGAGATGCCCCAAAGAGGTATATTTCAGTTCCAAACAGGCTTACAGTATATTTATTGATTAAGAAGGTGATCCAAACCATTAAAGGGTTAAAATGTACAGAAAGTAATCGTAAAAAAAGAGTATTAAAATGGAATCCCTCCACCTCTGCCGTGCGCAGAAAGCAGTTATCTGTCAGTTTAACGTTCATTCAACAAGTTATGTACTGTATGTGTTGTTTCATACTTTGCATACTCATTCTATACCTAAAACGTGACCTCTTAAAGTAGAGAAAACGCACTTTTCATTCATTAATATTACATGTATTTTCCTTGATTGCCCTGACAAACACATGTCGAGGGTTGAAACCTGTAGGCATCACGTCCATGCAAACATCCTTGTGAGCCACTATTTGACTCTTGGGGCTGAGAGATGATTGGCTGAGTGGGGGTGGTCCTCTCTTTTTCACTTTTCTGTTTGATAAGGTGATCTACAGATGAGACAGAGGCCAAAGAGACATGCATGTGAGAACAGATCGTGATAGAAGAAAACTTTTGAGAGCAAGAAACTAGTTAAATGGATTTAACATCAAGCCACTACTTCTTTGTAGTTTAAATGTTGAAGGTTTACCCTAGCTTTAAGTATTTATAATTACCCACATGATATCATTAGCCAGTGATGTATGAATACAAGCCTGTGATCTGTCTTTAAAACATATCTCTTTGCGTGTAGCTGCAGCAGCCGCAGACATGGCCTATCACCATATTCGCCCTCCGATCGGTTATTCCATCCCCAAACCCATCTCTGCCCTTCTGATGAGAGGCTGGAACAACTGCCCAGAGGTACATCGGTATAACATATTAAAAAGGCAAATGGACTTGGAAGTTGAGCTGTTTTGCATGCGTGCCTATAGGAAAACATAAAAGGAACACCCATTTCCCTGATGGTGCATAAACAGCAGTGTGTTCATAATTGGCTACGAATGTTGTAGCCTTGTTCTAATAAGGATTCAGAACACGTTGCAGCAGTTCTTTGGTTGTTCAATCACTTCTTGTTGCCAGGTTTTTATCCACTTATCTTAAAATGTCCTCCCTGGGTAATACACTTGTGCCACTGAAAAGGTTTTGACAAATTTCTATTTTCAGAGGATAATTTGCACTTGCACTGCTGTTAGGTCACTACAGGGTTAAGACGGGACAGACACAGGGCCATCACTTTGTATTCTATATGTGTTATTTTTGACTTGTGTAATGAAATATTTCTGTTTTAATGGCGTATAAATGTGTTCCTTTACTGCTTGTATTGTTTTTCAGGACAGGCCTCAGTTCTCTGAAGTCGTGTCGAACTTGGAGGAATGTCTTTCTAATATTGAGGTATCTGAAGTTCTCATGTTAGTTACTATGCAGCAATTCACTCAAGGTGATGAGTTTCACTTGGGGCTGAGCCAAAAATCTAAAAACCTTTGTAGCTCAGTGTTATCGGCATGTACAAATTGACTTCAATGTGGAAGTGGAAATACTCAGGATGAGCTCACATCACATAAGATACAAGATGGCCGTCTCTGATTTAAGAAAATGTCTCTCAATGTTAATAGAAAATGCTTACACAATAATTGCTGAGACATTGTATTTTGTCTATAATTACACTAATAATATAACACTGCCCCAAAAATATGAAATTAGCCATCAGGGTTTCACACTAGTATCTACAGAATGGAACTATACTAAGACTCAATTAATATTATGCACAGTGAAAGAGGTCTGGCCTTAAAACAATGTTGTATTTGTCATACCAGTCATTTCATTTTTGTTTGAAATAAATAAAAATCAAGAAAATTTTTACAAGTACCCCCAGCGCTAGTTTCCCTGCTGCTGTTTGGCTTCTCATGTGCAGCACAACCCAAACTGTAAAATTCTCCGGTTACAAACAAACAAAAAATATTGGGCATGGTGTTAGCTCAGCCCTATTTAGAATTGAAAGTAATGTTTTTTTTTTTAGGGCTGAAATGAATGATTATTACGGCTGCAATTAACAATTATTTTTATAATTGAATCGTTGCCCAAATATTTCAATTAATTCAAATAATCTATTAGTTGTTTGGATCCCGAAAGCTCAGTGAATATGGAATGATTTTCTTAAAGCTCAAATAATACCCCTGGAGAAGGTCTTCATAAATATTACTTGATTTTTTGCTTAGAAATACCTAACGAGTATACTAAAACGATCATTCCATTACTAACTTGTTACAACCTTTTTATTTATATGGCGCTTTTGAAAGACGGACGGACACAAAGTTGCTGTTCATCTCCTTTCTGTGTTTGCATCATATCCCAATTTATTTTAGTTTTAGAGTTAAAGTTAGAGTTATTGTTCACTTATCTTTTGACGTGTGCTCCTCCTGTTCTGTAACTGGTGATGCAACACTGAAATTTCCCCACTGTGGGACGAAGGACAGATCTGTTCATCTTAATCAATCATATATGTCAAATATGAGTTGTGCCTTTCCTATACCCTGTCGTAATGGTGTTGGCTGCAGCTGATGTCGCCCTCCTCCAGTAACAGCAGCGGCTCCCTGTCCCCCTCCTCTTCCTTCGACTGCCTGGGGGCTCGTGGGGGTCCCGGCCGGAGTCATGTGGCTGCTCTCCGCTCCCGCTTTGAGCTGGAGTACGCACTTAACACGCGCGCCTACGCCTTCTGGTCCCAGAGGTGAGTGTTCCCTGCAACTACAGAGGTCACCGGTGATGTCAGAGAGAGGGACATTTTTCTCATTTTATTTTTTCAAACACTAAGATGGATGACTGTTTCTGGTCTTTAGTCCTAATTTACACACAGATAGTAAAAAAATAATTATTATGTATTATTATTTGGGCGACAGTAGTTCAATTGGTAGAGCATTGGCCTTTAAGCCTGAAGGTCGTGTGTTCGATCCCACCTCGACCCCTTCTCCACCGACTCCCACTGATGTCTGCTGTCGTTGTGTCCTTGGGCAAGACACTTAACCCAAACACTTCGCCCAAAGGCCCCGCTGAAAGATCAAGCAGCTGTCCTCCTGTGGACTCACCCCCTGCAGGAGGATCAGAGAGGGGCTGGTGCTATGTGGAATGGGTGGCATCTCTGACTGCCACCCCCCCGACCCAGAAATGGATTAAGGGGGAAAAAATGGATGGATGGATTATTTTTAAGTATTACAAGACAATTCACTTTTATGTCATTCATGGTTATAATGTGAAATAATGTCTGAAGGAGAAAATATATGGTGTAACAAGTATGATGGGTAAAAAATGGTTTCCCACCCTATGCTTCCACCAGAGTGTGGAGTTGAGTTTTTTTGGTTGTTTTCCAAATTTGAAAATTAACCGGTTTCAATCCATGCAGCTAAAATACTTTTATAGGCAGTATTTTTGTTTTAAGAGGCAGAAAAAATTGAGACCGGACAGAGAGAGGAGCTTTTAGACAGAAGGGGTGGAATTAAATGTTTGTGCTAGAAGTTCCTGATATCAGCGTGGACGGATCTAAACAAATGTTGGTGAGGAACAATGTTTCAGCATTAAAAGCTTAAAGAAGTCCTTTAAGTTTAGTCAAAGGCTTTTATTATCTACAGATGAACCTCCTACAACATTATGTTAGTTATGGTTCATCTTTCGCTTATAATGTTATATAAAACCATAAAACTGTTTGTGATTTTCATAATTTATGATCAATTATTTGTTACATATTCTACATACAATTCTACATGGCAGACTCCCACAGCGAGTGAGAGACACTAATATATTGGAGCATAATTTGATTTCCAGATACATCACTTTTCAACGTATGTAACCAATAATACAGATATAAAGAGCACAAACTTAAAAACAACATATGATTTGTCATGCTGAACAAAATAATAACTTTAATTTATTTTTACAAAATTACAAAATTGAGACCCACTCTCCTCAAGGCTTGTTGTCATCCTGATCCCTTAAACAAATCTCAATAAATATATATTAGAAATAGTTGAAAGATAATGCTGTCTGGGGCTTCATGCCCCTGGTAGGGCCTCCCATGGCAGACAGGTATCAGGTGATGAGTCAGACGAAGAGTGGTCCAAAAACCACCATGGACAGCACGATAAATAGACCAGTGACGTCGCCCGGCATGGCGCAGCCGGGGCTCCACCCTGGAGCCAGGCCAGGGGTCGGGGCTCGTATGCGAGCGCCTGGTGGCCGGGCCTTAGCCCACGGGGCCCGGCCGGGCTCAGCCCGAAGGGATGACGTGGGCAGTCCCTCCTGTGGGCCCACCACCTGCAGAGGGGTCCGTGGTGGCGCGGTGCTGAGAGGACTGGGCGGCAGTCGAAGGCGGAGACCTCGGCGACCCAGTCCGCACACACAACATCTGGCTCTTGGGACGTGGAACGTCACCTCACTGGGGGGGAAGGAGCCCGAGCTCGTGGGGGAGGTTGAGCGATACCGACTAGAGATAGTCGGCCTCAGCTCCACACACAGCTTGGGCTCTGGAACCCAACTCCTTGAGAGGGGTTGGACGCTCCACTTTTCTGGAGTTTCCCGCGGGGAGAGGCGGCGAGCTGGGGTGGCCATTCTCATTGCCCCCCATCTCAGCCGCCACGTGTTGGAGTTCTCCCCGGTGAATGAGAGGGTCGCGTCCCTCCGCCTCCGGGTGGGGGACAAGTCTCTCATTGTTGTGATGGCCTACGGGCCTAACAGCAGTGCAGAGTACCTGGCCTTCTTGGAGTCCTTGGGAGGGGTACTGGACGGTGCACCGCCCGGGGACTCCGTTATTCTCCTGGGGGACTTCAACGCCCATGTGGGAAACGCCAGTGACACTTGGAGAGGGGTGATTGGGAAGAACGGCCCCCCTGATCTGAACCCGAGCGGTGTTCAGTTGTTGGACTTCTGTGCCAGTCACAGTTTGTCCATCACGAACACCATGTTCGAGCACAAGGGTGTCCACCAGTGCACGTGGCACCAGGACACCCTAGGCCGGAGGTCGATGATCGACTTTGTTGTCGTATCATCTGACCTTCGACCGCGTGTCTCGGACACTCGGGTAAAGAGAGGGGCGGAGCTGTCAACCGATCATCACCTGGTCGTGAGTTGGATCCGCTGGCAGGGGAAGAAGCCGGTCAGACCTGGCAGACCCAAGCGTATAGTGAGGGTCTGCTGGGAACGTCTCGCTGAGCCCCCTGTCAGACGGACTTTCAACTCACACCTCCGGGAGAGCTTCTCCCAGGTCCCGGCGGAGGAGGGGGACATGGAGTCCGAGTGGACCATGTTCTCTGCCTCAATTGCCGATGCGGCTGCGCGTAGCTGTGGTTGTAAGGTCTCTGGTGCTGGTCCCGGCGGCAACCCCCGAACCCGGTGGTGGACACCGGCAGTAAGGGATGCTGTCAGGCTGAAGAAGGAGTCCTATCGAGCCATGATGGTTCGGGGGACTCCTGAGGCAGCTGTCCAGTACCGGCAGGCCAAGCGTGCCGCGGCCCGGGCTGTTGCAGAGGCAAAAACCCGGGACTGGAGTTCGGAGAGTCCATGGAGCATGACTATCGGAAGGCGTTCGACTGTGTTCCCCGGGGTGTCCTTTGGGGGGTTCTCTTGGAGTACGGGGTCGGAGGTCCTCTGCTGAGGGCCATCCGATCCCTGTATGACCGGAGCCAGAGCTGTGTTCGCATTGCCGGCAGTAAGTCAGACCTGTTCCCGGTGAACGTTGGCCTCCGACAGGGTTGCCCTTTGTCACCGGTTCTGTTCACTGTATTTATGGACAGAATTTCTAGGCGCAGCCAGGGGCCGGAGGGGGTCCGGTTTGGAGACCACAGGATTTCATCTCTGCTGTTTGCGGACAATGTTGTCCTGTTGGCTCCAACGAACCAGGACCTGCAGCATGCACTGGGGCGGTTTGCAGCCGAGTGTGAAGCGGCTGGGATGAGAATTAGCACCTCCAAATCCGAGGCCATGGTGCTTGACCGGAAAAAGGTGCCTTGCCCTCTACAGGTGGGTGGAGAGGTCCTTCCTCAAGTGGAGGAGTTCAAGTATCTCGGGGTCTTGTTCACGAGTGAGGGAAGAATGGAGCGTGTGATTGACAGGCGGATCGGTGCAGCGTGCGCAGTGATGCGGTCTCTGTATCGGACCGTTGTGGTAAAGAGGGAGCTGAGCCGAAAGGCGAAGCTCTCGATTTACCGGTCAATCTTCGTTCCCTCCCTCACCTATGGTCATGAGCTTTGGGTAATGACCGAAAGAACGAGATCGCGGACACAAGCGGTCGAAATGAGCTTCCTCCGCAGAGTGGCTGGGCGCTCCCTTAGAGATAGGGTGAAGAGCTCAGTCACACGGGAGGAGCTCGGAGTAGAGCCGCTGCTTCTCCACGTCGAGAGGAACCAGTTGAGGTGGCTTGGGCATCTGTTCCAGATGCCTCCTGGACGCCTCCCTGGGGAGGTGTTCCGGGCACGTCCCACCGGGAGGAGGCCCCGGGGAAGACCTAGGACACGCTGGAGGGACTATGTCTCTCAGCTGGCCTGGGAACGCCTTGGGATCCCCCCGGACGAGCTGGAGGAAGTGTGTGTGGATAGGGAATCTGGGCGTCTCTGCTTAGACTGCTGCCCCCGCGACCCGGCAACGGATCGCGGGGGCAACGGAAGAAAATGGATGGGTGGATGGATGAAAATGGATGGCACAAATATAACACAAGTGAACGAAATTAGATTTTTGGGGGTCATTATGGACAATAAAATTAACTGGAAATCACATATTAAGTACGTGCAGAAAAAAGTGTCAAAAAGTGTTGCGGTCCTTAGTAGAGCAAGGCAGGTTTTAGATCAGCGATCGTTATATATTCTTTACTGTTCACTGGTTTTGCCATATCTCACTTATTGCACAGAAGTATGGGGAAATAATTATAAAACTAATCTGCAGTCATTAGTCATACTTCAAAAGAGAGCAATACGCCATGTGTATAAAGCAAGTTATTTAGAACATACCAACCCTTTGTTTCTTAAATCAAGATTACTCAAATTTTCAGATTTAGTCTCCTCTCAAACATTACAAGTGGTGTTTAAAGCCAAGAATAAATTGTTACCAGGAAATATTCAAAGGCTTTTTAGTGAAAATATAGGTGTTTATGAACTAAGAAATAAAATGTTCTTCAAGTCTGTATTTATACAGACAACAAGAAAAAGCTTTTCTGTCTCAGTATCTGGAATAAGATTATGGAATAAGTTGCCAGTGGAAATCAAGGAGTGTGATAATATCAAGCAATTTAAAAGGAAATATACGGAAATGGTTCTTGCAACATATGACAATATGTAACCTTAAGTCACTACAATGAATATACATATATTCTTTTCTAATACTTTGACGATTAATCGCAAGTTAAATCAAGTTCTAATTGTAAGATTTCAATTGGGCACTATCAAGTTTGTCCAAATTATAGAAGAAATAAATTTAACTGTTGCTGTTGCTCCGATGTCATTTCTATAACTATTCTAATCATACAATGGTAACTTGGGGTAGGCGAGTCATGGGTCTGTTGGCTAGGGGTCCCCCCCTCTCAACGGGCACATAAAGCCTCGTCTTCTTAATGCACCACACGGTACAAGAGGTAAACATCATCCACCAAGTCTCAGGGCAGCTGGGTGGGGACTGGTTGATTGAGGGCGTCCACCCACTTTCAACAGGCCACTATACACTCTGGCTTTTTAACGCAACACACTAGAAAGGGTTTACAGTTTGGGCATGCCATTTTCATAATAGCAATAAATAGTGGATGGTAATGACAACGAGGCAAGAGGGCAGAATACAAAATGTCTAACATGCCTATATAATATGAAAACGAATATTCATCCATTGATAATGACAAGAAGGATAATTGTTATAATTGTTATGATCAATGACATTAACCATAAGTTATTACTATTGTTATTTGTCAAATGTGAAATGCTAAAACCTCTTTATTTGCCAGTGCTGCAAATTGTAAACTAAGGCTGGTGATTGTATGTTGACAAGTATAGCTACAGTAGGATAAACGTTAACTCACAGACATGTACAAGTATATAGTTTTGAAACTAATACAAAATACTCAGGAAGGATTGTTTCTGTTTGATAAAAATGTAAAAGCAATGTATAACTGTATCATCTTTAACTGCAAATGTAATTTTACATGAACAAGGGGTAGGCACTTATAAGTTTTTGCTTCAGTCTACTCCCTTTGAGCTTCATTAACTGTATGATTGTGAAACATTGGAGGAAGAAAAATGTTAACTGCTCAAATAAACTAAACTAAACTAAAACTAAACTAAACTAAAGATAATGGGTGACTAGTTAACCACAAAGATATGTGTTGGTTGCAGTTGCCATAGTAACATTCAAGCAGGTATGTGGCATTTGTTTGGACGTATCAAACATTAGCCACATTTTTCATTGTAACCTTTTGAAAAATACATATTGTTGATTCTGAGTTGAGTTTTACACTTTATAATAGAATAATGATAAAGAAGAAAAAAAATAAAACTAGTGTCGAACTGAGTTAGTCAATCTGCTGTCCACTTTCACAATCTGAGTTTATAAATTCAGATCATAAAACATAAAAGTGTTATAATGCTGCTCGATTGCAAGGGAAACACAGGTTTAATCTAGTCTAAACGGCAATGTCCAAGCAAATAGACATCTACTGAAAGACGGTAACATTTGTATTACTTACAGTACCTTGCCCTCTTGCCATCATAAACACAATGAGGAGATTCATGGGCAGCAGATATTGCGGCTTGTCCATCAAAGCGGTCATAAATATTGCACAGTGTTTACCCCAGCAGAGAAAGTGGACCAGAAGCTCTCATATTTCACTGTATCTATCCCCATCTTGCTTCCTGATGTAAAAGAACCACAGTTTGTCTTTGAAGCGTGTATAGTCTTTCTGTTGAATAAGACATAATGGTGTTGTACCGCAGTGAGCAGCGGCGGGCTTCAGGAGGCCTTTCACTGGAGGAGCTGCGGCGGAACATGCAGTTCTCACCCGTCGATCGCAACGGTACAAGAACTAAACCCTCCTCTAATGTTCCACAGTCTGGCATTTCAACTGTTTGTATCTAATTTTGCAACTGTCTCAACCCTCGTGGCCTTCATAAATGAGGCGATGGTTGCTTTTTACTTCTTGCAGAGCCCAAATTTTGCCCCCAACACAGGCTAACATGATAGAATAGCTGCTTCTATAGTAGGATGTGTTTGTGTGATCACCACAATGTGCAAGTATAGGCTCTTTGTTTTGTTGTGGAGGGCAGCTGGAACATGTTTCCTGGTAACTATTTCAAGTGTCATCAGGAAGATTCCAGCAATTTTTCAAAACAATCCACATGAAACGAAATGTGCCACCATTTTTCATATTTTCTTTGTCAGAACTTATCAACTAAGGTCTAATAAGTTTCTCATAAAGGTGTCTAGAAGTGGGGACAATAATTTAAATATATGGGCTTATCTGGTGGGTTAGAGAAAGTTACTTTTTTGTCAACATTCCACGTTAACTGCCACTGATATAAAATTCTACAACATGAACACAACACTCAGGGCTAAATCCAGGGCTGTTAATTTGCAAAAACAGATTGTAATAATTGTAATTGCAATCTTCAACATGTTGTTATTGTCAGTAAAAATGAGCAAATTTGGTAAAGAAGGGGTGACATTTTATTGGTATGACACTAAAATCTGGCCTTTCACAAAACTGCTTGGTAAAGGGCAATTTGTCAACCTTTCAAATGTGTTTCTAGTGGCACATGTCTGTTTTGGAAAATTAACTTTTCATGTTTATTTGGGAATCGCAGCTGTGGTGTTACATGTGAAGACAAGGCCGACATGACGAGTGTTTGTCTTGACTTGAGAGTACAGTTGTATTGTCCTTTGACAGTACATACAGTAGTACATTTGACAGTAGAGTAACATGGGTTTTTCACTGTAGTTCTCACATGGAAAGAGAAAAACACATAACGCTACTGCTTTAAAACATGAGGCTGAAGATAATTAAATACATTTCAAAATATACTGTAGTCCAGATATTGTTTCCCTAATTTAAGTAACGTCAGAAGATTTTTCAAATGTGTTTGTTTATGCTTGTGAAGGAATTAAATCATTACTAATGTTGAGATTTAGATTCATTCGTGATTAATATTGCAGCAGTGTGACCAAAAATATTGTTGCTCAATTTGGTTCTAGCAAAAAATAGTTTTAACACAGATCTGACCATGAGCCTTGCACCACTTAAAGGAGCTATACCCGTTTCTGCAAGGTTAGAATGTTTAGCCCCGCCCCCAACTCGCTCACAGGCTTCTCATTTCTCTCATTTCTCATGTCTCTACTCAGCACTTTTATACGGCCTGAATTCATACACAGCTGAATCAATGAGCTCAAGTTTTCAATTAAATTACGGATTATATTACAACTTGAACATAGTAATACGCATTTTTATGAACTCATTAAAAAAAATGGGTTTAGCATCTTTAAGGAGAAGAGTTACGCAGTGGAACTTTCAAATCTATCATTAAATATGTGTGTCACTGTTTTTGTTTCTTTTTCAGGTTATGTGTCGGATCCCATGAGCACCATGCGGTTCTCGTCCCACTTCAGCAGCAACGGCAGCTTTGAGGACAGCAGCTAAACTACAACAGAACTTTAAATGTTTTGGACTTGTGTTGAGTTTGCAGAGCGCTACAGAACATTAGCCCAGTGTCTTTCATGATTTACACTAAAGCACTGTATCGGACAAAAACATAAATGCTAAATCAGAACTACAGGTATACAAATGTGGTGTCTGATGGGAAACTATGAAGTTGAAAAGCCAAAATACATGTTAAAGCCTCAAGAATGTGAATGCTCTAGAGTAGGGCTGAAACAAGTTACTAGATTACTTTTAATTAATGGAATGTTTAAATATTTCTCTCTCATCTAGTCAATCAATCAATTAATCACATTTTAGACCCTACAGAGATGTAAAAATTCCGGGAAGATGTTTTATTGCTCAGATAATATAATGACTGCAGAATAAAATAAAAGAAAAAAAAGTCATCACTATGAAGATCTGTTTGGTCAAATGTAAAAATCCCATTGTCACTATTCACTTTTCTAGAGACACACTTACTAATGAGTTCTGCCAGTTTTACCATTTACAGTATATAAAGGTTTGAAGACATTAGCTTTACATTAGCTTTATATTAGCTCTGCATTAGCTTCACATTAGCTTTGCATTAGCTTCACATTAGCTTTGCATTAGCTTAGACAGCAAATTTTATTGTATGTATATTTATATGCAAGGCCACACAAACTGGTCCTTTAACTTGTCTTTATTGATAAATCACATAATATTGAAACTTATAAAATAAATAAATAAATATTGCTTTGCTTTTGTATATGAGGAAATCTTCATTCACGTTGATACATTTAGAGCAGGGGTGTCCAAACATTACGCTGAAGGCTGAATATACAATATAATCATGAATTACCCTAAACCCTTTTTTGGGGATCGGTTAGCATAATGTACACTAGAAATGACTACTTTTGGTCATTTGGGCCATTTCAGCAGACAGCATGAGGACCAACAAGGACCAGAGTTTGGACACTACTGAGGTAACGTTAATAATAGCAGCAATAGAAATGAAAACTTCTGATGCCTGCAGCTTCACTCGTACAAGTAATACAAGGATATCATTGCCGTGCTGGCTAAATGCTATTCAACGACAATGGAAATGTCAAAATATTATGCTGTTGTACAATAAAAGTGCCGACACAAAGGAGAGTGTAAAGTGTGACTGTGCCAAGCAGCTGTGGGAGTCTCACATGGATGAATTATTGATACATTTGTGAGCATGAGAGGCAGGATCTGTTTACAGCTAATAGACGGCTCTACTTGATCCCTTACATAGACTGTTCTTTGTGACCAACAAACGGAGGAGATGATCCAGTGCATGCAGGCAGCAGTCACAACTCATTATGTGAACGACTCTGGAGTTGTTTTATAAAGCCACAAACAGGAAGTTGAAAGGTTTGAGGCCACTGTCAAACTACAGAATTTTTTTGGCCAGGATAGTGTAATGCAGTCCTTTCGTTTTTAAAAGGCAGAAAACTACTGCCTGATGTCTTAGCGGTGCACTCACATCATACTATTGCAGAACTGAGGAGCTTTAGACAGACAGGGCAGAGTTTGAGTCAGAAGTTCCTGATATTAGCAACAGCTTCAGGTCAGCTTTTGATGAGGGAAGAATGTTATAAAATGGTTTAAAGCTCAGAAAAGTGGATTGTCTCCTTCAAAGTCCGTTTACAGCATTAGATGCCGCCACTAAAGCAAAAGAGCTGTCAACTGAGAAGCTGCTTAGATGTTCTTGGCTCACAATGTGGTCAGATTCCTTCAAAACCTCCTTATCCTCACCGATGCTGCTTTGGTTTTCATTAGACCCCTCTTGAGTCCCACTGTTCAACGTTGACGTCATAAAATCGGTTGTCACTTCTTTGTTTTCGCTGTTCTGTTGTGCATCTTCCCTTACTTTTAGACTGCTAGAAAGCTCTTCTGTTTTCGGAACTACAGTGATATCTTGCCCGCTTACTTTCTCTTCATTCAGACTTCCAGACACAGTTTGAAAGACGCTGGTGATGGTCCGGTGGCTACTTGTAATGCTAGTCCTGGTGAGGTTGTTGTTGAGCTGTGCCGACTTCAGACTTCCTTCAATTACAGTTGGTTCCATATTTCCACCAGTTTCAACATTTGGTGCAGGAAAAACTGTACTTTCCTCTACTTGTGCAAGAGCTTTGGTTGATGCTTTGTGTCTGTCTTGAGACTGATTGCTTCCACGCTCTGAAGTTCCGTCTTTGGTCTCATTTTCTGTCTCTTGTTCTTTACTTTCCTCTCCAGCGCTTTCAACACCTTTCTTATCCTCTCCCACAACTTCCACTGGACTTTTTGACTGAGCCACTTCTGTCAACTCCTTGTTTGAAGTTTGGGAGTTCATGTCGCTCATTTCCTCCAAAGGCTCAACAAAGGTCTCAAAATACTTGGACGTTTGATGCATGGTGACCCAGTTAGTGACCAGATCTGCGCTGTTGGCCGTTGTCAACCCTTCCGGAGTGCCTTTCTGCTCCTTTGGTTCACTTAACTGGACTTGTGGCTTCAGGAGGATGCTCGCTCCCTCCTCTGAAGCTTTACTTGCCTCCTCAGTATCCCCGTTTTCACCAGAACCGACTCTTGTCTCTTCCACGTTGTTCTTTTCCGTTGCGTCTAAATCTTCGCTTATTTCTGTACTGTTTTGATCTATACTTGTCACAGCGTTGCTATCACTCCCAATGTTCTCATTCTCCTCTTTTTTTAGTTTTTCCACTTCATCATCACGGTGCTTCACTATTTGCTCAGTTGCTTGTTTTTGCATATCTCCATCTGGCGGCTTTGTCTCTGCAAAAACAGACACTTCTCCGTTTTCTACGTCCACCTCGGTCACATCCGAATAATCAACACCATTTTTATGATCTTTTTCAACTTCATCCGATGCCGAGGGATTTTTCAAGATTTCTTTATGGTCCTCATCCTCAACTCTCTTGTCAGATTCAACGTTTTCCTGCAATTTCAATCCCTCCGCAATAGTAACTTGTTCCTCCTCGTTTTGAACTGCACTGTTGAGATTTTCAACGACCAGTTTCTTGTCTGGATCGTCCGATGCTGGAGACTTGTTCAAGAGGTCTTTGTGGTCCTCCTCTGCAACTTCCTTTTCCGCCACTTTCAAACTCTCTGCACTAGTTTCTTGTGCCTCCTCTTTTTGAATGTTGCTGTCTAGGTTTTCAGATGCCATTTTGTTGTGTTTGGGGTCCTCCTCTGAAACAATCTCTCTCTCTCTTTTGTCAAATTCAACTTTTTCCTCCAATTTCAAACTCTCTGCACATGTTTCTTGATCCTCCACTTTCTGAATAGCAGGTTCTAGATGTTGAGATGCCAGTGTCTGGTATGGTTCATCTGTGACTCCACTATCAGTCTGTTGAGTCTCTCCATTATCAATATTGCTCGTGTCTCCATTTTGAACGTCATCGCTTTCTCCATGTTCTAATTCCTTGTTAGGGTTGTCGCCGGGATGTTTCTGAGCTACGTCAACTTTCTCATCTGTGTTGGAATCTGTCACGTCTTCTTCTTCTGCTTTGTTTTCGTCATGTGGATGTTTCTCCTCCAAATGATCTCCTTCATCTTTGCCCTGTTCATTTCGGTTCAGATCAGTTCCCATCTCCTCAGCTGATGCTTCATTTATACTTCGCTTGTGACCTTCTACCACTTTTTCTGCACCACCCTCTTCATCAGTTTTATCTTTGTCAACCAAATCAGACTCTACCCTTTCTTTCTCAATTCCACCCATTTCTACCTCTACCTGGCAACTCTCTTTACTCTCATCTTTTGCATCGTTTTCCGGTTCTGCAATTTCCGGCGCTGCTTTTTCCGGCTCTGCTTTTTCTGGTTCTGCTTTTTCCGACTCTGCTTTTTCTGGTTCTGCTTTTTCCGACTCTGCTTTTTCCTCCTCTCCCTGCTGCTCATTGTTGTCCGGTGTGTCCGCTGCAGTGGACACTTGAGCGTTGATGGCCTTTTGTGTGTCCCGGGCCTCAGCTTTCATCTCCATTGTTTGGGCTCCTGTCATTGCCTGGGTACTTTCGGCCTCCGCGGTCTCGTCTGGCTTTGAATCCACACCCAATGACTCCTCTCGTTGTAGAGTTTGTTCCTCCTGCTCTCCCTCTTCTCTATCTGTCCCGTTTGGTTCTTCTAAAACAGGTGAAGACTTTGCTCCTCCTGCCGTCTCCTCAGATGAGTCCTTTTCTCCCAGGTCCTTGCCCACCTCTGATGCAGCCTGGTCAGTCCCGTCATTTTCTACTTTGGCTGCGTCCTCTGGCTCTTTGGTTGCATCATCTTCAGGTTTATCTGCCTCTTGTGCCATTCTTACATCGATTTTAGCTTCTTCTATAACTTTGGCTTTTTTTGCAGATGTCTCTGTCTCTGTAATTAAAGTTACAATTCGAAGAATATTTAAAAATGTGTTCATATTTTTATTAATGCTTTTAAACACAGTAAACACACACACACACACACACACTTTAAAAAGTTCCTCAACTGTCCTGGTGGTGGCCACGGTTTGCTTTTATATTACCTGGATATTTATACAGTTTCTCATTAAACGTTCCTTTTACATTGCCCACTACATACTAAATGGGTGGAGTTTAGGTTTCCATAAGTAAAATTCACCATAGAAGATGATAAAACTAAAAAAGTTGAAGCATCAAGAGTTTGAAGAAACAACAGAGGCTAACTAGCTAACTGCTGACTCCAATCTGACCTTTGTGAAACGATCCCCGCCCGCTGAGAACAAGGTTTATGGAAAAATTCCTATGTAGCCCTTCTAAATTTAGGCTGCAGGACTTCCTATCTCCGTGTTGGTGATTGGTTTAACTCTTGCAATCCTATCAAGTTATTATACATGCAACCATGGATTTTACATTGGGAACTTTACTTCCTGAAACCTGGAGCTTCGCCCGTGTGTAAATATGTGAGATAACTATTTGGGCTTAACCGAAGACAAAGAATGAGGCCAATGTGGCTGGACTTTATATTAACGGCACGGTGGCTGAGTGGATAGCACTCTTGCCTCTCAGCAAGAAGGTCCTGGGTTCGAATCCCGGTCGGACCAGGGCCTTTCTGAGTGGCGTTTGCATGTTCTCCCCGTGTCTGCGTAGGTTTCCTCCGGGTACTCCGGTTTCCCCTACCACTAAAAATATGTACAATAGTTCTGGTATGCGCCTCCTGTACTGGCGACCCCGCTCCCATCTCTGTGTGGAGCGAGAGGACAATTGCCCAAAAATAACAATTGTAAACCGGTTTGAGACTCCGAAGTGCAGTGAAAAGGTGGTATATAAATAAAGATTACTTACTACTACTATATTCACAGGGATCTTAGAAGCTGATCTTTAAACCTGGAGATATTCCCACAATAACCTTTCATGTGACATTAAAATAGCGTTCTACCTTTTATTTCTTTATCTGTGGACTTGCTGGAGCCTGGTTGGGTCGTCTCCGTGCTGGTGTTGTTAAGTTCTGGCTCAGAGCTGCAGTGAGACTCCTTCGTGGCCTCCGCTAACTTCTCCTGCACAGAGTTTGCTTAGGAAAACGGAAGATTAGTGTAAATGTATCTATTTTTCTGCAAAAATCAAACAGCTGAACAGAAATGCAAGGAAAATCCAAAGAAAACTCAACTCAAGTGAGAAGGCCAAAGATATTTAATGTAAAATACCTTTAAATGACACACTTTAAACAGAAGCATTTCCCAAAAGAAGCAGAGAATTGCCTTACAGTAGAATGGCATGTTATTGGCTTGCATCAACGACTATGCCACATTATTCATCAACTCTTTTAAAGCTGGGGTACGTTTTGTTTGTTTGTTATTAATCAATTCTTGAACAAATCCAACCACAAAATGCCACCTTCATCTTATTAGAAAGAATGTCATATTTTGCATGATTGTAAGAAAGAGCCCTGTGAGTGACTATTTGACCATTTTGGCTGGGAGCTGATTGGCCGAGTGAGGCTGGTCCTTCTCTTTTTTCACTTCTGTCTGAAAAAGATGTAAGGCCAAAAATACTTGCGTGTCAAAACTAGTGATTGAACCAACAGTTTTGAGAGCGAGAAATTGTGTTGTTTGTAGGAAATAATTCAATGTCATGTAGATTCAAAGTTATGCATCCCAGCTTTAAAGATATGATCTAATTGTTCTGCACATAATATATACAGAATGTAAAGAAATGAAAGCAAAAACCAAACAGACAACGGAAAAACACACACTGGAAAACACAGACCGATTTACACTATTACTGTATATGACCTGGCTTTTATATTGGTGGTATTTGTAATATTAGCTTGTCTAAGTGCATCTCAGTCCTCCGCCAGCTGCCCTGTCCTGTACTCACCCCTCTCCGGCTCCTCTGTCCTCCTCTCACCCTCCGCCGCTGATGGACCGCTGGTGTCACAGATCTCTATCTCGGTGCTTTGGCCTGTGCTATCCAGGACTATGCAGTCTTTGGCCTCAAACTCCGGGGCCTGCGCTGCTTCCACTTGTGGGGATTCCTCCGGCACTTGTTCCTCTTCATCCTCAGGCTTGTCGTGTTCTCCCTCCTCGGCCGCTCTGGCTTCTGCGACCTCCTCTGCGTCGCTCTCACTGCCTGAAAAACTGGAGCCTGAGCGAGACTTTCGGTCGTCTGAAAACAGAGGACGAGGTAAAGTCTATCGCCGTTATAACAATTAAAGGCCTGATAGATCTCACTTTGTGTGTACCGAGTCTGTCATAAATTAGTTTCTGACTGCTTGTTGAATTCCTGAAGTAACTGGACTTTTGAACATTAGTATTTCTTGCAGCAGAACTTTTTCTAGTGTATTTTCAAATGCAAGCAGTATATACATTTTATAGTCAGTTTTGATGTATAGTTTCTGTGATAAATTGAATTGAAAACACTATTTTGAAACATTTTGCTTAGCCCCAAATTACAACAGCAGTGAGGACTTTACAAAGTTGTCAATACACCAAGAAAAGATCAGAGAATCAAACCGTTCTGAAATCCTTACCGTCCGTCTCACTGTCAGACGCATCGGATTCGTTCCCTTTTTCCTCTTTTGGGGAAGTGGATTCTTTTTCCTTGTCCTCTTCCTCTTCTACTGGGCCTTCGTCATCAGCCTCAAAGTCCTCTTCATAGTCTATCAACAGAAACATGTCATTGTCTCCATGAAGTGTGCATTCTTCTCAAACATACTTTCTTTCTAAGTGTACCGTCTTTGGCTTTGCGGTCTTCGTGTGGCTCGTCTTGCGTTTCTGTCATCTCTGCAGCTGTATTCTCATTCTCACTGTCTAGTTTCTGAGCTTCTGCATCAGCTCCTGCAGTTACCTTTAGTCTGGGCACTATCCCCAGTTTAAAGCCATCCTCCTTCACTCTTCTTGGGGGTGGAACAGGCTTTTTATCCAGGCCCATAGCGATGATGCACCTAAATGAGTAGAATTACATGAACAAAGTCAATATAAAGAAGGACAGTAGAGTATATAGTGTGTGTGGCAAGGTACAGGTTCCTACACATAGTATTCTTCTTGGTGGGAAAGGACTCCTGGTAAGTGTAGTTTTTAAATTCAACAGATATTGTTGCACAAGTCTTGACACCAAGAAATCTAAAGGGTGCATTCATGTTCATAAATTGACTGTTCACTTCACAGAACTAAATGTCCTCATGACGTCACTGAGCTCCACTAAAGTAGGATCATTAGTTCCACCAGAGTTTGGTTCAGTCTTGTCCAAGGTTAAAGGGCTTGTCCTTTGGGCTTCAATAATAGAAACCCAACACACATGTTCCACGGCTTGTCACGCAATCATTATTGTCCCCTGTGTGACTTAGAGGTGTGAAAAAGGCTTGTTGCAACGACACCAAGCAGCTTTTTCAATCATAGTATCATCTGATCTCATGCTATTCCTTTCAACAACTTTTTATTAAAAAATAAGATTATGGAAAAACCAAACCAAAAAATACTTTAAACCAATTTGCATGAATGAGTCACACAGGCTAAAACATGATTATAACTGGCAGACGTGTTATAAAGCGTGTTCTTACTTGTAACAGGGCGACGCTGCCTCCACTCCTGAGAAGGCGAAATGTCCGTGTCGACCCCCGATGCGGGAGCTCTTACGGTGCTTGAACTCACAGCAGGAGCTCAGCCGCTCCACCTGAAGTCCGTTTAGAAAGAAGGTCAGACTGAAGGGGAACCCTCTGTGACGCCGTGAAATAAACTGGAAACTCTCTGGGAGCAAAGGGACAAAGGAAACGTGTCGGCTCAAGATACAGAGATGAGATTTCAAGGATTTTAGGAGTTATTCTTCTATTCGTCTTTTTTACAGCTGTAATAACACATATTTGTCTGAACAGAAAGAGTCTTGTACAAGTTAAACGTTCTGTCCACCAAGTTCAATAACAAGTAATGCCAAGCTATGTCTCACTTGAAATGAAAACGATACATTTGCTCCTACTTCAAACACAGACAGTAATAACTTATTAACATTATTTCTTCGGCATTTCTAGAGACTGAACTTTTAAAATAGCACATTTTATAAACATGTCGGCGTACATCATTTTGGCCACTTTTGAGCCGGGACCCGCCCCCACTGACCCAAACACGAGCACTTAGAATGAAGACATTTGAAGATCTTTCAATTTTCCTGCATTTGGATCAGTATTCCTGCCCTGAAGAGCACATAAAGGACACAACTAAGTAGCACCACTGCCTGTTTGATGGACATTGATGGACATTGGTCATCTGCCCCTTATGGATGAATGGCTCTTGTGTTTTTTATCATTGCATTTCTTGTGTTTGATTCTCTGATCTGTGTTGGTGAATTCAACAGATTTGTAAAGTCCACCGAGATAACTACTGTTGTGATTTATGGCTATACAAGAATAGATGGATTTGAATTAAACCAACCAACTTAAAGATGGATGTATTTAATAATAAGTATTCCCAAGAGTGTACTGACCTCCCTCTCTGAGCCTGCCCTTGTACACGCACAGGTTCTCTCCTCCACAGTGCTGCTGGAACACTCGCACATCGTCCCTCATGTCGAGGAGGTCGTGGGACAGGTGCACCGCTTTGCCCAGGTAGACCATGTTCACACACACGCGACTCTGAAGCACCGAGCTCCTCATCACGGGCCCGTCCTGCAGCGGGAAGGACACTGCTGCTCACTCATTCAAGTGACGTTTTTAAATGATCAAACAGGTTTAGTTTTTCCACCAACTATAACTGCATTGTTGTAAAGAATATAGAAAAGAACTTCCCCCATTGTTAAGAAAATGTACAGATGATGACTGTTGAGCCCCAAAGATTGTTCAATAATTCATAATGACGGGCTTTATTACCACTAATGAAAACACCACCAGATTATCAACATGACCGTTATGGCCTGAAACAAGAATAGAAATGATCGAATCAATGAATTACAATAACAGCTTGATCACGATTGCTTTCCCCCTGATTAATCAGATATTGTATAACTAACAGAAATTCACAAATTCTATCGAAATTGTCAGGCCACGTATGTTATCCTCCTCTATTTGTGTTTGCCTGGCGCTGGACGGTGTGTCTTGAGTCCAGCTCCTGGCTCTGGTCCAGCCGTCTGTATCAGCTACAAAACCCGGTTCACCCTTCACCACGTGCCAGATCGTAAGTAAATCCTTCACTGAAATACTCCTTCGCTTGTTTTGAGAATTTACTAAAGAATTGTTTTTTCCAAGTTTGCCTCAGATCGTTTGTTGGTCACAACTCTGTTTTTGCCTCCAGTCCAATCGTCTTTTTGAACATTTTTGTAATAAAACCTTGTTTTCTTTTTACCATTTGTCTTTTTTTCGCCAGTCTTTAAAACACTAACATTTATGCCCTTAACCAACACTGCTCTGGAGACTGATTTAAGGGTGTAAAAAGTTCCTAGATTATGCATTTAATTGAATGCAGTAATCAACATAATCAAATAACTAAAATTTGTGATCACTGAAACCCTACTACATTATTGACAATTAGTTCTCATTATGGTGATCAGATTTGTGTAATGTGCAATAAAATAACTCCCTCAGTGAATTGAACTGCAGATTAAAATGGTCAATGAACCACCAGAGAGAGCACGCACAGCACTTTGAGAAACAATGGAGGAGATGCATCAGTCAAAGTCAGAAAGGAACTACTGTTTATGGATCATAATTTGCTGAAAGAAAAATCTTTTTGTCGTTTATTGTTATAGTAAAACCAAACCTTAAACTCATGACGAAACAGAAGATTTCCCCTGGTCATGTTTAACCACTTTCCCTTTAAATCCCCCAAGTGCCTCAGCGTGTTGTGGAGAGTTGCCCGTTGCCGCGGGAGACCTGTGATAAAGCCAGTACCTTTGTGGCGTCGGCAGCGCAGGAGGAAGTGCGGGGCCTCAGTCTGCGGCCGCGGTGGGTGCTGCTGGTGCTGAGCTTCACTGGACACTCCCTCCTCTTGGTGCTGGGGGGCACTGGGGTCACAAAGTTGTTGATGACCGGGAGGCAGTACGGAGAAACCCCATTACGGACCTCCATGGAGTTAAAGCCTCTGTCTGTGTCTTTGTCCACCTGAGACAGAGGCCTGTGTTATTGTTTATGTTCGTTTTTGTTGAGGACTAACAAGAATGTGAACTTTAAGGTACAAAAGAAGAATAAAAGTAACTGTATCCCTAAATAACTTCTGTGGTTTTTTTTTACTCTTTCCTGCTCTTCCAAAGTATATAGTAGTAAGCTGGGGTGCAAATTCTATTCTGAGACTCAACAAACAAAGCACATTTTCAGACTAAGTACTACTCTTTGTCCCAACAGAAAGACCACGAATCAGATCACATTGTGTTGTATTTAATTGAATGCAGTAATCAACCTAATCATTGTTACATAATCATACTGTACTGTATAAAAAAAAATAATAACAATTGTAAACCGCTTTGTGACTCTGGTCTGTGAAAGGCGGTATATAAATAAAGCTTAAAGCTTTAAAGCTTATTTATTTTATTAGAAAATATTTTATTTTTGGCATTCTTACTCAGTAAAATAGCACCCCGCGAGTAGCTATTTGATGCTTTGGGCTGAAACCTAATTGGCTGAGAATGGCACTCTCTTTTTCACTTTTCTTTTGTCTAAAAAAACAGATTTGTTTCATTTATTTATTTAGTCATAAAAAATTACTCTGGTTTTTCTACATTTTATATTATAACTTAAATAATAATTAATCTGAAATGAAATATAAATGTATTAAATGTGGCAGTGTGGTATAGATATGGGGCCAAAAGCTTTTATTTGTTTCTTAATGATATCAACTTGTTTCTTAATATATTGGATTCAAGTTTAAAGTCCCCTGCATCGGGATACGTATCATATTGTGTGTCATGTGTTTTGAAATCAAGCCCCGGTGATCCAAGATGGCGCCCTATTCAAATGAATGGCTTGTGCTCAGTAGCGCATGGGACTTCACGGAGACCGGGAGATTAGCAGAACCTTTATTTGGGCATCGTCTGGTCCTCCCGGTTCTGCTCAGTGGACGAGTTCCATGATGCATATAGCGCCAAATACGCGTGTGGCTCTCATGCACGTGCACAGAGGGGCTCGGCCACGCTTTGATCAATCAGAGCTGCTGATCAGAGCAGCAGCAGAGCGGAGTCAGAGCGGGAAGGAAAGGAGCTGAGTTTATGGCAGTAAAGTGTGGATTTAAAGAAAACCGAAGGATTTAAAAAGAAAAAAGTTCAGGATGACAAGGGACACTAAAATCCCCACAAAATCCGATATTTCTGAAAACTGTAGGTTCTCTGTCAGCTGAGGTCGCGCTGTTTTAGTTTACATTGAGATCTGTGGGACTTTTTTCTGGGGAGCCCCTGTGATTTTAGTCTGCAGTACCACGGGCGCCCCCTGAGCCCATGGGTGGGACAGCTATAAGCTGGTAATACCCTATCCAGTTATTATTATAGATCCATGATTGAAATATGTATCGTACTAAAGATGTGAGATGGGAAGACAGAAATACAGACATGTGATTAAAAATGTTTTAGTTTTGCAAGTGAGGAACTGGTTAAATGGATTTTATGGCATAGTTAAATCTGTGTGGTTTGAAAATGGAAAATCCCCTTTAATACGGCGGCAATAATAACAAATATATATTGCCAAAGTGAAAGTCATTTTTAATTCGTACATTTAGACAGCCAATCAGGCTTAAATATGCATGTGCGTTCTAAAATAGCGTGTTTGTCTGGGGCACATCCTCTGGAGGATGAATGAGCTCAGGTGTCTGCCTCACCGTCCGGTTGAATGGGCGCTGGGTGTTATGGCGTCTGTAAGGAGAGCTGTGTCTGTGCGAGGCCGCGGTGCTGGTGCCGTGCAGAGGCTTCAGGCGCACCGGCCGCTGCATCTTCCCCGGGGCGGTGTTTGGGCGTGACGAGCCCGGCTGGCACACAGAGGGAGAGTCAATGATCATCACAAACCCTACTATCAAAGCCACATGCCCTCCATCCATTCCCTAAAACTATAAAAATCAAGACGGCAATGATTTATCCCAATAGACCGGGACTGGTACAACTTGCTTAACTAAAAGGACTGTGGTGATGATCTAGAACACTCAACATTCAACAACATTTATGAACGTTCAACAACAGTTATGGACATTGGTCAACTCCCTTTGGACCAATACTAATGTGTTCTCTATTCTTTGTGTTTGAACCGTTTGATTCTCTGATCTGTGTTGGCAATTTCAACAATTGTGTTAAGTCCTCTGCGATAACTACTGTTGTGATTTAGGGCTATACAAGAATAAATGTAATTGAATTGAATTAACCATAAAAGCCGCTTTAGAAATGTCAAACAGTTCAAATAAAGACATCCATCCATCCATTTTCTTCCGCTTCATCCGTTGCCGGGTCACGGGGGCAGCAGTCTAAGCAGACGCCCAGACTTCCCTCTCCACACACACTTCCTCCAGCTCGTCCGGGGGATATAAGATCAAATAAAGATATGTCCGTCGACTTTCAGATACTCTTTAATTATTCCTGTTGGAAAATGTGTCCTCTGCCTTTGACCCATCAATGCCAGTAGGGCCTCTGTCAGGAGCAGCGGCCGTCGTAGTACATAATCTCTGATAACATCTTGTGACACGATAACGCTGAACACAAATGTCCCTCTGTTATATTGAAAAACGCAGTGTTTTTTAATATAACAAATATTACAATAATATTTGAATACAACTTTGATTATTTTTGTGTGTCGTTTTTAGTTTGTCTGGTTGGATAATCTTGATCTATTAAGTTAAAGGAGAGTCACTGTTGTTCCAGTTCTTATTGTGATTGTTTAATTGGTTGGTTTAATGATTTATTTATATTTACTTTTTTTTTTATCCTCCCCTTTTGGTCCTTTGAAGATGGTTTTACTGTATACCGTTTATCAATGTATTGCATTTTGTATTTCGTCATTCTCACCCCCATTTAGGTTAATGCTAATATAACCCACACACAAACACCTAAATTCAGTTTATACATTTAAGTCCTTTCTATAACTAATATTATTATTGTTTGTATTGCTTGCTTATTGACTGTCCCTATGTATATGTTTACCTGGTGTGTAAATAAAGTTATATACATTTTATTTATTTTTTAAAGTTAAAGGAGACTTGGAAGGTTATTTTTGTTTTGTTAAATTGATCGAGTAGAAAAGGGGGCGGGGTTACATAAGTGTTATACTTCTTCCTGCTCCCTTTTGAACATAATTATAAATTTTATTTATTCCTTGAGGGAACAAATTATACATACATTGTACACATCTACGTTTTTTCAATTTTATTAATTTATTTTTTGGTATTGTCCGAATATAGACTCGTTAGCCAAAGCAATTTCCAAGTCTGTGACCTCCCGTTACTTACGTTGGCAATAAAAATGATTCTGATTCTGATTCTGGTTACACGTGAAGGAGTGTGAGGCGTCTGTGCGGAGCTTTAATAAGAGACAAGAGTTTTTCTGTGCAAAGATCGTTCCCACTTATAATCAGAGTAAATACGTCAGAAGCCAAAAGTACAGTGCCTGAACGTTTGCCAATGTTTAAGAGAAAATCAGTCGCCTTCATTGCTTTGTTTTGACTTCAGAATAATGACCCGTTGTGGCCCCCTCAAGGTAATTGTCTGGAGTTGTCACAAAAAAGAAAAAGAACAAGATGGCGATACTGTTCTCAGTGTACATGGTTTAATAACACAGAGGAGGCTGAAGGCTCTGGTTTGATGATACAAGCAGCAGTTACCAATCTGACCAAGCATTATGTTCAAAGAGCCTCCATTACTTTTGATTAAGAACTGTGAGTTGTACAAAGTGTTCTTTTCTGACTCCTTGACCTAACTTGTTAATGAAGTAGTTGATGCTCGGGAACAATAAAACTTTGATTAAAATTTGAACTTTGACATATAAAAGATCTCTAAACATTACTGAATAATATGAAAAGCAGCTCCACAGGCGTCTGACCCACACTACAGTCTCTCGCTGAAATTAAACAACTTGATTATGAAGGAGCTCTTAAGTAAAGGTTGATTTGTGACATTTACAGCCACCCTCCTCTTTAGCTGATGGAGACCTGATAATTACTGGTACTTGGATCCAGAAGTGTTGGACTCACAGACTCTGAGGACTCGCTCTGCTCCGCCTCAGCCCCAGAGTGCTGCTTCCTCACGCCCCGCACCCCTGTGGGCGGCCGCGGGGACATGATGCGGGGGATGTCCTCTTCGTATCTTTTGGACCGCTCCACCTGCGGAAAAATACTAATTATCATTCTACTTTTTTTCCGATTTCATTTCTTGTTTGTTTAGATTGCATAGGGCATGTGAATGTGAGACTACTGCATTGGATACAGGATCAAATATGTTAAAAGCCTCCTTAAAGTAAATGTAAAATGTAAAATGTAAATGTAAAAGTGCACTTTATTGTCCTCTGCATTTGACCCATCCTGATGCCACTAAGGCTTACGTCAGGAGCAGTGGTTGCCGTAGTAACAGCGCCCGGGGACTTTTAGATCGAATTTTTATGAAACAAGGAAGAGAATGTGTTTCGGGTCGCAGATTGTGACCAATCACAGCGGACCACTGGCCCCCACTTTTGTGAGAAATCTCCAGGTCTCCGTTAGCACAGACGGCTGAGTTAGCACAACAAGCCGAGGAGCTAACCTGAAGCTTTGTGTGTCTTCGTCACTGGTTACTGCTTACACAGCGAGACAGCCATCCAAAAGAAAGTCCCGTTCCTCCGCACTTCCCGGTTCTATCGTTCTATGGTCACGCCATCCACGTGAAAATCCATGTCCATGTAATATCCATATTGGGAGACGCTAGCTCCGTCCCAACAGTGGGTGTGTGTGGGGGGCGATATCTTCGTGTGTGCGGGGAGAGGAGCAGAAAGAGCGAGGCCGGCGAGTCCACGGCTTCAAAATCCCAAAGTCAGTTAGTGCAGCTTTAAGACCCACTTTTATTTTATACTGAAATTAAATTGTGCATACTCTGCTCTAACCACATGTAAAAAAAAATTGTGTATTTCCCGGCACTTCCTTGTCTTTCTGCTGTTCACATAAACACACTAGGAAGGAACGTGTGCCCTGGAGATCAACTGCCGAGTCGTGTCCTGTTCTTGCACCACAGGGGGCGCTCCAACAATATAAGAATACACACACACACACACACACATCGCTTTACAGAGCACAGAGTAAAAAAACATAAAAAAACAAAAACAAATGATGTCCAATTGTAGAGTTAGTAGTTTATTATTATATATTTTCATGTATTGCCTATATTTTGAAATTGTATTTGATTGTATATGATTTATGATTTATATATGCTGTTTTGGTATATTTTGATTTGACTTGGCAGAGGATAACAACAACTCATTTTTATTTCAATTTGGAAACGTACTGTATATGAAATGTTCTCTATACATAAAGCAAATTGGATTGGACAGTTTCTACCATAGATAAATACTGAAGGTTTTGTTCAACCATAATGTATTACCTTTATCTTGTGAACCCTCTCTCGCCGAGCAAACTCCTCCAGCTTCCGTTTGATCTCTATTTGATGGAGACGCTGGACACACACAAGCATAATTTAAGATGCAAATGCACTGACGTACATTTGGCCAAAGCAGGCACCCATACCTCCATCTCCAACACTTTGTGGAATATGGCTTGGGCCAGACATTCTCGCACGTGTCTCTGATGGGCTCTTTGGATCAACTTCTGCCTGTACTCTTTGTCTGGAACAATCCGGCCACTTCTTGTAATCTAACAAGAAACATTTATTTATTAGAAAGATACGAGCAGCTTCTACAATACCAAACACACACATACAAACATACTCTTATATTAGAACAATAACATGTAAAATACAGAGTTCAATTGGTCGTTATGAGGCCCAAAAAAGTTTCTTGATTCTTCTTATTGCTTATTCAGCCACACTGGCACCTTTTGCGTTGGATATGTAGATAAACAATGCTACCCCCTTAGCCCAATCCCTATAAGGAAGATTTTTATATAAGGAAATAGGCTCCAGCTAACACTATGTGACGTCAGAGCTCGGTCAGCCCACTCAGATTTATCTACGCTTTTGTCTCCTTTTACATAATAAATAATAATAATACATCTTTATTTGTATAGAACTTTTCAAAAAGAGTGTTTTACAAAGTTGAAGATCAAAGTTGTGGTCTGCTTTTTAATTCATCTGAGTTGTCCCAAAGAGTAACTTCTCACATTGATTTTAAAGTAGTTCTAAATGTTGCCACTTATCTATATTCTTTTACGTTTAGGAAAAGCTAAAAATGCTTCTTTAGCCAAGCACTAAAATCTCTAAAAGAATATTCTTCAGTTGAAGTATATACAGTAACTATATATTGATTGAACTAGAAAACACAGTACTTTATACTTCTTAATTTGCCAAATGTATAGATTTTCTACTTTTTTATTATGTTAAAGATAGAGATTTTATACTTGTGTCTTTGATGCTGGAGTTAGAGATTTTGTATTATTTTAATTAGTCTAGCTATAGTTCCTTTATCCTATCCTGTGTGATGCAACACTGAAATTTCGCCCCACTGTCTGACGAATAAAGGATCTCTTAATCTTGAACCCATGCTACACTCAAAAGAACAAAAACATATTGGTAATCTCAAACAAGTGTGGTCCCATATTGCACGTATTGCACATCCTGCCATTAGTACAGTATTGCATATGGTTTTCTCATGGCTGAATGTCAATGAGAAAACTGAAATCATTGACTTTGGACTCACCAGGCCGGCCCTCTGCAAGTGTCTCCTGATGCGTGTGTTACTGAAGTATCCGGCGAGATGTTTATCGGTCAGGCTGTTGTAGGCCGAGATGAGGCTGCGGAGACAAGTCAGACCAGTCCTCCACGGATAAATGATTAACGCACAACACATCCAGCTCTTAGTCACCGGAGCACTGCTAACAACACCATGTTTGTTTATTGACCGTCATCCTGCCCTCTCTGGATCAGTCTGAAAGCGCCTTTATTTTTCCAACACAGGTTTGATTTCCCCCTGCATTTGTGCTCCAGACAACAGGATCTTACAACTGTGGGGTCTGTTTCGGGTGTCTCCTTACACACAGGAATTATAGAGCCGGCACACTGTCAATACAATACTGCTCAATACAATGACGGCCGGATCAGTGCTGGAGAAACTCCAAAAGTCCATTTATTTCTGTAATTCAACTTGTGAAACTAATATATGTCAGACTCATACTCGCAAAGTGGGATATAATAGGCCTCAATATGTTCTGGATGTGCAGTATATTCATAATAACACAATAATAATCACAAATAAAACATAAGAATTGTAGAATATTTTGAAAATGTCTGTAAGCCATAATCATCAACATTATGAGAAAGAAACAAAGGCTTGACATTACTTTTCAACAATATTATAATTTTCTGACTTTCACCTGTATATGTCAGAAGATAAATGTATTAGTCAAGAGTCTGTGATCAGAAATCTACTTTTACAATGATCAGAAATGGCAGAGTGTTAACAGTCCAACTCAAACAGTAGCCTATTACTATAATATGATATAGGTAAGGCAAGGCAAGGCAAGTTTATTTGTATAGCACAATTCATACACAAGGCAACTCAAAGTGCTGAACAAGACAAAATAGCATTAAAATCGTAAGTAATCACAGAACATTAAAAAGAAAGATAAAAATATAAAATCCCTCAGTTGTATGCACAGCTAAACAGAACTGTCTTTAACCTGGTTTTATATTGTCATTGAGGAGGCCTGTCTCACATCTTCAGGAAGACTGCTCCAGATGCTCCAGATGAATCTGAAAAGCAGCCTCCCCATGTTTAGTCCTGACTCTGGGCACTAACAGGAGTCCAGTCCCTGTGCTCCTCAGAGTCCGGGCTGATTCATATGGGACTAACATGTCACTAATATATTTTGGTGCGAGGCCATGGAGAGATTTGTACACAAGCAGAGCTGTTTTAAAGTCTATTCTCTGATATAATGTATAATGATATATAATGTATAACTATAATCATAAAGAACACAGGTGCATAGTATAATGTTGTACTGTATTCCCCTGCATTAGTGAATATAATGAAAGCATGTATAGTTAAACGACATATGAAATGAGCTTCTGGTTTCTCCCAAGCTACAGGTTGGAGATTCTTGGGTTATGACGACCACCACAACATTAGGTAATGAAAAAATAAATGGACTAATGTAAGTTCCACATCAACTTCCTTTTTCCTGAAACATGAATCTAACTTTCAAACCACTAAAATGTAATCACATCTATGAAACTAGCTCCTAGCACTCAAAACAGTTCTCTCACTAGTTTCACCAGCCTTTGGGCCTCTGTCCGATTATAGAAACACTTTTTCAGACATAAAACCGATGCATTATTATTATTAAAAGTGAAAAAGAGAGGACCAGCCTCACTCTCTGTACAAAGCGTCAAACTCACTGGATTCTATCTTAGTTTTACAAATATCACATGTTTTATAATAGGCCGAAGACAGCATGTTGTGCTTATTACAATACTCACTGTTGGGACAAATACAATATTAGGAAAAGTCATGTAACCCAGCTTTATTATGTTGATAGAAGGCGTCAACAACATACAAAATATAAAAAACTTGGATTATTAGAAGAACAGTCCATAATGGAGCATATTTTTAATACATATAATATAATGTATAACAAAGAAATTGGAGTCAAAAAAGCACAACCCAAAGCACTGTGTTGACTTACCTCTCGTGCCAAATGGATGCCATATTCTCTGTATCTTTAGAGCAGACCATAGACTGTAGACTTAGACCTTACCCTGAGCAGACCATAGACTGTAGAGTGTAGACTTAGACCTTACCCTGGATTCAGAAGGTTGTGGCTCATGACTTTCAGCGTGGGCAGACAGCTGGACACCCGTGCAGTGGACAGTCCTCTCCCTCCCACGCACACACACTCGCACACACACATCCACACACACACATGCAGGTGTTTGAAGTCTACTTGAGAGTTTGCAGCTGATAACACTGTGCGTTGCCAGGGCAGGTCACGTGACACCGAGGCAGGTCCTTTTACAGAAGACGCGCTCTGCAGTGAAGGAGACACACGGCCTACTGCGTACACACGCTGAACCCGCCATCAAACCATAGTGTCGGAGGAGAATCTTTATATGAGCCACATTTAGGAAATGTCAGTGTTGCAGCGCTCAAGACAGAGCAGAGGGAACAGAGGACGCACTCACAACCACAAGTTTCATTATAAATAGTACATATTAAAGGACTGCAATGACCAGTTAACGATCAGTATTCTTTGTTATTATTCATTACAATAGTAACTCTCGTCATGGCCATAGACTCTAAATGTCCTGCTGAATATCCGGGTACTCTGGTGCCATCTGGTGGTAGGTTAGGAACATTAACGTCGAGTCATTACCATAAGTCACTGCTTTGCTCTGTGCATGATGGTGTCTGGGAACCATCCGGTCTGATCGTGGTATTTATACACATACTAACATACTGATGGTGTTTTGATTGCTGTGATATATACAACTATCTTCAGCTTAAAATCATAAATGTAAGTGATCAGCAGATGGAGCCATATTTCCCTTTCAATCAACTGGCCCTGGTGTAATAATAATAATAATAATAAATCGGTTTTATATAGCGCTTTTTTTGGACACTCAAAGACGCTTCACATGTCATTATTCTTTCACTCCATACACGGTGGTGATAAACTACTACTGTAGCCACAGCTGCCCTGGGGCACACTGACAGAAGCGAGGCAACCAATCTCTGCCATCGGCCCCTCCGACCACCACCAACCATTCACACACACACCAGACTCATTCTAGGCAATGGGGGTGAAGTGTCTTGCCGAAGGACACAACAACAGCAGACATCAGTGGGAGTCGATGGTGAAAGTCTTGAGGTGGGCTCGAACCCACGACCTTCTGACCATGAAATGACACATAGGTATATCTTATATTTATATAAAAGTATTTACAGTTACTATACAGGCTCTGATGACAAGCACTCAAATTTGGTAAACTTTCAATAAAAGTTAAATATATTAGATAAACTAGGGGTCATGCAGCTGGGCATTCTTTACAAGCCCTGATGAAAACAGCACGTTGAAACACGTTGGCGAATTAAAACCAGAATCGTCTGCATTGGAGTGCCTCTGAGTCTCTAAGTTATCTTATTTGCCCCACAGAAGAGCACCGGCGTCTATTGACTTTTGAGCTCCTGAGCGCTCAGGGCAAATATATTAGTGTTTGATCATAGGCCTGTATAGAATAGATCAAATTAATTGTCTTTTCCATACACAGTGTGGTGCCACCTGTATGTGAAAGACACATCCCATAAGCAGGGCAGGGCCTGGTTAGTCCTGTGATGGGAGACCAGTGGGAACACCAGGTACCAGGCAAGACACTTCATGAACTGTGTGTGTGTGTGGGTGTGTGTGTGTGTGTGTGTGTGTGTGTGTGTATCTATGGCACATACCAGTTGGCTTGCTTCAGTCAGTCTGCCCCAGGGCGGCTGTGGCTACAGTAGTAACTTATTATTGTTGTATATGGAGTGAAATAACAATTCCATGTGCGGCGTAGTGTCCAGAAAAGCGATATATAAAACCGATGCATTATTATTGTTATTTTTTATATAGTTCTAATTCTATAGTTTCAGGCGTGTTTTTCTTCACATGAGTCATCTGTGAAGAGAAGGTGTCTGTGACTTTAGCCGTGGTTGAACCGTTCACATAGTTAAAAAGACATGAGAATAAAATTAATTAAATGTTATTTGGAATATTTTAGTTACAACTTTCTTGACACAGTCCGAGACAAGTGGGCAAACTAATCAAAGGGGCAGGTGAATTAACTCTTTAAACATTCCTTTGTTCATTAAAGTGGCGTTGGAGGCGGCCTTCAATGTTCATTAGAATAAACATTGCAATCAACGCTTAATACAGAGCAAATCTTAAAATAATAATTACTGCTGGAAAATAGGAGGTGATTATGAATTCCATTCAGGAAAAGGTCTTGGCGGTGAGCTTGGGGTGATGGGGGGATCTGGGGGAGTCATGCAGTTTACAGATGGGGGAGGATGAGGGGGCGGTCTCTGCAATCAGTGTTAAATAGAGCCGTTTTGTGCCTGTGTGATTGTCAAGTGGGCCATTACTGCTTGATAAGAGCACTCTTTCCTTATGTAGCTCTGATTGGGGCTGCGCACGCTGCTCCCCTCGCAGGCCGTCCCGATGCAATCAGGCCGCTCTTTCACTCTGCTCTGCCATTTTCACTGCTGTGATTTCACCCGGCACCAGCAGCCTCCACCCCCCCCTTCACGTCCAATAAGGGCCCATTTACAGCAAGGAGAAAAGGTCACGCTAAACTCGTTGTGTCCATTGTAAACCACCCCAATTTGGGCTGATTTCAATGAAATAAATGAGTGGTTCCAGACCTGAAAAAGACAAAGGTCTTGGGAAGTGTCAGATTAAGATTAAGAGATTCTTCGAGGATAAATCTACTTTGTTTGAGCTTTGGTTGTTTCTAGTGTTCTTTCTGCATTTGAGAAGTAGAAACTTTTCTGTAAATAAATTACAATTTTGTTCAAATGTGATAACAGTCTTTTCACAGCAAAATGGTCCCGGGTTCAATTCCCGGGCACAGACAGGGTCTTTCTGTGTGGAGTTTGCATATTCTCCCTGTGTCTGCGTAGGTTTCCATTAAAACATGTACTATATGTGAATAGACTTGAAATGTGTCTTTGTTTGCAAATGGAAATGAGCCTCAACAATCCACAGATGTTCATCAACATTCTCTGCCTCAACCAATACATTCACATTTTATTTAATGATAAACATAAGTAACTTTTTTCACTCTAAAACTGTGCTTGAGATCAGCTTTTCTTGAGAGAAAAGTGAAAAAGAGAGGACCGCCCTCACACAGTTAATCAGGACTCAGCCCAAAGCGTGGATTTGTGACTCCGTGGGCTCTTTCTTTTACGTATACACAAAATATAGTTCTCATTTTCTTTTTTACAGGACTCAAATATGTAGTCTTCAATAGCAGCAGAGGGATCCTATGTAGACTTGCATTATCCGTCTTATCTATCCCTACGTTCCATTGATCCAGGCCTGGGACTGTCACGAGCACAGTTCAATGTTTGCTTTTTATGTCTTTTTCACGACAAGTGAATCCCACACAGGAGACAGAATGACAAATGAAAAGCATCATATCAGATCAGACATGTTATGGTCTGGTCCACATCACAGAAAACTTTGGAGAAGTCAGCCATGTCATCCTTAAAAATGAAAACATTTAAAACTGTTGCACTGAGATGGTTATCTTTCCAAACATCTGCCAGCGACTGATCCAGGAGAGATTATAGTATTTAAAAAACGTTACAGATAACAGAGTCAATGGGTTCTGGTTTAACTGCTTGTGGTTTGAGTTTCCTTATTCTTTCTTTTCAACTTTGTACTTTTATATTTGAACTTCATAAAGGACTTTTACAATCAGGTTGAACTAACCAAAATATGTCCAGTGCATTCTTATTGCGTTGAAGGACTTGTGGAGGTCTCGGTGCTGAGCCTGGTTGCCTCTGTTGTTTGTGATGTTTGGGCTGATAAGCTTCATTCATGTGGACCAGGTGGAAGTGCACGCGGAGATGCAGGCACGCTACCTCCTCCTGCTTCTGCGATGGGCCGATACAGCTCCACACACTCATGCTGCTGCACGTCTGTCCGCCCAGTTGGAACAGAGAGCCCGCTCACAACCCACCAGCCTTTATGTGCATCGGGCAGCTGAGTGGTCTGCTCTGAAGGACACACATTTCCATTTCAACAATCAGAAAGTACAAAAAAAAAGTGTATTTTGAAATGCACTTTTTTGATTCACTTTATACTGAGCAGTACTGAAAAGAGAAAACACAGCTTGACATCGTTTTCATAAACACTTTGAGAAAGATTGGACATTAGCATATCGTGCATTATCATATTGAAAATGAAGAATAGGCATCAACTCTAGTATATTGTATATTATATGTTGTATATCATCAGACTTTATGTTCTATTTTTAAGTAAGATTCTAAGTAAAATTCAATACATGTAATTTGTAACAACTGCAAGTTTTGACCCAAGTCACAACTTTGAATAACTTAGCCACTCTGCTGGCCCACTCAAGTATTTAACTAGATCACTTTAAAGCTGGATTCTGACTTTCCAACCTCAGAAAATTTAATGTGTGATACAGAAAACAATTTATCTCAAAACAATTTGGTTCCATCACTAGTGTTCACATGTAGTTTTACTTTTGTCTCATCTTTAGATTAGTTTTTTCTTTGCCATAATATGTGTCTACAATTATAAAAAATAATATTAGGAGGGGGGGGGGGGGTGATAATCAGATCTGCCACCTAATTCACAATGTATGATGATGCAGCCTTGGTGTTTCAGCAGGGACTTCAGGCAAAGTGGGGTTAAGTGTCTTGCCCGAGGACACAACAACAGCAGACATCAGTGGGAGCAGGTGACATGGGTCATAGTGGGAGGGAAGGGTGGACCCATGGGAGGGAGGGGAGGGGAGGGGAGGGGAGGGAAGGGTGGACCCATGGGAGGGAGGGGAGGGGACCAGAACATTTAAATGTGTGTGCATTTGTTTTCTGGTCTATAACCATTGCAATGTCTGTATGCAGCGCTACACAATTAATATTTGACAAAAAAGAAAGAAAGAGTGAGTTGTTAGAGTGAAAAAGAGACGTCCACCCTCCCTCAGCCACCGCGGAGTCTTTGAGAGTCCAAAAAGTGGCAAATAAAACCGATATATCATTATTATTATTATTAGAACTACCCTCACTCAGCCAAAAATAGTGACACACTCGGATCTTTCCTAAAAGTATGTAACATGTTTTTAAGCATGTCAGAGTCTGATTTGTGTTGGGACAAACAACATTATGAAACAAAAAGGTATCCCAGCTTTAAGTTAAGGCGGTACGGCAGATGATCGAGGGTCGGAATCAGCAGAGGTTTAGGTGGAGATGCATTGATAAAGGTTCATTTAAAAACTCAGCATTACTACCAAACAAACTGTTTTGACCTAATGTGGTGTTTTGTAAATGAAAATGAATATATTGTTGGGTAGAGAATTAAATATTAGCATAAAAATGACGCTCTATAAATAACATGGGACAGATTCTAACATCCCACATAACACCCCATATCTGTGCTCGGATTGACAAAAGGAGGTTGTTTGCAGCCATTAAACCATTGTCCCATGTAATTGTTTAACATTTCACATGGCTTTGGTGACAGCTGCCATTACACGTCACACGTTGTTATAATCATGCCCTGTGATGCGTCCTGCTGCCTGCCTCCACATCAGCAAGTAAGTCAGTAACCTATATTTATTTAAGGCAAGGCAAGGCAAGGCAAGTTTATTTGTATAGCACAATTCATACACAAGGCAACTCAAAGTGCTGAACAGAACAAGAAAGCATTAAAATCATAAATAATCACAGTACATTAAAAAAAAAAAAAAAAAGATAAAAATATAAAATCCCTCAGTTGTATGCACAGCTAAACAGAACCGTCTTTAACCTGGTTTTAAACATTGTCAGAGAGGAGGCCTGTCTCACATCTTCAGGAAGACTGTTCCAGATTTTAGCAGCATGAATCTGAAAAGCAGCCTCCCCATGTTTAGTTCTGACTCTGGGCACTAACAGGAGTCCAGTCCCTGTGCTCCTCAGAGTCCGGGCTGGTTCATATGGGACCAACATGTCACTAATATAGTGACATGTTTATACAGCGCCTTTCAGACCAGGGTCACAAAGCGCTTCACAACTACATCAAATACACTTAATTTGTACCAACAAAACCTGTGATAATCCTGCTCTCTATTTTTAATCATATGAAAATGTTGGAGCTCTTTTATGATTAAAGGTATATTTATTTTTATAGCGTATTTTACAGACCAAGGTCACCCAAAGCACTTTACAAAGTTCAGAGTCAGATATTGTTCCAATCATTCCACACACGGTGATGACGGAAGCGAGTCCAGAACACATTGGACCATCAGCTCCAACACCATCCATTCACTCTCTCATTTACATTCAGACTTATTGTGCATGTTTTTAGTGGTAGGGGAAACTGGAGCACCCGGAGGAAAGCTACACAGACACAGGGAGAACATGCAAACTCCACTCAGAAACACCCTGATCTGACCAGGATTTGAACCCAGGACCTTCTTGCTGAGAGTGCTATCCACTCAGCCACAGGATACAGGAGGATTTTCTATTTCCGGGTGAATCATCAAGACTTGGTCCTCCCAATTGTCAATCATTCTGGTGACACGTGCTCGTCAAATAACACCAGAGTTTTGTGCAATAGTGGAGAGGGCGGTTCTTTCCTAAAAATTAGTCAACGCCGCTATATACTATATAATATTAGTGCTATGTAAGATGCTCAATTAAAATCTTTTGACTAAAATACAGTTTTTAATGTACCACCCAGTGACAATCATAACAGCCCCAAAGTAACTTCCTGCCCAAATAAAAAGGTCTGAAGGTGACTTTTGAAGGTGTCAACAGATCCACAGAATGCAGAAGGAGGACGATCGATCCAAAGCTTTGGTGCAGCAGCCTGGAAGCATCGGAGCCGGACCATGTGACGCTCTGGACCATGGACCATGTGGCTCTCTGCTAACCCGAAGTGTTTGAAATCATAAACGCAAATTCACAGTGTCATAAAGCCAATTTGAGCTCTGCCAACGTAGAAATGTTATACCTCGTTTTGAAGATCCAGATCTCTAGAATCCAGTTGTTGACTTTGTTTGACCAAGATGATGTTTATTTTAAAGTGTATGATGCCAATATATCCGGTGAAAAACATTTGTCATTCAGCCAACTTCAGCGCTGTTCATTGTACATGTATTACAGACACATCAGATCTGAATCCAGTCACTCTGTGTCTGGCCCTGGACATTTCAGGTGAACTTAAGTGAAACTAAGACGTTTGAACACGTGCGTTAGAGCGTTAGTTGATTCTTTAGGACACTTGCAGCCAATGAAGAGTTTAAGAATAGGGGATATATGGGTCCTGCAGAGTTTTACTGCAGACGAGAGACAGCTCCTTCTTGTTCAGACTTGTGAACAAACTGTTAGAATAATCTCAACGAGGAGACACAAGAGCATAAATAATCAGCTCCAAACCATTTCTTAATTTAGAGATCTTCTTCAGCTGAAAAAAGCCATTTCTGGTCATCAATCTATAAGATAAGATAAGATAACCTATTTGTCCCACTGTGGGGAAATTTCAATGTTGCAGCGCACATAAGAGCACACAAAATATACAGCTGTGACTATAAAGTAAATATCAATATATACAAAAATATATACATATATGTGACACGCAGGGACAAATTCAATTCCACAGCAGTGATGAATATACCGCCACTCTGCTGAAAAGAAAAATTCAGAAATTGAAAAGAAAAAGAGTACTTATTTACACTACACAGTTTTTGACTGATTTTATTGTTTATTTTGCTGACTGTGCAGTGCTTTGTAAACATTGTTTTTGAAAAGATTCATTATCCTTATTATTATCATCACAAAATATTTTCTGATACTTAATACTTAGTTAAATTCAACTCTACTCTTATGGCAGGATAAATAAAATAGATAAAGTGACAATCATTGGACATTCTGAAATTATATTGCACATAACACATTTGTATTATTTACTATTTGCAGATAAAGGCTCAACAGTTCTCATCGTACAGTCTGACAGCAGCAGGGAGGGAATGGAAACCTCTCCGTCACATGCACAGCCAGGGTTTAGATCTAGAATTTAGCACCATAAAGAAACGACACCAAAGCTTTAGTCCCAGAGGAGGCGCGGCTTAAAATGCATGAAAAATGTTGAAATTACGATCCACCCACTGAAGGCGCATCTTGACACACACGCAGCAGCGCAGGAGCCAAACTGACGCAACTTTGGGGAAGCTTTTACGCACTGCTGTATACGTGGGATTTAGAAATGCGCTGGAAAAGCAAAGATGAATGTTGCACGAGTGAAAACATTTTATCCACTGAGGAGGTAAGACTTTGTTGTGAGTTTTCTTTCAAATGGACAAAGGAGAAATGATCAGGTCAATAATAATGAAAAAACAGTCAAGCAGGCGCGCATATATTGACTAGAAAAAACGTGCCCCCCCTTGCGTTGCGCAATTAAAACTCAAGTAGTTAATAAGACCTCTTCACCTTTTTGCTTTGCCCTGGGAAGACGTTTGTGGCGAACTTAACCCTTTTTAATTGCTGTTATTAAATAAATCAATCCTTTTTTCTCCCTCTCCCAGAGACGTGGCGCGACATGAGTTTGATTGGCAGGTGAAATTGGTGCGTTGCTGAATCACACAAGTCGAGGACATAATGCACATAGGATAAGTATGAGCTCAAGAGTTGTCTGTTTGTGTAAGTAAGGACCACACTCTCTTTTAAATGTCATTTCGGTAATCGCCGTGGCGTTGTCATGGTGAAAAGCGAAAGGCATGATATTTATATGGGGGTATACGGAGCAGGGGGCAGTTTAAGGCAGAACGCGCGGCTGTAGACACGCACGTCATGTGTGAGGACTGCAGAGGAGAGCAGCTGCTGAACAAGTGCGAGGAACACATTATGGTACGGGCTGGAACGGACTAAAACTAGACTGACCAAAACATGACTACATCACACGGAGTTCATTTTTGCCAATTTTCCCCCCATTCTTTTGTTTTTCTTCTTCAAAAGCTGATGTTTTGCCACAAACGTCACATGCATGGGGCGCTTTTTTATTTTTATTTTTAGAATTCAACAATCTTTCTTAATATTTGTCTATTTTTTTTTTTTTATTTGTTGCCAATTTGTGCAGGCGTTTACAACAAACAAGAAAGCAGTGCATCATTTAAGTGTCAAAAAGATATTTAATTATATATCCTATATTAATCAGAACATTCTTTTATTTTTTGACCATAATATGTGTGCAATGCTTTCATGCTTTTTAGAATGGTTCCTCTTGCATGTTTGGTGCTCAATAGCTTTTTTTTTTTTTGAAGCCTGCGCATTTTGAACAAAAGTTTAAGATTTTATTTTCTAACCCTTTTCAGCGCTTAAATTTCAGAATCCAGGATACGTTTTTTTTTTTATATCTGTGACAGCCAAAAACACGCGTATAGCTTATTTTTCTAAGTTTTTCTGTCATTGATTTCATTTCACCGCTTATAAAGTGTTAGTGCTGTAGTTTCTATATGCCGTAGTATATATAGGTTAATCCTGCAACGTATATAGTTTTCCATCACTTCAACCATAAATATAGAAATATCACTTTATTTTTAATTTATTTTTATGACCTATCTCAACACTTTTGCTTTCTTTGCTTTCCCCCCTCGGTACTTATACGATGCTCCGTAAACAAGCCAGTATAGTGTATCTCTTATCATTCGTACAACGCACGCCCTTAAACTCGATATTGACAAAGTGAATTTCTTGGACCTGAAAGAGTTGTGTGTTGTCATGTTGGGTGCGTGCGCGGCTCTCACAGCGGCTCTTCTCCTCCTCCAGGGCGCTCCTCTGGAAGTGCTGGATGAAGACGCGTCATCTCTGCAGGCCATGACTTCTGCGCCTCTCCCGGACAGGACCGTGTGCGCCAACTGCGGGGAGGAAATAGTGGATAAATATTTGCTCAAGGTAAAGAGGCATAATGTTGTGTTTTTTGTTTGTGTGCGTGGTATTTAGAGGCCTTTGGGCAGTCTCTCATGCGTTGTGGGCTCTTCTTGTTGGCTCCAGGTGAATGACTTGTGCTGGCATGTGCGCTGTCTGTCCTGCAGCGTGTGCCAGGCTTCACTTGGCAGCCACAGCAGCTGCTACATCAAAGAGAAAGAGGTCTTCTGTAAACTGGATTACTTCAGGTATTTCTATTATTATTATTATTATTATTATTATATTACCCTTTTTATACGTAACCGCGCTATTAATAGGCTATTATTACGTGTAGGCCTAATGGGAAGAGTTCAATTGCAAAAAAACAGATATGAGAATTTGTCAAAAAATAAATCCTTTTTAGATTTATAACATTTGCTGTGAAACCTTATTTGTATGGCTTTTTAATAAATCTGGCTTTTGTTTTTGCAAATGAACTATTCAATCACTTCAATTATATTCCTAGATTATTTCTATTCCAAAACACGCAAATGTTCAAATTAGTTTAGTGAAAATGTTTATTATAATAATGTCCCTATTTTTCGGTATGGACCTGTTCATAACCACTTTGTTGCATTGTTTGTGTATGACTTGTGCTATAGGTCTGATGTATATATATTTATGAATATCTAATCGCTCAAATATCTGAACATGTGGTTGATCTGTCAGTCTTCAGGGACCAATAACTTTATATTTGTTTTCTTCTTTGCAAATCAATGTATTTGACGCCTTTTGGACAAAAATGTATGCTTTCTTTTTATAGAAATGTATATTTATTTTCTATGGTGTAGCCTATGTTTTGAAAGTTCATTTCTTGTAATTTGTTGCATTCAGTCAGAATTAATAATGCAAAAACTAGACTGAAAAAACTCTTTAAATATAGAGCTGTAAATGCTTGAAACGTGAATGTCAATGGGACGAGCATGTTTTTCCTCATTCCACGTCAGAATGTTCTTGTCACTTCAAAAAAACTAATCTCCGCTTGTCCCATCGGCAACTCTTATTTTCAGGCCGACAACATTTACTATAATCTAGACAAATTACAGCTAATCCAAGCATAGAATAAACGTGATTTCCAGTGTAAAATAATATAAAAGTAAACGACAGTCATTCAAGACACTGTTTTCATTGTGCACAAACAGGAGTCCATAGATAGATAGATAGATACTTTATTGATCCCTGTTGGAGAAATTCAGGAATACGAGTTATTGTGCGTGAGTTCAAGTTAAAACAATTACTGACCAGACACTTGTGAACGTTCCCGGGTTGTGTAGCACCAGTGAAATGTGTGTAAACTGTGGTGTGGGGTCATGTGTTGTCTTCACCACATACTATATTCTTGTAAATATAGAACCATGCATCTTTCAAACCAGATCATCCAAGCTCTGTCTGTCCTCAGAGGCGCTAACTTTGTAGATAGATAAAACTGTATTGATCTCACATGTGGAGAAATGCACATGTCACATTTGGCATCAACATCACTCAGAGTGGGCAAAAGATAGGACATGTGCAAACTACAAATAATGTGCAAACATGGTATACAAAGTGGAAAATATTTAAATGATCTTATGTGCAAAAATAAAAAGTGTATTATGTACAACAGGGGTCTCCAACCAGAAGCTCGGGAGCCACCAGTTGCTCGCCAACCCCTTCAGGCAGCTCGCCAAAGGATTTAGAAAGGAACAAATCAAATAATGTACTTAATATTTCCGATTTCATTATTAATTATCATGATCTATTATTGTAAATGCGCTTACTTTGTGCACTAGTAACACATATGCAATGATAAATAATGACTATACCCAATATCAGGCTCCTTCACCACAAATATATCACCAATGTGTTTTTTTCCCCAGGGCTTGCTAGGAGTAGCTCTCTGCCTTTATCATCTCGGGAAAGTAGCTCTCTGGATGACACGTTTGGAGACACTTGATGTATACAATATAACATGTTACTACACAAAGCAGTGCAAGTTCCTGAGTTTATTGTACAGTCTGACAGCTGTATTTACCTTTTACTATGGCCTACATTTCCTCTGTGTTCTTGATAAGGACTGAATGTAACGGATTTTACGAAAACGTTTAAATAATTGCTATATAGCACCGTGTCCTTGTGCGCAGAAGGTTCGGTACGTGGTGCGCCTGCTGCGGCCGAAGCATCCACGCCACAGACTGGGTCCGACGCGCCAAGGGGAGCGTGTACCACTTGGCCTGCTTCGCCTGTTTCTCCTGCAAACGGCAGCTGTCCACGGGAGAGGAGTTCGCGCTGGTGGAGGAGAAGGTGCTGTGCCGCGCTCATTATGACTACATGATGGAGAACCTGAAGCGCGCTGTGGAGAAAGGTGAGTGCAGGCCGCTCCGTGAAGTGACGTGCAGAGGACAGAGAGGCATCATGCACGACTATGGTGGTTTAGTTTTTATAAGGCATTTATCGGGAAGGTCCAGATTTCGCAGATAAACAAACACACACATACACACAGGTTGGTATAAATGTGATAACCTAAATTAACAAATAGACAAGAGTGGATGATTAAAGGCTGAATTGTTTTGTATGAAAAATGGGAGCAAGTGTTCCGTTTATTTGTTGCTGATGTTTATGTCAATAACTACTCAAAACCTTGGGATTGAATAAATGCATTGTGCAGCTTTAAAGGTACTCTAATTTTTACCGTTGCTCCAAATTAAAAAAAAAAAATGTTTACCAAAAACAGATGTGACCTTTTTAAGAATATTTACCTCCACCATGTTTTTGAAATTGTTATAGGGCTTAGAAATTGACTCATAAATGTCCATGAGGCTGGAGTATGTACATGTTCAATACACCATCTTGAAATACAGAGGTTGATAAGAGACAAAAAGGGTTTGAGCGGGAGTTGGGGACCACTGTCAGAAGACCACACAATGTCCTGAGAAGCACCGTGATCCGTTAATTACAATACAATGATCTTCAATGCTAGAGGGGAGTAAACACTACAGTGTACCTTTAAATATAAATAGTTGCATTTATTCAGGTAAATGTAAGTCATGCTATTGAAAAATAAACTACTTCAGGCATTTATTTGACAGTTTACTTGTGAGTCTGCAGAATCTGAAATACTTATGTCAGCTCCTTTCATATTTACAGCAGTTTTAAAACTACAACTCAATCACCACAATAACTATTCGATAGCTTGATTGTACAAACACTCACATCAATCAATCATATTTTAAGTGGCTATACAGCAACAGGGCAACACAACCCGCGCTCACAGTCCACACCAACACAAAGGCCCAAATCATATCACCATTCAAATACAATTAAAAACACATATGTAATTAAAAAGCCTTCAAAACACAACGATTTAAAAAACATAAGCCTCCCACACAAGTAGTTAAAATCATAAAAACGTAACACACAACACGTACCAACAATTAAATAACATTGATTGTCAACGGAATCTCGGGTAAGGCACTTTAATTTCGTCTCTGTGAATGGATGAATGCCTGAAAGCAAAATACCAAATCAAGACATGAGCATAATTCCAATTACACAACATTCTGCCGTATCACCAAATGTCCAATGTGTTTAGTCAGGTAGTGCATTATAAAGCAGTTTATTAATATTTTTATGATTATTGAAAACTAAATTAGTTTGGACTAATCGCACACTACAAAAAATACACACAATAAGTAAAAATTGTTCAATTAAGTTACATTTGTTTTGAATTTGGTAAACGTCTTACAACAAGAATTGTCAATGGGACAAGCTAAATTTTCACTTCCGACAGTTGTGCTTGTCCCACATGGATAATTGTGTCAAGAGCATAATTTCACCTGCTATTGTCTTAAAACTCATGTATATACAAGTTGTCCGTCGCTCTCCTCATTATGATGCCATTAAAAACATTATTCTAATTGATTTGTGTCAATAAAAACATGAATCCCTTGTGGTTTCAGGAAGCAGTGTGAACATGGAGGGAGCAGTGCCGACTGAACAAGAGCTAAACCAACCCAAACCCTCCAAAAGGGCACGCACAAGCTTCACTGCAGACCAGCTGCAGGTATCACATCAAGGTTATAGCCCATATATACCAGGTCATATCTGTCAGTATTCTTTATAAATGCTTTTGGAACAAGAAGTATGGTGTAAGAATAGAGTTGTTTGCACTGTCCACATGTGTGATATTTGTATCTTCAGGTGATGCAGGCCCAGTTTGCTCAGGACAATAACCCGGATGCTCAGACGCTGCAGAAGCTGGCGGAGCAGACCGGCCTCAGCAGAAGAGTCATACAGGTCTGACTTCTTCTGACTCAAGAATAGTTACAACAAGGCAGCAAAAGACCATGCACACTTTTACAGTTGTTTCTCCAATAGGCAGGGTTCATGAGATATCTCAACATTTTAAAGAGCATATAGTTTAATACTGCGGCAAAGGGCAGTTTGAACAATCTATCCTGGTAACTATGGTAACTGTAAAAAGTCAGATTTAATTCCAGGGATAATTCACATGAAACAAAAACTGTCACAAAAGTTCCACATCTTCTTTGTCATTATGTCAACTATGGATTAATTACTTTCTCATAGAAGCGTCTCAAAGTGGAGACAACATTCAAAAACATTTGCAAGACGTTGGCCATGCAGTAGAAAGGACTTTAAGACACAAGAATAATATGGCGGCGTTGTGAGTTCAAACTTTTCAATCAAAAAACGCTTATTTCCAATAGAATTACCCTCCAACTGAAGTAGAATTCAACAAAATGAATGCAACCTATAAATAGATAATATTGTAACAACAGAAACAATGGTAATTTCAATAGCATTATAATAAATGTGTAATGAGCGGAGAGAAAGTAACAATCATAACATTGTGTTCTTTTTGGGTTGTGAACGAACGCTTTTCCCTCAGGTGTGGTTCCAGAATTGCCGAGCGCGCCACAAAAAGCACGTCAGCCCGAACCACTCCTCAAACAGCGTACTGACCTCATTGTCCGGCCACCTGTCCCAGCCTACCCCCACCCCAGAGGAGCTGCAGTACACAGCCTACGGAGGCCCGGAGGGGTCCATGATCTCAGCGCTGCACTCCTTCATAGACAGTGAGTACTTGTCCTTCAGCATTTCTCAAACATTGTACACGACACATCTGACAGGGTCTTTCAAAGTTTACAGCAGTTATCTCACTATGAAAAACAACTTACTGTATATGGTTTTGAAAGAATCACATACAGAATAATGTTTGAAGTTCACTCGGAGAAGTCGTGATGAGGAAAGACTAGGATTCACTGCAAGCCATGTTGTATTCATGTGGAAGTTGTATATATTTTGATTTGCCTTTCACTTGTTGAAATTACATTACAATTTTTCACTTAAAATAAGACAATATCTACTGGAGTTGCTTTCTAAAATCACAATTCATCCTGCTAAATTCATGCACTGATCTACTCTGACTTTATACATATGTATGAAGTCATGCTCCTGGCCTGGTCCCAAACTGCTCATAAGTGGTTGGCCTGTATACAGTATGTAAGATGGACTAGTAGCATCGGCAAAGAGTCAATGAAACAAGGATTACCAGGCTTGGACAGCGCAGGCCTGTAAAATATTATAAAAGAAACTCCATCCATATTATAACAAACACCAGGGCGGGGTTGCAGAGTTGTTCTAGCTAAAGGTCCTTTTGTAGAAAGCCAGCTCGAATTGACCCCATCTTCAGTAAGTAAGTAAGTAATGTTTATTTATATAGCGCATTTTACAGACCAAGGTCACCCAAAGCGCTTAACAATGTTCAGAGTTTGGATAATGTTCCAATCATTCACACACGGTGATGACAGAAGCTCCAATCACCACCATCCATTCACTCTCTCATTACATTCAGACCTATTGTGCATGTTTTTAGTGGTAGGGGAAGCCGGAGCACCCGGAGGAAACCTATGCAGACACAAGGAGAACATGCAAACTCCACTCAGATAGGGCCTGTCGCTGGCCGACGCAATATGGCCTTTTTGTGAATCCCAGGGTCTGCATTTAGCCGTCAGACCAGACTTGAAGTTCTGACACAAAAACACATTCTAACACTGTATTCATGCTGCAGATCGAGCCATTTTGTGAATTTTCCAGTGACTAAAGAAATCTCGTCTCAATAAAAAGAACATATAGAAACAAAAATCACAGGACTGAATCTATTATCATAAGGCTCACTTCATTTTCCCCAAAGCCCAGATTTGTAGGAGGCCCATGGTCTTTGGGCCAGATCTCACATTGTGTAAACAGCAGCTAGCACTTTTCTGATTCATACTGTCATCTTTTGAAGAATTTTCTGTTCACATTTTATTACATTATGCTATTAGAAAATAAATAAATAAATATGCATGTCTAAACTAACCAGCACTGAACCTGCAGAACTGAACTGACCAATCAGATTAAGCCTGAGGTACGTTAAATCTATCTGGTTCTCATAAGATTGGTTCCATCACTAGTTTTCAAATGTTTGGCCCTGTCACATCTTTAGATCAGCTTTCTTTAGGCAGAAAAGTGAAAATGAGAGGACCACCTTCTTAAGAAAAAGTTAAATTGTAAAAATCAGAATGATTTGAAAAAGTATATTATAAATAATAACAATAAAACATTGGCTTTAAATAGAACTTTTTTTGGACACTCAAAGAGGCATAACGTTATTTAATCACATTCAATAAACTACAACTGTAGCCACAGCTGCCCTGGGGCACACTGACAGAAGTGAGGCAGCCAGTATGCGTCATTGGCCTCTCCGACCAACACCATTATTCCCGCAAACACGGACCAGACCCATTAAATTGAATTGTTGTTATAGGCTTAGAATTTGACCTATAAATATGCATGAGCACCGAAAGAAGCTCCATGTCCATGCACCATCCTGAAATACTTTAGTGGATAAGAGACAAAAAGGATGTGAGAATCGTGTTTCTGTTGCCACATGATCTCACAAGTGCTACTAATATTGTTGCTTCCACTGGGCCCTGACAAGTTTGAAGAAGGTCATGGAGGACCAGTTATGTGGAAAAACTAGTCGAACAAGAATCTTTTAGAAGAAGAATTATGCAGAAACTACAAACCGGCGTCATAAAGTTCTCATCCAGCGAGGATGTTGCTGTATCCACCGCCATCTAGCCGTCGTAACCCCGCTTCTGCCGCACCGCAACCATGCCAGACAAATGTTTGTGCCATTAATAGAAATGAAAGGGGCCTGTACTTAAACCCATACTGATCACCGGTCAGGAGGCACGATGATGTCGTAGATGACACTTTGAAGGCTGGCGTCGCTGTTCGTGAGTGCACCTTTAACAAAAGATTCCATTTTGATTGTTGTTTGATTTGATTTGTTCAAACTAAACTGATCATTTCAATAATTTATCTTCATGTTTCTACATTTATGGCACCACCACTTGTAAAAGGTTGACTTTAAAAAATCATCAGCTATTTTTTGAGTCAAATATTATGATTCGATTTTGAGCCATGTTGAGTCAAGAGTCATGGTCAAAATATGTGTCAAATGTTATGTATCTTCTTATTAACAATTTTCTCACAATGCATTTTCTGCCAACATGGGGGCGGCTTTTTAAAATTAAAAATATGGAAACTGCTCAGATTTAGAGAGGTAATTTGACATTTGCAAATGTTTGTGCGTTTTCATAAGGGTTTAGAAAGAAAAATTATTATTAAAGCCGCAAGTGGCATCTACAGGCCCTCACCACATCTCCCAAAAAAGGCGGTGCTGATGCGCCCTTTTAATGGCTCTTGTGGAGGAAAACGAATATTGGAACATTGTATTGAATATGATCTGTGAATAGTTCCTACATAGAATAACACGGGAACGTTTCGGCATCTCTATAGAAATAGCTAACATTTCCGCTGCCTACATACAGTTTAACTGATCAAAATTCTGCACCTAACTTTATGCTATACGTTTTTAGAAGATGTGAAGCTATTTTAGGCCCCGTGGATGAAACAACCAAGGTGGAGGTGTAAATCTATTTAGCTTTTCCCATTAGTACACAATGAGGAGTCTTCCCTTCGGCAACGCGGTGGAAAATAGGTCAAGGATCTCCATTACTGGGGATTGGGATGCCAAAACAGAATATAGTGCAAAGTTCAAAAAATTTTCCCCACATGTATCATTTTGGCTTCTGTTGTAGGAGGCGCGTACATGTCACTTTCAGATTGTGTACGTGTAAACAGAAGAAAAAGGCCCCAAGTCCTGTTTAGACTCGGGCCGAATAATTAAAAATCAGGATCAAACAAGTTAAAAATATATTTTTTTGAAATGAAGATTAACTGTGGGCCAAATCAGTAAGTTTTGCAGGCCTGATTAAGACCCTGGGCCACAAGTTGAAAAGGCCAGATTAAAGGTATTTAGGATTGTCTACTGGATCATTGAGACCATTTGTCAATCATTCTGGCGATATGTGCTCGTCAAATAAGATCAGAGATTTGTTCCAAAAACGGAGAGGGCGGTTCTTTCCTAAGATTTGGGAATATCCTCCAATAAAATACAATACAATACAATTTATTCTTGTATAGTCATAAATCACAACAGAAGTCATCTCAGAGGACTTAACAAAACCATTGAAATCACCAACACAGGTCAGAGAATCAACAGTTAAAACACATAAAGAATATAGAACACATGTTGATAAATGTCCATACATGTTGTAGAATGTTAAAGTGTCCTGGATCCTCAGTCCTTCTAGTTGGACACTGACTGCCCAACAGGAAAAACAGGAAAAACTCCTAAGAAAACCCAATACACGTGGCTGAGTGGATAGCACTCTCGCTTCTCAGCAAGAAGGTCCTGGGTTCAAATCCTAGTCGAAACAGGGCCTTTCTGAATGGAGTTTGCATGTTCTCCCCGTGTCTGCGTAGGGTTTCCCCTACCACTAAAAACATGTACAATAGGTCTGGCATGCGCCTCCTGTACTGGTGACCCTGCTCTCTGTGTGGAGTGGGAGACAAATGCCCAAAAGTAACAATTGTAAACTGCTTTGTGACTCTGGTCTGTGAAAGGTGGTATATAAATAAAGATTACTTACTTACTAAATCTTTAACTGTACACAGCCTGAAAGTCAAATATTTCCCAGTTTGCCACAAATCTATAAATGTTCTTTTTTTCTGCTTTCAGTCCACTCCCCTCCGTCCATGTTCCAACCTCTGCTGCCGGTGCACGCCATGACCTCTCTGCCTGTGTCCCACGCCTGACCGCACCACTCAGCCTCAGTCACTCAGCATTGTCGTTTTATCCTTCTGTTTAAGGAAAACACAGCATTCTCTATGATATTTGTGAAAATGGAAAGGTTTTGGTGTACCTCAGTCATAGAACATGAATAGATATAGTTTTGTGCAGTTGGTGACACTATGGACAGCAATCTTTGGGTGACAAATGCAAAATCACTACAAGGTAAACTCAAATAATGTGTTAAATATTGCAATTTAATTTATTTGATGCACGTGAAGTCTGTTTGAAATAAATGTCTAATTTCTGAACAAGTTTATACAGAGCCTGCATTTGTAAACATAGACATGTGTATAAAATCAGACTTTAAAAAACAAACACTAGAACTATAAAATTACGCACATAAATACAACTTGGCAAATCAGATACATATTTGTAGCATCAAAAAGGCCATATAAATACCTTTAGCTCATCAATCTGTCTATTGAATATTTACAGTAGTTCTTTGAATGCTGCGGCGGCAGCCTGACGCACACTGAACCAAAAGTACTGGTACTTGTGTCTACTTGTAAGTTGTGGTTGACCAAAAGAATCTCAGGGTTCTGTTCTGACTGATCTCATCTTCTCAAAAGTGCAGCTCCCACCCGGACATGTCACACAGAAACCACAGTCTCATTTCTGACAGAAGTACCAGCTTTTCAATGTCCTGCTTGTTTTTGTCTCGTTCAATAGAGACCATTAGTAAAATAGCAGTTAAATTCACAAATGTGAAATATAAAATGTGTCAGTACTTTAAGGACCATAACTTCACTTTCCATTAAACAGGATGAAAATAGCTGCACTGTAATACTTAATACAGTAAATAACAATACTATGCAAGGACATATAATATATAAAGTTCATTTTATGAAACACTATGTACATATTTGCTAATGAAACATTTACAACAGTAACATATCATAAATAATTACAACAATATTTCATCAAGATCAACTCAATCAAATTTTAGAAATAAATAAATAAAACAAATGTTACACTCATAGGCTGTGGTCAGTCACAAACAACACAAAATAATCCATGGAGTATAGCACCTTCTGAACTCTTCAAATAAAATGTACAGCTGAACAGTGAGCTGCAAAACAATCAGTTGAGAGTTGTGAACTGTGAGTTTGGTAACTCTAAAGGCACTTCCAAAAGTTCAACCTGAAAACACTAGTCACTATGTCGAAAACATTCTACTTATGAGAATATGAGAATTTAGCAATTGCTAACAAACAAGAAAAATTCGTAAAATACATACAAAATAAAAATTCAAAACAAAATTCCATGACAACACCAAAACTTGGCAACGGCAAGATGAAATGGCCAAGTACATAAAGCTCAAATAAGTACAGCGTATGAAAGAGAGTCCAGTCTTTGTATCAGTCTGCAGTCCCAGGCCTCTCCTCTGGACTCAGACTAAGTCCTCATCAGTCTCCAGTCCGAGGCCTCTCCTCTGGACTCAGACTAAGTCCTCATCAGTCTCCAGTCCGAGGCCTCTCCTCTGGACTCAGACTAAGTCCTCATCAGTCACCAGTCCGAGGCCTCTCCTCTGGACTCAGACTAAGGCCTCATCAGTCTGCAGTCCAAGGCCTCTCCTCTGGACTCAGACTAAGGCCTCATCAGTCTCCAGTCCGAGGCCTCTTCTCTGGAACCTGGTTCTTCTTGTTGAAGATGCGGCGCAGAGTTCTGTTCATGTAGTAGGGTCGTTCAGGTGTACCATCGTTCGTCTCCTGATCGTACACTAGGAGGCAGCAGCAGCATGTTAAATTCATACTGGACATGAGCAGGAAATGTCAGAATGCATTTGAACAGTTTATGTTTATTCAAAAAGGATTCACATTTTCATTGGATTTGTCAATAAAAAACTTCTATACAAAAGAAATATTGAAGAACTCCCAGACAGATGAGTGTATTATACTTAGTATTAAACAGCACTACATCTGATCCAGCCAATAAAAAAATTACCAAAAATGGCTTAGACATCCTTTTTATAAACTGTATCGCAAAAATCGTAGTGTTAAATGAAGAGAAAAGAGAATTTTTCTTCGCACAACTAGGCACATAAACTAGTGGCTGCATTCAGATGCTCTCCTGAATATTGTCAGGTTGTTTGTTTATGTTCTGGGCAAAATGAAAAGTCTTGCCCTCCGACAGTCTCTATCTGCATTACAGTACATCTATAGGTAATATGTTGAAGGAAAATTAGAATACATGATTTGCAAAGTGCAGAACAGACACTATTTGCGTGTGTTTAAGTTAGTATAAATACAGTGGTTCAAAGCAATGGATAAAACCAATGGAAAACATCAACAGCCAGCGAAGATCATGCTCGACAAATCACATGGTTCTTTTCCCATATGTCAAAGTGCATACAAAACTCGACTTTACAATAGAAGACCAAAGTGCCACAAGATGTTGCCCTAACCAACAACAACAGTACATTTTAGGTCCTCCTGCTTCAATGTCAAGGCAAAAAAATGCCATTAAGTCATTTTAATACTAACCTGTGCATCAATCCTGTGAAATGATGTGTACCCTCTATATAAGGCAGAGGTCAGCAGAGAATACACAAAAAAAAAGAAAGAAACAAAAAGTGGTAGAAAAGGCAAAGGTTGTTATGTTAAAGAGGAAGTTAACAGATCTTTCAAAGTCAAAGCTTTTTCCGTGTAGAACTGAACTAAAACATGTCCAGCCGTATCCACACTGTCCCAGTCCGGGGTGCATCCAGTTTGTGTTTAGCCCTACAGTACTTGCTCCAAGAGTCTGGATTCCATGCATTTAAGAATACATAGATATGGAGTGATTAAGTCAACAGTTTGGTCCAGCGGTTCCTTCACTCAGGACACGTCGCATAGTTTGGCACCCGCCTCCACTTTTCGCAGTATCTTGTGCAGATTCGGAGAAATGAAATAGGGCCGAGACAAAGAGCCGTCGTTCCTCTCCAGGTCTTCACCTGAGACCCGGCCGGGACAGGACGGACAGAAAGGGGAGGGACAGTGACAGAGAATGGAAAGAAAGGTTTAGCATAGCGGTGCAAGGATTAGAGCAGATACAAAAGAGCTGCAAATAGTGTAAAAAGCACAAGTCGGAAGATAGTTAGAATGTGTGAGTTGCAGTTAAATATGTGAGGTGTTCACCAAGGGGCGACAGTAGCTCAGTTGGTAGAGCATTGGCCTTTAGGCCTGGAGGTCGTGGGTTCAATTCCCACCCCAACACCCTCTCCACCGACTCCCACTGATGACTGCTGTCGTTGTGTCCTTGGGCAAGACACTTAACCCCTAATTGCCCAAAGCCCCCGCTGAAAGATCAAGGCTATGCTCACACTTACGGAGCAGCCGTCCTCCTGTGGACTCACCACCTGCAGAGAATCAGTGAGGGGCTGGTGCTATGAGACTTGGGTGGCATCTCTGACTGCCACCCCCCCCGACCCAGAAATGGATTAAGGGGTAGATGATGGATGGATGGATGGAGGTGTTCACCATTAGAGATCGATCAAAATGAGTTTTGATGGTAGATTTTAAATGGCTATATTTTATGGGATATTTTTGCAAAGTAAACATGGGGTAAGAGCTAATGTTAATAAGTTAGTAAGCAAATAGGACATTTTTAAGTTAATGTGTAAACAAATATTAAAGTATAAAGTACGTTTTGGAATGGCTGCTTAGAGTGAAGTTAAAGATGTGGTTGTTTTCAAGCCATGGTAGCATATCGGCCGAATGGGAATTGGGGCCAATAGCCTATATAAAAAAAACAGCCTATTCTCGATTGTCAGAATAGTGTTGGAATACAAACTGTAAGCTGTAGACTAAAATGTATTTACTTACAAAAGCAGAGGAATAATGTGTCCACACACATGGAGTAAACATTGAAAAATCCTTGTGCAACAATGTAGGATCCAATTACTATTGTCTGAGGAAAAAACACATTTGACACTTCAGTTATTTTAAAATGACGCCCAATGAGCGAGTTATGTTGTTATGACTCCTCACCACAAGAGGGACCCAGATGTAGTTTAGTACTGGCACGTACTGCGCGAGGAATGGTATTTTATGTGAGAAGGTGAAAAAAGCAAAAGCACCTGTGAAAGTGAAATATATGACTGATTACTTTCCAAAACAAACAGTATCAATTGTATCACAAAGAAAGGTACCAACTCACCAACCCCTCCTGAAATAAGCAGTTTGCCCAGAAAGAGCAAGAAGTCTGTAACCTTATCCAAGACTGCCACCCTGTGGACAAGAAAAGAACAGTTCAAGGACAGTCACAGTTCATGTTACAAAGCATTTTTTGAAAATTACTTTTCAGATAACAATTGTGATTATGATTTGGTAGGATAATGTTCAAAGCACAACAGAATCCAAAACTGAAACCTGCATTTATTTTAAGGTAGCATTTCTTTTCAAGCTAATGTTTGTTGAAATTAAATGACAAGTACATTTCTCACTTAAAATCCTCAAACGAAGAGACATACAGTATTTCACAAGCTGCAGTTATCCTTGTTTTTTATGTCTGACTTGTAGATCTAAACACAGTGATAGAATTGTAAACTCACCAATTAAAATGTTGATTCAAAAACACTTATAAATCCTACCTAACGATATTTCTCATCAGAAGGAAGAACGCCTCTTTGGCCGATGTGCAAAAGTTCTTTCCATATATTGCTATCTGTTGGTTTAAGGGTGTCTTGGTTATTATCAGAGACATGTTCATTGAGCAAAAGTATTTCCCATACATACCATGATGTAAGCATTTCGATTTAAAAACTTGATGAAACGCTCCAAGCACCAAAAACAGCACTTTAGACACGTAAGCAAGAACTTTGCAAATTTGTTCTGTGCACCTGGTGAATCACAGAAAAGTTGAATGAGGCTGGAGTAGTATGAAGTGATTCTACGATGCACTTTACCTTTTAGCTTGTGATCTAAATACTCCAGAACAATTCTTATAAACTGCACTGAGGCGAGGATCAGAGAACCAAACGCTAGAGAACCTGTGTGAAAACTGAGGACACAACATGAATAACTACTGAACACAGACGTGCTTTTAGACATCAGTCTCCACACACCGTATGGCCCGGCTGAATGAGGACAGCAGTGGGCATCGAGGGATGTCATCTGGCTTCTTCAGAGCCCAATAGTATGATGCAAAGGCGCCTGCAAGTGTGCACTGCCCCAGTGCGATGGTGAAGTTGACCATCCAGAGGAAAGCAAACAAATTACTGAACTGAAACACCAGGATGTACTTGTGATAGAAGCTCTCTCCTCCATAAAAGGCAAAGTTGCACTGTGATCCTGGGCAAGCTTTGGAGATGTTGCTCTCTGAGAATTTCTGAAGAAATGAAAATGAAATGAGATTACAAACACTGCATATACGTTTCTTCTCAATACAAGAAACTCACCGTTGGATTGCATGTGTTGTTGTCATACATGCACGTGCCATCAGGTGAGGAGACCTTGTAGATGGCCTCACCTGAAGATGCTAAGAAGCTGCAGACCAGATACATGTGCAAATTATGTATTTTGGTAATCTAAAAACATGTATTTTGATCAGTTATATTACATACACTGCTGTGACTGCCCAGTAGGCAATGCATATGGTTATGAGTACAATGGTGACTAGAGGGTAGAAGAGGGTGGACATGATGTGTCCAATGGCCCTGCAAAGAAAGGGCCAGAGTTACACCACTTCAGCCAAACTAAACCCAATTACTGTTCATATGTCTACTGACCTGCTCCCCTCTTTTAGTAAGGCTATTGCCATACATATCCTTTTTCTCAGGAATATCAACACAATCACAACGATGCCCTCAATTACAGCAAGTAAGCACACTAAGGAAAACGACACAAAGAAGACACATTTAGATAATCAAACTTTCCTGAAAGTGTTACAATATTTGTATACTTACAGAAAATGAGCCATGTTTCACTAAGGTCAAGATAAACGGAAAAGTCTTGCTGGAAGCCAAGTTCTGAGAGGGTCAGATCAGAGCCTTGCTTGGTGGTCAGTGTGCTGTACTCCCAGTAACAATGCCAGATTCCTAAACACAAAGATACAGCTTGTTTTTAATGTTTATAAAATCAAGGCCAGGAAACTCAAACCTAAACCAGGATTGACTTTCCTCCCATTCAGGACTTGCACAGTATTATAATGCTTTGAGCCTGGGGGTGTGCTGTGGGTAGTGTGCTGTAGATCAGGGCTTCCAAACTTTTTAGTACAAAACCCCCATGATAAATGTGCTGCTGCCCCGCGACTGATTGATGCTGTCAAATTACAAATGTATTGTACATTTGTATCAGACTCTTCTCCAAACAAAATTTAACAAGAAGTCCTATTGAATTGCAACAAAAATATTTAAGTGCTATATATAAATATTTCACTTTCATTTTTTTATGGATATCATCTCGCGATCCCCACTTTGGGAACCACTGCTGTAGATGATAGATTGCTCACAATTAAAATCAAAACAAGCTGAGCTCTTACTTGATCCAACTATTCAAAACACAACCCAGAAGTACTATTTGTGTTCTGGGCATTTGTTGTTAGCATTATGTCCGAATATCCACAGCAGTGATGAGTAACGTGTAGAGTCATGTGCTCACGAGGCGTATGCTAAAAATACAATTTTAGTTATATTGATTAATATACATGTATTTTGAAACGTTGATATATTGTAATAGACCAAACAGCAAACAGAAGAAATCTTCAATAAATTACAGATAAATGCATCAATAGTATACACATATACATCTATAATCCAAAATATATAATCCAACATAATTCAATTCAAATACTTTTATAGTGTAAGTCAATTTTATATTTAACTATAATATAATAATTTAATGATAATATATGTTACTGAATCCCCTGCAGCTAGATTATAGTGAGATGCATATTGTATTGGTTGACCGATACGATATGTACAGTCCTCTAAATATCATCGAACGTAGTCGCGCCTAGGACCTTCTTACTGAGAAGCAAGAGTGCCATCCACTCAGCTACTGTGTGGACCCGGAATTCTCATTCCGAGATTGCAAGCATGTCAACGCACATGCTCATGGACCTTTTGGAGCCGGGACCTGCCCCCACTGGTCCTACCCCTAAGGAGCAAAGGATTATGGGTAATGTGCAAGTGGGCAATTGCCCAATTTCAGTGAAGTGGATGTTTAATATTATCTGGATAAAGTATTGCTAGCTTAAGCCAGGCCCTGGAATGTTGGTGGACCATCTTCGCTACTGCAGACAAAATTCACAGGGCTGCCCAGGAAATTTCCCATAGACCTCATTGTTAACCAAAAAGGCTTGTCCTCAGCTTCATAGAACTTATTCTCGTCCACGGTAATCTGCACATGTACAGGGTGGTTGTCGCCGTCTCCTTCTTCTAAAAAATTACGGCAGGTTGTGCACCAAACACTCACGCGTTCATCTTGGCCACAAATGGCGAGGCCAGGAGGACAGAGGTGGCTGAAATGCGTCACTTCCGCTAATATTTCTGTCTCCATGGTAAGACAAGACGCCAGCATAGGCCATTGCTTTGAACTGGCAGACATCTTGCGTCGCCAGGGTTTTAGATGGCACAGATGGGTCCCAAGCTTTTGGGCCGACAACATTGACCCATAGACCACAATAGAGCCAGATAGAGCATGACAGCAGGGTGCACTTACCGTAGCCAATACTTCCAACAACAGCAAAGATAATGACCCATAGGAGCACTCCGGCAATGTAGCGCAGAAGCAGAATGAAGAGCAGACTTAGCACCATGGTGATCGCCAGACCACTGCCACAGAAAACATAACAGTTAAATCATATAACCCAACCTGAGACACAACAATCAGAATCTGAATTGAATAATGCCAAAGTATACATGTCTTACATCAGAATCATGTGCCACGTATTTGCATAATCCTCAATGATCTTGGTGACAACCTGTTTGGCATTCAGAATGTGGTTGATACCCCTGTAGAGATGTGACTGGTGAGAACATGTATTCAATCAAAATCGACACATAAGCAGCTTGATCGCTAATGTGTAATCCGTGTTAAAAAGTCTTTTACTTCAAACTATTTCAGAAAAGTATATGCCTCATGCTGAATAGAAAATAAGGAATATGGTTAGTAATCAAAACTGTATACATCCAAGTGAACTCCATGTGTCCCACAAACTGTCCCATGAGGACATTGCCACTTTTAGGTGAATCAAATGCAGCATATAAAGTATAATAAAATGTGTAATTATGATTGAGAGGTTTCACTGAAACCTTGCCTAATGAGAAAAAACCATACCCACCAGGGGGCACTGTATTTTTTCAAAACAACAACAACAACGAATTATTATATCATAAATACTATAAAAAGTATACAGTATATACAATATTAAAAATTATTATTACAAATATGAATTATTAGATGTGACCATTTTGATAATAAGTTAGATTAAATTGAGTCGGTACTATTTAACAAAAAATGTAACGGCAAACTGTTTTAAAGTAGTTTGAAATCCATTAACTTGGATGCATACAGCTAACTATCTAATCTAGACATGGAAGACAATAGAGCCACTTTAAAAGCAGAATAATAAACCACAATGAAGCACTTAGCCTTGTTGACAAGACAAAAGAATGCATGCTTGCACAGCATTAGTACAATTTATAAATCTATCATCTTAGTCTCAAGTAAAGGACATAATATCATGGCTTCAGTTTGAACTGAAAGTCATGCAGAGTTATCAGAATGTGACTTCCACATCCTGGGACATGTGTGGCATGTCCTTCTTTCCTACCCTTGTGCATGAGGTTCTCTGAGAGTTGAGTTGAGAGGCCTATTAACACCATAGATATTTTAATAAACTTCATTTTCATACCGTTTGAAATCCGTCTGCAAATCTGTATGCAGAGGTTGATTAGGAATAAGAAAAGTGTCAGACCACATACATTGCAGCATCTTGGAGGTCACTGATATTTCTTTGAATATTGCGCCCATCCCTGAAGACAGTCTGATTAGCTACTGTCACAATTCCATTTTTAGAGTTGAACTCTGGGAAGCACCGCTGAATAACTACAGGAAGAAAAGGTTTTTATAATACAAAATATGCAATTAAAAGTTAGTGTTCTTATTTACTTAAAATGTGCTTACAAGGTATGCTTGGCACAATCATGGATGGACAGTCCTCATCTCGTAGTACTTGTGACGAGGGCTACAAACACAAGACAAAACTGTAAACAAGTGTCTGCTTTTGAGGGAGACGTGAATCACTGGGTTCTATCTGCTGATGTAACACTGACCAAACCTTGACGGTAATCCTGCAAACTGCAACAGATTAGCTTCAAAGAAACTTCCCATAAAAAAAACAATGGATACCTTGGTATAAAAAGTGCAGCCATCAACTAAAATAACATCCATTATCTAAACTAAAGTAAAGCTTTAAAGATTCCACTGTATATTAGAAAACCAGAACTTTACATGTGTGAAAAGCCACAATTTTCTTTTCACACCTATTTTAGGCCAGTTATTTTCCCCAACGTTATTCCAATTGGCTCAATGTCACAATATTAAGAGATGTACTTTTTTATTATGAAAATTATTTATTGTACCGTCTGTTGAATTTCAGACAGAAATAAATTTTCTTAAATTTCTTTTTTATCAAAACTAATTGAAGAATTTGTCAATTAATCCAGTGATTAACTAATAGTTTTTGGACCTCACACAGAATCTGAGAAGAGGATAATTCTATAATAACTGCAGAAATGTATTTTTTATCAAACAACCCAATGAAGAGATGACCCAAAGTTATTTCTATGAAGCTCACTCGAGCTTTGTTTTGGTCAAATGTACCAAAAAATACCATATTCTAAAATAATTGCTAATTAAAGCCCTAAAGAGGAAAGGGCATTGATTCTTACCTTACTGCCCAGGACAAAGTCTGGCTTGCAGAACTGCTTGTAATATTCCCAGTTTGCACCTGACTGCGAGTCTAGGAATCGGGCAAATCTGTCAGGGCACTTGGAGACACAGAGCTAAAAGGCAAACATACAGTCAGCTCCTGATCAGCTTTTACATAATATTGAATAACAGCTGTAAACAAAGGTATACGGTCAATGCAGATGTTACCAGACTAGTACCTGAATAGTGGGGCACTGAAGGTTAATTAGAACAGCAGGATTGGCACATTTCAAAATGTTGAAGTAGAATAAAATGGTTTTGTTTCTGTCGAGACAGATGAAGAAAAAGAGCACAATCAGATTAGAACCAATTACTCTGCACTGTTTTATCAGCAGGCCTTCACAATTTTTTCTATATTTAATCTTTTTTTCATCTCAATGTTCCAGTCTTTTGTGACAATAGCGAAAATAGCAAATAGTAATGATTCTGTTTTCACGTACTGTACATGTAGCCTGTAAAACACATGGTTTTTCAACTCACGCATTTGGGGACCCCTTCTGGCCACAGAACTGGCCCCTGCTGTCTGTGGGATAAACCACCTTTCTGGGGTCACCAAGGCTCCAGGCTGAAAAACACCAAAACCATTTAAAATATGATTTAAATATGACAAAGCGTCCCTCCTCATCTCACGTCTCTGCTTAAGAGGAACATTTCATTATTGTTAATGTGTACAACGAGTTTCTTAGTGTCATTATTAGTCTGGTCCAGCTCCATCTTTTTTCTATTTTATCTCTCCAGATTGAAGTACTAGTCTTGTGTTTACCCAACACCAGCATTCAAGAGCCCTTCAGATCCCTGCATACAGAGACAGTTGTTCTTGAGGGTGTACAGTGGAAAACGATGTTAGCATACATACATATTTCTGTTTCCTTAATGTTACAATATTGTGAAATCTATTATTCAGAATTATTATTATTATTCATTTCTGAGTCATAAATGTGTCCCACAATGTGGGAAATTAAACAAAATATAATAATAATAATGCCATGGCTTTGGAATATTCTGATAGGATAGCTGACAAAATTTGGGTTAGTTGGAGGCTCAAGGTACATCTGAAACGTTTGACTCCATGTTTAACTGCTCAAGTGGAAAAAGCTGATCTGAAATGTACAAATCCAACTCAGAACAAAAGTTTAAGACATTGGAGAAGTCCGATGAAACTTAAGGTTGAAACACTATCAAAACTCTGATGCATGGCAGTGGCAGTTGCATGTTGTGGGGCTGTTTGTTACAGGAGGAACTGGTGAAGAAACATCTCAAGAAATTAGCAGAGCAAAGAAGTTCAAGCTAGAGTGAAAATGTGTCTTCCAAGCGGGCAATGACCCACCACAGCAAACCTACAGCCAGAGTAGTTACAAAGTGTCAATATTTTGGAGTGCATGGTCCTCCCAAAGCCCTGGTCTCCATTACAATAAGGAGAAAAACTTCACTCATGAGCCATGTGTATTGTCATGTACTATATATGTAGAAAGTATAACAAATTATATATTTCTTTTTACATCTAATAATAATAATAGAAAATATAAATTGTGAATCAATGATAAGGGGCCATCGACATGAAAACTTGTTGAACTGGAGTGTGTCATGCTCACCCACAGTCCCCAAAGCGATGTATCCAATGATGACAATGATGAATATAAAACAACAGGCCACGTCAGTGCAGCTCCTGAAAACAAATGGAAGATTTTTTTTTTTTTTAACAGGACAGACAGCATGAAGAGACAAGGAACCCCCCCTCCAAAAAACTAAAACTAAAAGTTCATTGTTTCATATTTTGTGGATAATCGGGAGAACCATGGTGTTGCATTTGAATTTCAGAGCCCTGTCAAATTGTAACGTGGGCTGCGAGCCATCCCGAGCCGTCATTTCCAGTGTGATTTTTCTGAGGAGTGTTGTAGCTCTGCTGACTTCCTAATGAGGCTCTGAATCCCCCCTGCGTCAGGGTCCCACAGGCGCACACAGCCGTCAGTGTGGCGGCCTGCGCACTCACAACAGCTCTCCTCAATGTCTCCATAACAAGCTGCTTTTTCTTCACTTCTGCCCCAGGACATCCTGTTCACCAGCCCTTACTTTACAAATTAACAAAGAGTTTCCCCAGTCTTTAGAAAGTTATACAGAGGCTCATTTTAGACTGACCCCATAATGATTGTGTGTAATTCTACTTTAAAGCACTGCTGTGAACCCGAAAGGCCTTTACATCTACATCCTTAAACCAAAAGGAAATAACTACTTACTTACTCAAAAGGCAAGAAATTGATTGGTTAAACTGGAAGTACTGAACGGGGGGGACTCACGTTTGATAACAGAGGAAGTAAGTCATCATTATTTATACAGTGCCTTTCACAGACCAGAGTCACAAAGCGCTTTACAATTGTGGGCATTTGTCTCTCACTCTTCACAGAGATGAGAGCAAAGATGCCATACAGAAGGCGTATGCTAGACCTATTGTAGACGTTTTTAGTGGCAGGGGAAACCGGAGCACCCGGATGAAACCTAAGCAGACATGGGGAGAACATGCAAACTCCACTCAGAAAGTTCCACCCCCGTTCGAACCCAGGACCTTCTTGCTGAGAAGCGAGAGTGCTATCCACTCAGCCACCGTGCCGCCCTAAATAATTGCACTAATAGTAATACATACAACATAGTTTAAGTGCAGTACTCATTAAAAAGAAGACAACAAAAATAATTGCAGCTTTGCACAATCTTTGGAGCAAGCCTGAAGTTGTGAATTTATCTGTGATTTCTATTATTCCACTGCTTTTGTTTTAGCCAAAATTGAGACATAAAGGGAATGTTTTGTCTTTATAAATCAAAGATGAAAAAGCAGCCAGTGCTGTAGAGTTTTATCATCCAATAAATACATTTTCTGTTTGAATTTAAAGATAGTTTTGCAATAGGTAGTGTAGATTTGGTAGTGTTTTGATTTAAAAATGTCTTATGATTAACATAAACTTGTGGGAAAACCATTTCACTTCATTCAAATGAACAAAGGGAAGAGTCATCTTTGTTTCCATGGAAATGGTCGCATTTCATATCTCTGCTGCCCTCAGTTGGTTTGTAGATCCTTAGCAGTGACGCAGAGGCACACAGCTGAGAGTTTAAGCTTAATGGGACTGTTGGAGGTTTCCACACAGCTTTAAATATAGACCTGACTCTGATGAAATCATTGTGCCAACGCAGCAGCACTGCACTGATACAAAGTCACCTTTGAAGAGAGAGATTTAAGTGAGCTCAAGACAAAGTGTGACTCCACTGCCTCATCAGACAGATGGACACAAGGCCAGTAGTGGTCAAACAGTCCAGGCAGTTTTTTCTCTCTAGACACAAAAGAGGAGAAATGTTCCTACAAGCAGCTCTGACAAGCATGTGAAGCATAATATAAAATGACGAGTGCTTTTTAGATGATGAAAAAAAGAGTTGTCTGTTTGTAGATAAAGAGATGTTTAGATCGCTAACTACTATCTTAAACTACTCAACAAAGCACTCCGCCATCTCCAAATGACTTTCATCCAACAGAGTGTGTAACACACATCCACCTGGTTTCTGCTGGATGAATAAAAATAAATACATGCATGCTGCTGCATGTGTCATATAACTGTGTGATTGTTCTTTTCCTGGCTGTAAATCAGTGCAGGTTAATCAAAATGGCAGGTGGTTGACTGGGGTGGTAACCACAAACACTACTAGTTAAATCAGCAGGACATCACACATGGAACAAGCTGAGCAGAGTTCTGTTCTCTCCCTGTCCTCATTAAGACAGAGGCACCAAGCCTCAGAAACATCAAAGCCGCTCTGGTTCCCTCAGCAGCTGCAACAGTGAAATGGGAAAAGGAAAGAAGAGTCCTCCATTCAGCCTCCATGGCCAAACAGGACACATCCTCAGACATGGGACTGTCATCAGGAAAGATTGTGTTTTCTTTTAGAATAGGCAGATGGACATGTACTGTGGGGCATCTGGTTATTTTATGTACAGTATACACATATCTCACTTCATCATTTGACATCCCAAGTAACAATGGCTTGTTTCAGAGGGAGTTATTAAATACATTACATATACATAGCTGATGTAAAAACATCAACATCAACATTGTGGTGTGACCTCTGTAAATACACAGTGATTAAATGATTAACGTATGCAATACCTGTTGCGGATTGGCCCTCTGAAGTTAGGGTCAAACTTCCGTGGTTCACCTGTAAAAAAAAAGAAAGAAAGATAAGTCAGTTCAAAGTACCATTATCAAGATAATACATCTCTAAAAGAAAGTGATAACTATTGTTATAATTATCCACTACAGTCTACAGTGCCTTGCGAATGTATTCGGCCCCCTTGAACCTTTCAACATTTTGCCACATTTCAGGCTTCAAACATAAAGATATAAAATTTTAATTTTGGAACGAAATTTATTGGATAATTTAAACTTTTTTAACAAATAAAAAACTGAAAAGTGTATGTCAAATTTTCACCAAATGCGATTTGTAAACAAGCGGATGTGAGGGCGGATGTGCGCAGCAGAGTTGACCTGCTCATACTGTGCGCACTGTAAAGAGAGATGGACGCATTGATTCTCATATGTCCTGGCCAATCTTCGCATTTACAGTGGGGGAAAAAGTATTTAGTTTGCCACCAATTGTCCCACTTAAAATATGTGAGATGACTGGATGACTGTAATTTACATCAGAGTTATACCTCCTCAACTATGAGAGACAATATTAGAAAAATAAAGGTTTTTTTTTTAGGACAACTAAAGACAAATGTTTTCGATATGTCTTCACAAGATTTACACACACTGTTGCTGGAAAGACTTTGAACTCCCTCCAAAGATGTCTAAGGGTTTGAGATCTAGAGACTGGCTAGGCCACTCCAGGACCTTGAAATTCTATGAAGGTTTTTGTTCGTTGTCCGGCCATTGTGTTTGGGATCGTGATCATGTTGAAAGACCCATACATATTTCATCTTCAATGCCCTTGCAGATGGAAGGAGATTTTCACTCCAAATTTCACAATACATCGTCCTGGCTCCTTCACCGAAAAGCGACCCCAAAGCATGATGTTCTTTGGATGCAGTGCGAGATGTGTCCCCCTGCCACAATTGGTCGCTGACTAAGTACTTTTCCCCCCCCTGTAAATCGTCCTTTTAATTTTCACTGAGGGGGAGAAAGATATGCAAATGCCAGGTTTCAACAGACTATAGGGCAGCATGGGTAAGAACATTTCCATTGCTGTGAACAGACCAACCACAGACAGTCCGCTTTCAAGATCCCTGACTCCACCAAGCCTCGTCTCCACAATTTGATGATAACTTCTATAATAAATACCCGGCAAGGAGGCATTTATCTTTACCTGATCAGTCAGAAACACAACTATGGGCTAATAGTTTCATAATCTAATAATGTTAGATTAATTAACTCGCCATATTATTCTTATGTCTGAAAGTCCTTGCTGTCCATCATCATGCACATTTAGAAGTAATCACTTAATTAATAGATTATACAAATACACTGATATGAAGATGAGGAACTGGCCAGTCAACACCCTTTAGCATTATGACATACATGTTACTTGAGGAGTAGATGAGTCATATTATTTACATTTGGTTTAGAGATTGATCAAAGCATCAGCGTTTGTGCATATGGCAGGTGAAGTCTGGAGTGTGAACTCCTGCTGAGACCAGAGAAGACCAGAGAGGCGACAGATTGTAGAGTGTCAGTGCAGCCCTTCTGATAAAGGACACAATGTAATAGAACAATTTCCACTATAACTCTATGTTGTGCAATAGAGGGTTTGATTAGGTTAGCACAAGCCTACATCATTCTACAGACACATATTACGTGCAGTTTCAAAGGTACTCAAAAAGTGTGTTACACAGCAGCTCACAACACTTCTGAAATGTAGTCCATTTAATCTGCACCAAATGCATTTTGGCTTTAAGAAAAATTACTCAACGGAGATAGCCGTTCGCTTTCTTATGGAAAAGCTGAAGCTGAACATTGACAAAAAAGGTATTGTGGGAGAAGTTTTCATGGACCATAAGAAGGCATCAATTCCGAAATTATAATAAAAAAACTTATATTTTAACCTATCCCCACATACTCTTCATTGGCTGGAAACATATCTAACAGGAAGGAAACATCTTTTTAAGCTACAGAATTCAACATAAGTAACATACAAAAACAACCTGGGACTACCTCAAGGTCTTCTGCCTCACAGACCTGGGACCAAATGAAGGTTCATGGCTCCTGGACAATCAGACCTGCCAACATGGCTGAACAGTAACAATGACTGAATGCAATGGACGTGTGCAATAGATGTGGATTTGTGCAACAGTTTCGATAATGATTAGCCCTACGCTGTGAAACTGTGTGTGAATTCCAGTTGTTGATGTTTTTAACTGCTGTATTTTCATGCAAACTGTGACCCTGTCCCCCTGGGACTACAGATGAAAATTAGCCTTTGGCTACAAACTGACGTGTCGACAAATATGTTCATTGACATTTCAAAAGGCTTATATGGTTTCCTTCCGTCTAATAATATTTTTCCTACATATAGAGAATGTGGTAAATTAGAAAATAGAAAAACTATATCAATAATTAAATACAGTAGAGTTCCCTATGGGCAGCATGTTCTGTTGCCTTTAGTCAGCTTTAGCAGGGAGAATGATGATCAGTTGCTAGCATTAGCGCCCAGAGAATGATGATTTGTTGAAGTTACAAAAAGCCTGGAGGCAGGTTGCACACTGTGCAGGGATGGAGTACAGTTAGTATTGACACTATTAGATAACTGTGTCCTGTTATGGCTATGACAATACAGCGTCAGTGCTAGAGCAGATGAGGAGGAATGACATTAGGATTAATGTGAAATAGAAAGAACCCAGCCCAATGGTGACAGGTTGTCGAGGTTGTTACTGGTTAAAAGTGTCCACGCTGCCAAAACTGTATCATACCTCTTCAAGAAAGAGTTTTGTAGATCATTATTATGACTTAACAATACATCAAATGCACTTGAATTTTATGTGCAAACAGATGAAAAGTTAGTTCAAAAGAAATAGTATGCTTGTTTCCAAAACAATATTACAAAAAGTCCCATAGTCACAAGTGTAATGATATCACAAATGTGCTCCCTTATAAGTGCAGTAAATTATTTAAAAAGTCTAGTGAATCAGAGGAGTTGCTCAGTCCAATCTGAGCTCACACTCGGCTAACCTGAGTCCAGAATCACATGTTCCACAGTCTGTGTCCAAATATCACACACACAGAGGAACCACTGTCTGCGGACACCTCTGCCCCACACTGGCCTCTTTATACAGCCGTTTGCACAGCTCCTGCCCAGCTCCTGCTCCTCAGGTACACTGGCTCTCTCCTCTCTTCTCATTATACAAAAGGCACATTGTTATTTCCAAGGCAGCAGTAGTCGTGTTATTTGTTACTAATAAGTATGATTTATCCCCACTCACTCTTTACTGGACATCACTGTAGACGGAAGCTTTTCAACTCAATGACCAGTCTGCTGACTTTGTGCCTGGGGAATATTCAAAATGACAAAACGGACAGACTCGAAGAGGATGCTCTGCCTATGCTCACCCTTCAGCTCACTGTCATTTACCACAGAACAGCAGATTTCACAGTTCCTCCACAGGAGTCTATGTCCTTCACATCTGGAGCAGCTGCACTATGCACTAAAAGAAACATGCTCATTTTGTAATTAAAGTGAATTACAATGTCCATGTTATATCAATAGGATCACTCAGGGTGTGCAAAAAGAAAAGAAATGTACAAACAACAGGAAAAGCGCAAACATTATATGACTGATGTTTGCATATTACTCTATGTCTTGCAAACATATACTGTTTACAAGATACTGTTTACTGGAGAATTTTATGTGTAAAAAGGTATTTTATGAGCCCCTGAACATATTAGTAGGAGGGCCACTTTAGCTCGCCAGACTAGTCCAGTTCTGAGCTTTAAAATGATCTACAACAGAGCTGTTGGCCGAATGACAAATGTTTACCATCTCAGCAGTGCACAAGTCAACGACTGAATTCCAGACGAACTGGACTTTAGAACGAGTTATGATATGTCTATATTGGCCAAGCTGAAGTTGGATGGATGACACAGTGAACTTGTGTTTATGATCTCAAAGACTACTTTGGGTTAGCATGGCAGAGGGCCACATAAAAGGACACTGAGGGCCGCAATTGGCCTCCGGGCCTGAGTTTGTACATGCCTGCCCTAACCCATTGGTTTTTAGTATGACACCCCTGACATACAGTAGAGTATCGAGTAATGATACATTTTATTACATATATTTTCATGGTGTTATGACCGATCCTACTTATTATCAACGATGGGTAATGCATGTACCGTATACTGGGCGTCTTATCGGTGCTCTTTGATCAGATTTCACTCTTCTCTCCCAAAGCTGTTGCAGAGATGCCAGTTGGGAGTAGCCGTCGGAGTGAGTGTGGGCTTCTGACAGGCCCCTGCTGCTCGGGGCCCACAGTGCACTTTTGTGGTCGGGTTTTGTGACCTTGGTTACTTGTGTGACAGCATGTCTGAGACCAGCCACACTGTTATTGAGAAAAACCCTGACAGTGATACGATAGATGCTCAGCCGCACAGAAAACCATACACAACTATATCTTGACTTCAAAACAAATAGGGATGTATTTAACTATTATTTTGATCAGTTGGACGATTTGATTGTTCCTTTGATTAATACATTTGTCAGGTCATAGATTTTTAAAATATATATGACCTAAAAAAAAGCTTCATAGAGATGACTTGTTACACATTCGGTTGTAATAGAAATATAGGTAAAAAATACTGCAGTCATGAAATGAATCCATTAGTTGACAACGGACAATGAGAAGAAAGGACTCTCGTGGTGCAGTGGCTCGAACGAACAAAACACAACATGGCGGGAGTAGACCAACTGGAGCAGTTCCAGCAGGCATATTAATTTCTAAAGATTGGGAAAATATTACAAAACTTTAACTTAACGTATAGTCTGATAATTCATATTTTCAGACAAAAGTATTTTATAATGTGTTTTGTTCTTGCTTTTTTCTACCTGATATGTTGCTGCAGTACAGTGTTCATGGTTTTGCAATGGTCCAGACCAGAGCAGAGTGGCTTCACGGACAGAACCAAGCGGATCAGCCAAAAATCCAGGAATTGGAGGAATGATAACTTTTT